AATGCAAGTTATTACAGTAGACAGTTGACTAAAACCCCTTCCTCATGTGACACAAAAGAAAACCAAAACTACATGTATAATAACGACATTTATGTTCACGAAGATTATATCAAAAAGCAATTAATTGAGGTTCTACAAAGCTTGAACCTACAAAAGGAATACGTCTGCGATAATTATGCAAAAAATCTAAGGCGTACAGTTTTAAGGCTTCCACCTTATCACTGTATATTTAATCTAATTGAACATGTTTCGCACCAACTGAAATCTGCCATTCGTCGTAACAATGTTTTCCCCGTGTTAACTCCAATTTCCTCAAACTTATGCAAATCGAAGTTTTTAACATCCCTCCACAAAGTTGGGCAGATTCTGTTAAACATATAGAAAAAGCAGAACAATCGTATATGCATATTGCAAATAATATAGAACAAATAATAATTAGAACAGGCGATGATAGCGATAGTGATACTGATATATTATGTGAATCATTTTAAGTAATTGAAGTAGGTAATAAAAATAATTTGTAATTTTATTTTAGATTTAAACATAAATACTTATATAAATAAATAAATATTTTTTAGTATCTTTCCTAACAAAACCCCAAATAATTAAATTCTAAGCAAAGTACGGACCTGTTCGGCCATATTTCATTCTTATAGCTTGCCCGGGTCTTTCCTTAATTCGTATCAGTTAGTCACATTCTTATATCTGTGAACAGACTTTACCTTTTTAACAATCGAGGCTGCTCGTTCTGGTGAAAGTTCCGCTAATATTTAACGCGCGATGTTTAAATACCGGCGAACTGTTTACTTTCGACGTATTTTTATAGCCAAGCGTTTATTGCCGAACGGCATACCGCACTTTTTTTGCTTGCAGTCGCATTCGTGAACTTTTGGTTACGCAATGACTTTGCTCAGCCCACGAACCGAACCCCATTTTTTGTCAAGGCTCGTAAAGGTATTCGCTATTTATATATCTATATATTGCTTTTGAAAAATCGTCGCTGGGCGGGGCAAGATGGTAGCGCGTATCAGCCTTCTATTTAAAAAACAAGCCGCTTGGAAGAAATATTGGATAGGAAATGGAGAAACTTGAAAAGAACCTACACAGGCGTCGAAGACAATATAGGGAAAACCGGAAGCGGTAGAATTTACTAGAAATATCACCAGTTTGATGAAATACATAGGGAGGACAAAACAGTTAACTTTCCTAACCTAATAAGGGCGACAGCAGTTCATGTTATAAGGAAAAAAGTCCCTTGCAGAAAATAAGAAAGATTCACCCGCTATCCCAGTGGCTCCGTCCCTCTAGGACTTACCATTACCCAGATCTCAGGTTTAGTGAGGAGCGCTTTCGAATAGAATCGATGTTAGCACCACCAGTCAACACTCGCCCTCCTGGCTGTTCGGCAACGATTCGTAAGAGGGTGCCACCGTCCGCGAACAACAACAATGATCCGTGAGAGGACGCCACCGTCTACGCATAACGCTCGCTGAAGCCTGTCAGCCGCCGGGCATTCACTTGCTCCGCGTGTGCCTGGCATAAGCAGTTGTTTACGTCAAATAAACCCCTTTTTACAGTTTAAGTTTTGTGCAATTATTAAGTTTAACGCCCTAAAGACATATTTTCTATCAATCGATTTCATCGATTTTTCGAAAGTAACATGTGACATGACCAAAGTTCCCAAGTCAACTGTAAGAAAAATTGTTGCAAATGGGACACTCAAGAGGAAAGTGAGAGAAGGTTCTTCGCCAATTTTTAATGATCTAATTAGGCGTATAATCTACTACGCTTCTAAAGTGTTTCAAACATAGAAAAACTGCATAAAAAGTACTGACAGACATAAACATTAGTTGTGCCAAAGAGTAGTTGCGTACTTTTTTGAAGAACACTGATTTTTGTGTTGTGTCGGATAATGCTTCGTATCATTGAGCCCAAATTAGAAAAATTACAAATTGAAAAACGAGTAATAGAAGAAGAAAACATTTATCGAGAACGATTAGTGGCTGAGGTGATCATTGAATTAGGTGACGAGAGTAGCGATAGTGACGATTTTTTAAGTGACTGATACTTATAATAGAAGAAATGTACTGAAATAGAACGTAATAAATTGTTACTTTCTACTAATTTTTATATGTACATGTTTCAAGAATTGCTAGGCGAAAAAGATTGAAAACATACTTATATCCAGCTTTACGGGTTTTGGAGTAATAAATAGTACGCAAAGTTAATTACGGGGTCGTTTGTAAAAGCACTATATTTCTGGTCGAAGTATAACAATAAAATTAACCATAACGACGGCAAACGACACGTGATGCGTAAGCCACGCGGCACACTCGATGAGATCGTTGACGATCCAATATCCTCCAATCCTCGAATATTAACTTGCCGCTCATCCTCAATCGACGGACTTTGCTTGCCGCGAAAGTTTGTTTACCTCACCGTTATACCGAATCGTATTTTACAAGCGACGATAAAATTTGACCCCAGTTTTGAATACGCCCATTCATTAAAGTTTTGTCAGCTGGCTTTCGTCGCGTACACACGCAATCGTTTTTCACCTATCTGTGCTTGTCATCTTTCCGCGCGTACCCTCTCGATTAATTTATTTCGCCGCGTTCGGGCAGGTCAGTGTTCCTCCTCGAGACACGCAAACCGCGCGATCGCCGAAAGGTACTTTCGGTGGTCCGTGTCGGTTATTTACGAGCCGATAGCGCTTGCGGCGCCGGCGCCATCTGGCGACGAAAACGCGAACTGTATCGGGCAGTAGAATTGTGCTGTGAAGTGACAGTGGGGGAAAGTGCGTTTTATTTTGTATACGCGTAGGTTATGAAGGACGTTCGGGCCGTTTTGCCATATAATTATACTTCGACCAGAAATAGAGTGCTTTTACAACGGACTACGTGATTAACTTTGCCTACTGTTTATTACTCCATAGAAGACCCTGCCGAGCAGACCCTTACCCGTAACCATTATAGAATCGTTTTTTGCTAGCTGAGCAAATTATTGGTTATTTTTCTTCTTTGTACGTGGTGGTCATTGACCAGAAACGAAAATCCTCGACGGAAGTCGGCAATGGGCGAATGATCCTAGCAGTCGAGCCCAACATTTTTTTGTGAAACGCATAATTGAATTGAACTGAAGTGCTGATAAAGAAGAAGAAGAAAAAGAAGAAGTTTACCCTTCAGTATCCCCTGAAACAACGTCCAGTATAAACGAGACGCAGCAACGACTGTTTGTCGTTAATTTCAAGGCCCCGTGTCCCCACCAACCCCCCTTTTATTCACGCTTTTAAGCCGAAAGTGGGTTATCTTGAAATAGCTTCCCGTCCGGAACGGAGTAATTAAAATAAAAAAAATGTCAAAGGGTATCTCGCGCTCCAAAGGGGCTTTTTTTCTTTTGTGCTCTTCGAGTGCGGCCGGTCAAGTGTGCTCTTTCGCAGATAGGACAGATGCGAAGCGCACGAGTGATTTATTATTCAAAACGCGATCCGGGCGTGTCGACCATATTACGCGACCGTCGGAAATTACGTGGATGCAGGAACTGCTGCAACGTCCTTCCGTATGCACGGGGCGCGGTATAAATAGATTATCGAATGCTTCGGATCGAAATCGGACATTCGTCAACTGTGCGAGTGACTAACTGATACGAATTAAGGAAAGACCCGGGCAAGCTTTAAGAATGAAATATGGCCGAACAGGTCCGTACTTTGCTTAGAATTTAATTATTTGGGGTTTTGTTAGGAGAGATACTAAAGATATTTATTTATTTATGTATGTATTTATGGTTAAATCTAAAATAAAATTACAAATTATTTTTATTACCAACCTAAATTACTTAAAATTATTCACGTATTATATCAGTATCACTATCGCTATCGTCGCCTGTTCTAATTAATATTTGTTCTACATTATTTGCAATATGGATATACGATTGTTCTGCTTTTTCTATATGTTTAACAGAATTTGCCCAACTTGGTGGAGGGATGTTAAAAACTTCAGTTTCTATAAGTTTGAGGGCATTGGAGTTAACACGGGCAAAACATTGTTACGACGAATGGCAGACTTCAGTTGGTGCCAAACATATTGAATGGGATTAAATATACAGTGGTAAGGTGGAAGCCTTAAAACTTTATGCCCTAGATATTTGCATAATTAAATGTCGTTATTATACATGTAGTTTTGGATTGTTGCTTTTGTGTCACACGAGAATGGGGTTTAGTCAACTGTCTACTGTGATGACTTGCATTGTCCATTACAATGACGCCATTAGGAGGAATGTTTGGAACTAGTTTGTTTTTAAACCAACTTTCAAATAAATCAGCGGTGGTGTCTTCATGGTAATCCAGAGAAGAATCTTTAATATTTTTCGCAGACAGAGAAAGTCCATTTGGAATCCAACCATCTTTAGAGCCAGCATACGAAACAGTAATTCTTTTACCCCTTTTTGATGGCGCGTTTGTTTTACAATTATCAGTTGAGTCAAATCAAATTTACTTGTAAATCTTTGTATTTTACGGCATTTTACCGTTTTAAATATACAAAAATCAACAAATACTTGTAAACTAGAAGCCCCTATTTTTGGATATATTAAAGAACATTTATATTTATAGGTGGTAGGTAAATAATATGTATTTATATGTATCCTCGTATGTATATAATATAAAAAATATATATTACCACATATACTTAAATCTTTATTTTACAATTTTACCATACTTTCTAATTTTTTTTCTGCGGCTATCATCACAATTTATTATTTGGGGTTCGGAGATGGGTTCTGGCCGGGGTTCTGGCATGGGTTCTGGAGATGGATTTTTCTCTATAATTTTACTTGTGGCATTCGATGTTGTTGCTAAAAGCACAGACGATACCTGCTGAGCTTCTTTTTGGGTATTTTTGGAATGAAGTCTTTTTGATCTAGATAATCCTGCTTGTATTGGTGGTTTCTGGTTAAATAATAATAGGGTGGGAACAGCAGTTTTTTTTAGAATCTTTTTTAAAGGTAAACCTAAAATTTAAAATTTGTGGTGAATTTAATGTTACTCAAGACAAAAAAAAACCTAATAACTCATTTTGTAAGTCTCTTTCGTAATCATTTTCAGTATAATGCACTGAGCAGACATAGCTTTTATCTGGATTAAGTTTGTCCTCTCTTCTACATCGAACTATCCACTCGGTCCGAATAGTTCAGGATACTAGATCTTTCCCTTTGGGAAAGCGATGAAAATTACATTTTCCAGAACTTGCTTTTTCATCAAAATAGTTGTTATTGCACCCATATATTGCACATCTCATTCCAGGCATACCTAACTATTTTTTGACGTAACTTCTCCAACTAAAAAAGATAAAAGAAATGTATTTCTTACCTTTACCTATATTATTATGTGTAATATTTTGAGCTTACCTCTTAACTAATAACAACGCTCATAAGCAACACGAACACATAACTTTTAAGTCTTTGTTTAAGGTTAAAAATACTGTTTTTCTTAGTTCTCGCCACTCAAGCACATACAATTTTAAAGGATTTGTTAAAGCTTAAAAACACTGTTTTGTCCAAGTTTTTTTTTTACAGAAATACAATTAACACAAACATAAGCGCTCTACTCACTAGTTTAAATAATTTTAATTGTTCAAAGAACACAAAATATAATGGTTTAATACGCCTTCAAATGCTTTGACACAATACACAAAAACCGTTAGAGGACTTCGCTTACGTCACAAGCGACCACGCGCGATCGATAATATTAGCGAACTTACGTCTTATGGGATTGGGCAATCCTATTAGGTTTACGATTCTTGGGTCAATATATATGGGACAAACAAACGTCACAATCGTAGACGGCGTCGCTCTCTTCTCTTCCTCTTCTTTTGTAAACCAGGCCCTGTGCACAATCGATACGAACGTCGCGTCAAAAGCAACGACGTTATTTTTATTATTTAGGCGCCTTTTTTTTCGTATGACGCGCGGGTCAGTTATAATTATCACGCGACAAACGTTAATTGGTTAATATTTTCGCCTCCAATATTTTTATTTCTGGCTCGTGCAGTCGTCCGCGCGTAGCGCTCGTGGTATATTAGCGGTCGACAAATAATTTGATTATTTGCGTCCCAGCTGGCTGTCAGCTTCAGGAAAACATTTTCTCTCCGATAGTTCACTCTTGGACGGGAGTTTATATCCGCCGCGAGGGAAGCAGCGATGACAACAGAAGGAACGCTTGAGAATTGAGGGTTTTTCGTTTATCTCAGGCTTCTCAAGGCAAAATAGTTTACGGTATTATTACTGGCGCTTGCGACATACTAACTTATAAGTTTATCGTTTGCAATAAAAAAAACGATTTTTTTTCCTAACACACAAAAACTAGTTGCTAGTTACTTCTAGAAAGTAGTTATGGTCTGTTCATAGATATAAGAAAGTGACCAATTACTTTTTAAATTCTAAGCTTAGAGCTTGCCCCGGTCTTTCCTTAATTCGTATCAGTTAGTCACTTTCTTATATCTATGAACAGACTTTACCACGTTTGAGCTCTTCATATTAATGGGAAGATTGTCCTCTTTACAGTTTTGCATTTTTGATTTAGTTTAATATATAAATAATCATACCTTATCGCCAAGCCAATTTTCTTAATAATTTTTATATAAAATTGAACGCTTTACAAAAATGATAAATCGAACCATTTTAAATATATTCGAGGTCAAAGATTGAAGAGTTTAAAGATAAATAATTTTTTGTTCTGAATTTTGCCATTGCCTGAAAAATAATTAATAATAATAATAATAATAATAATAATAATAATAATAATTTTATTCACGTATTAATATACAATGAAAAAGACACGGTTCAGATGAACAAAATAAGATATTTTGAGGTTCCGTTTTTAAACCTATCCTACGAAGAAGGTAGCAGCGCTAGGCAGGAAAAATACACATAAAAAAAATAAATACCTACTACGATCTGTGCAAATAGAGGGATTTACACTTTGGAAATAGTTTACAGTAGACATTACTTAAATATTTTATGGTAATAACGCAGGTGTGTGGAAAAGGTATTGTTTAGCAATTTACAAGACTGATCTAATGCATTAAATGTTTTAGCCATGTCATATGTAAAAGATCTTTCAAAAATTCCAGAGGTGTGACGTGGAGGGGTGAGTAGGCCTTTAAATCTTAAATTTAAATTGTGAACATCCGTGCGAAAGCTGATTTGAATGAATCTTAGACAGTATTTCTGGATTTTTTGAATCTGTTCCGAGGCAGCCGCTGTCGGACATGGGCCATAGACGACATCACAGTGGTTAAAAGAAGATAAAACTATCGAATCACGCCAGACATTTTTTAATGATTGACTTAAAATATTTTTAGAACCATATAAGCATTTTAAGTGAGCAATGGATTTTTTAATACATTGTGTAAGGTTACCATTAAATCTTAGCTTACTGTCGAGCATAAGCCCAGCGTTTTTTGCCTCGGTTTTCAGAGGAAACCACACATTCGATATTTTTATTTCAACTAGTAATCGATCAACATCCACGGGCTTGTCATAGAACATTGCTATAGATTTTTTTGGATTTAGATCATTATTTATGATTATCTCCCGAAAATGAGTAATAAACTTGTGTATCATCTGCATACATTTGGAAGTTTCTTTGAAAAAAAAATTACTTTTGCATAAATTTCTGCTACAATCCAAGACTCAAGTTTTACAGCCTTAATCAGCGCACAAAAATTAATTGTTAAAATTTGGTACAACAAGACATATGCAAAACTGTTTCTATTAACCCCATCTTACGGTACTAGGCCACTCGATGCCACTAGGTCCCGGAGATCTTCTTCTTCTTCTTCCAGTGCCTGCTTCACTCTAGTGAAGGTTGGCAATCATCCTTTGGAATTCCTCGCGATCTTCAGTCATGCGTATTAGATTTACGGCATCACGTACATGGAACCAATCTCGAAGATTTTTCAACCATGAAAATCTTTTTCTACCCAGGCCGCGCCTGCGTTCTATCTTTCCTTCCATGATCAGCTGTAATAAGGCATATTTTTTATTTCTAAAAATGTGACCAAATTAGGAGGCTTTCCTTCTCTTGACAGTGGTTAGTAATTCTCGTTCTCTGTTCATTCGTCTTAGCACATCTTCGTTGGTCACACGATCCGTCCATGGTATTTTAAGGATCCGTCTAAAGAGCCACATTTCAAAAGCTTCCTTCCACCCTTCGCATGCTGGAGACCTTCAAAGTCCAGCTCTCAGCACCATAAAGTAGGGTAGTCAAAACATAGCATTGAGTTATTCTCCAGCGTGTTTTCAGGTTAAGATCATTACTTGTGAGAAGCGACTTTAAAAAACTTGCTCCTGGCTATCTCTATTCTTGTCTTAATTTCTTCATCTGGGTCCCACTCGTCATTTAGCCAGCTTCCCAAATACTTAAAGCGGTGTACTCTCTGTATGGGTTGGTTATTAATTGACAGTGACGCATTGTTAATACCAGTTTTAGACATTACCATGAATTTCGTTTTACTGTAGTTTATTTTAAGTCCGTAATTTTCACCCGGAGATCACATACCAGAATTCCGTTGTACGTCTCAAAGACTACAGACACGTGAATGACGGCAGATTGACATTTGTTTCACGGAAAACGAAAAAACCTGTGTACCGCGTATGTATATATTTCCAATTTGACTTTTGTTTGCAGGACGCGCCCGCGCGCCCAGACGCGAACGACACCATGAGAACGACCAAGGAGAACAGGTGAAAGGGTTATGCCCTCTTCTCTGATATCGAGCACCCCTTACAAGGGGCTCTTCCTTTTGATTTTGCTCTTCGTCGCCCTGGAATATTTCTTCAACACAGTTTCGGAAACAAAATCGGCCATTTTCAACTCCACCAAGTGAGCGCCGCTGCCGGGAAGCAGATTGGACGGTGGATCGTTTTTCTTTTCTAGGTCAACCCTCCCGTCAAAATCTCTCGGCTACGGGCCTCTCTTGAAAACGCTCCTCTTCAAAAACAACCAGTCGGTCGGCTCCGACGCCGCCCCCATCTCGCCCGCGCCGACCCCGAAAACAACCGGTTTGAGCTACATAGTTACGGTGTTGCCAATTTTTCGCCCAAATCTCACGACCAATTCGGCCAACGTTGCGGCGTTGTTCGAAGTCGGCAGCGTCTCCGCGTCGCCTGAGAACGCGTCGACGACGTTTGGCGCGAAATCTACCGACGCGCCCCCATGCGGCGACGCCACCCCGAATCTCCGTGAGTATAGTTCGCCCGACGATATACCGTTTTTACGACGAGATAAAGTAAAACAACGCCGAAATAAGAAGTACAAAATACACCCAATGATTAAAAGTTTGAGATAAATGATGGATTTGTGTAGAGTTTCATCAGAAAGATTCCTCGATTATTATTAGTCCATCCAGTGAAAAATCCATTATTACTTTAAAATGTTCGTTATAAATATAAATGAAGGAGTAAGTTTAGCTATATAAGCTTATTCTACATCAAAATAATCACTATCGTCACTGGACTCGTCCCCCACACTAGTCGACTTCTGTAAACATTTTCTTCTTCGATGACATATTCTACACTTTTTTTTCCTGCTAGAAGCAGATACTTTTTCTAATTCACTTCTAATTAATTCTGTTGCCGCAGCGCTATCGGATTAAAATTGCAGTGATATCGTGGAAGACGGAGAGCTTTGAATCCCCGCTCTATGGCCAACTTGTCCACATTATAATTCTTATCAACCGTTCCCGTCTTGAGAATTTCCAATAACTGCTTCTGTGTGTAGGAATTTTCAAAATGCGTACGAGGGCAGCGCCAAAACTCCGCGGCCTGAATATGAGTTAAACAAAGTAGAGTAACAATTTATTTTTTATTATTGTTCAATATAATCCCCCTTAACTTAAATACACTTATTACATCTCTTTATTAACAACTCAATCCCTTTAAAAAAATATTCTTTTGGTTTGACTGCAAAATGAGCTAAAACAGCCTCTTTTAACTCAACTTTGTCGTTAAACCGCCGTCCACGTAAGTCGTTTTTCAAATATCCAAACAAATACTACTCGCTGAGGGCCATATCTGGACTATAGGGAGGATGATCTATCTGTTGGAACCGACACTCTAAAATGGCAGCTTGTGCAACACCAGCAGTATGGACAGGTGCATTATCGTGCAAAAGACGCACGCCTCTGGTCAGTTTTCCTCGACGTTTTACACGTATACAGTCTAGCAAATTATGTAATAATGTTGCGTAACATTTACCATTGCCAGCGGTTTAGTTTCTTTAAAATCTATCAAAAGAATTCCGTCACAATCCCAAAAGATCGTGGCCATCACCTTTTTTGTTGACGCAAGACTTCTTTTTTTTTCGCACCCTACTACTATATTTAAAAGAAGACAAGCAAAGAATTTCTTCTTCTTTGGTCGATGATGAATTCGGTATTTTTTCCGCTTGTGCAGAATTGTCCATCATTACAACACTGTTTGCTGCAATATTGAGAAGCAATTTTTCAGAAAACCATTTTTCAAAGATGCCTGCTCTGATATTCAGAGCAGATTCTTTGACATCTTTTGCATCAAGCAACAAAGCGTTATCTTCCCAACCAGCTTCGGAGCCCGCATTTGGTAAGATAATTCATTTGCCCCGCAAAACTGGAACATCCAATGAACATTTCCTGCTGTTACCATCATCCATCCTTTCTTGACGGTATCGTTTCTATCAAACGAGGTTTCATATAAATATATGACGTTTTTTTCTTGTATCCATAAAAACTTGTCCCATATTTATGGTTTTGTAATAAAAACTAATTCTTCGTACGAAGGCAGGAAGGCCCCATGTAAATTTTTAATTCTTAAAACAATATTCTTCTGATATGCATATTAATCGTCTCACTATACAACTTTAGACGTGGACTAACTCAACAACAATGCATCGATGAACTTAATTCGATTTTTGCAGTTAAAGCACCATCTTCAGTCGTGGTCGTAGTTTTCTTAAGGAAACATTGATGCAGTGCGGAAACTGATTTTGCATGATCGTCATATGACTTACCATGAGATTAAGGTATCTTTGGACATTAGTGGGACCAGCATACATACAATTTTGCATGAACATTTGGTCGCTAAAAAAATTTGTTCGCGTTGGATTCCACACAATTTCACGTCACCTGAAAAAAAGACTCGTGTCGAAGGAAATGCTAAAAAAATACGATGCGGTGATCGAAGCACCTCGAAACAAATGTTAGCCTGTTTTTTTAGGAACTTCAACTGTTCCTTTGGAGAAAGGTAAAACAATCAATTCGGAATGGTACACAACCATTTGTTTGCTGAAAGTCTTCGAAGAAATTAGAAAAACCAACCGCCGAAGACGAATCACTCTCCACGACAACAATAAGTGCAAACAAATAACTTTTTGAGCATTAAAAACGTCGATTTGTTGAGCCATCCACCATATAGTACTGATTTAGCACCTAATGACTTCTTTTTATTCCCATACATTAACAACGATTTTTGACACCAGAAGAAGTGATTGATTTGTTTAAAAAGCATGTTTTTTAGGTGTCCGACTCGATGTGGGACAAGTGATTTGATGATTGGTTTTATCGAATGCAAAAGTGTATCATCAGGCTGAATATTTTGAGAAACAATAATGTCGTATCTGTTGGTACCTTATAGTTTTTTATTACAAATCCTGAAATATAAAAGGTGTATTAGAAGCTTATCTTTTGGAGCTTGAAACTGACAACGACGAGCAGTAGAAGTAACTATTTCCTTGGAAGAACTACTTGGTAAATTGTTGATAGAAGATGGGTGATATGTTTCTTTGATAGTATGCAAAGTCTTTCAGTATATTAAAATTGTTATTGCACTGTGTACACTGATAATATTGTTTTCTTGGGGCTATAATGTCAGCTGAATCTAAAAATTGATTAGTGAGTTTAAAGACAATTGTAGCAACTGTTACTCCGGGCGTGTAATTAAACACGAAACCGAACTTAAACAATTTACTATTCAAATGAAGTGGGTACCAATATCAAAACGTAATTTAACATGTCACACGTATTAACACTCGCCAACGGCCATCTTCTCATCTTCCACTGGCTCCCCCTCTTGTTACTTTTATTTGGACCGTACGTATCTACTTCAATGAGGCGGTCTGGTCGACGACTAATTCGTTTATGGGCGGATAGATGGTAGTGAGGGTGTTCATTTGTTACGCAATACTTTTAGTTTTGTCTTTTCTGGATGAAACTTTTTTGCGTGTTTTCTCAAACAGTGAGAGCTTTTAATGCCAAGCATTTTCAATAAATCAAACACAAATAAAACGAAAACGCCAGAGACCACAACGGTGCAAGGAATTACAGTCAAAAGAGTCAGAAGCCGTAATAAAATCGTATCAAACAATATCAAATCATAACAACGGTCATGACCTTCAAAACTATCTTGATATAGCAAACTAGTCTACCCGTTTCGTTACAGTTATGTTAAAGCCGTAAATTGGAAATCAATTTTTTGTGTTTTTAATATAGGAGATAAATGAAAACGAGCTACTTCAAGTAAGGATTGTTTTAGGAAGATTTATAAAAAGCAAACTAATATGAATTGATATGAACAGTTTAATCAAAGAAAATTTCCCTACTCTTAAAATACAATAGTCCGCACGGCACAGTTCTTGTCGGTTAACATCTTAAATACGGCCCTGGCTTGTGGCACACGTGCTAAAAACGCAGGTCTTAACCTCATTCCGAAGGCAAAACCATAAAAGGTTGTAAAAACGGTATAGCGTTCGGCGAACTTTAAAAATCGTTTTATTGTACGAGGGTCGCTTGAAAAGTTTCCGACTCAACAATGATACAAGACATTTTCTCTATTTGCGCAAAATTGTTGCCTGCTCATTTGACGAAAATCGTAATCCTCCTAGCGTAATTTTCAGATGAGTGAATAAAAATAGGTCACATGGGTTTAGATTTGGTGAAGTAAGACGGATGGTCAAGCTCTTCAAACCGTAATTCAAGCTAATGTATGGCTTGGTGAAACAGGATTTTTTTTTGCAAATGTGGCCTTTTTTCCCCAAATTCTGCCCTGAGCTTGACAAATAATAATGCGTAGTATGGTCCTGTAATGATTTTCCCTTTTTGAAAGTAAAAAATAGTCTCTCTCTCTCTCTCTCTCTCTCTCTCTCTCTCTCTCTCTCTCTCTCTCTCTCTCTCTCTCTCTCTCTCTCTCTCTCTCTCTCTCTCTCTCTCTCTCTCTCTCTCTCTCTCTCTCTCTCTCTCTCTCTCTCTCTCTCTCTCTTTCGACGGTCGTTTAACGCCACTCGATGAAGTTTTGCGATATTATCGTCGGTAGTTACAGTTTTTGGACATCCCGTACGTTGATCATCTCCAAAACTCTTACGGCCACGTTTCTTTAGCTGCCCAAAATTTCGCTGTGGTAAATGACGGTGCAGAGTCACACAAACAAATATTTTATAACAGCTCTATACTCAGTTCTTTCCATCACTAACTCTCACCTAAAAACTACGCGTCCAAAATGGCCGAAACTGTGGTAACTATCAAGAGGTGCACAACTACGATCGCTAGCTTTCAGTAACTAGCGCCGCCATCTTCAGGGTGGGGAGGGAAACTTTTCAAGTGACCCTCGTATATGCGCATTGGGCGAACGGCCCTGGTTTACTGAAGTCTGTCGGGTTGACACTGTGGTATGATTGATTTCCGTTTGGTGTTTATGGACATTATTTAGCACTAACGGCTTTTTACGTTTTTTTTTTCTGGCCAGTGGGTAGACTGCAGGTGATCAAAAATCGCGTGCCTTCTATCCGCGACTTGGAGAAGCGGTTCGCGTGGCTAAAACCCGGCGGTCATTGGGCGCCCGACACTTGCACCGTCTCGAGAAAGGTCGCCATCGTCATACCGTTTCGGTGCAGAGGCGAACACCTGCTCGTCTTCCTCCAGCACATGCACCCCTTCCTCAAGCGTCAACTACTGGACTACACGATCTTCATAGTCGAACAAGACGGCGACGGACCTTTTAACAGGTACCACCGCCTCCTACGTTCCGAGACTCGCGAGCGCGTTCTTCTTTTTCTTCTAAATCGAGGACAATGACGCAAATGACAAATGACACAGACAACAAAATGTCACGCAGGTAGAAACATAGAGATCGCTTTAGAAGTTTTTAGAAAGGAACGCTGTTGATACAACAAATACAGACATTTCTAGAATTGATTAATCATTTCTGCAAGCACTCTAAAGCTGTTGAAAGCTTTTTTGGAAGCTATTAGTGTTATTAAATTTGTCACTCGACTCTGCAAGGAGGTAGAAACATCGAGATCGCTCTAGAAGTTTTTAGAAAGGAATGCTCTTGATACAATACATACGGACATTTCTAGAATGGATGAAATATTTTTTCAGCCAGCACTCTAAAAATTTTTAAAAGCTCTAGTGGAAGTTTTTATTGGTATTAAATTTGTCAACGCTCTAAAAGCTTTTAGAATCTAATATTCTTCGTTCGATCAATAGCTCGAATTGCTAGAATTGTTGAATTATTTTTTCTGGAAGCACTCGAAATTTCTCTAATTGTAGTTAAGCTGGTTAAGGTTTCCGTTTCAATACAATTCCTTTTAATCTCTATCATTTAAATAAAAAAAGGCCAAGGCCATGACGCTCTTGTGCTTCTGCGTGGGACGAATACCAATCGGAAAACGTGTTTAGCTGCCTGGTTCTTCTTTGCGCCGAGTAAAGTATCAGAGAAATGAGTCGTTTTGGTAAGGTCGAGTTTCGTCGGGGCCACACTGAAAGATCACTCGGCCAAAATCGATCTACTAAAAACTCGAATAGGAAATAGCGCCAAACAGGGCGGAGTCTTTTACCCGGACACCCCTTGTTTTAGGGCGATGCTGATGAACGTCGGCTACGTGGAGGCCCTGAAGGCGCGCGCCTTCGACTGTTTCGTGTTCCACGACATCGACTTGTTGCCCGAGGACGACCGTAACCTGTACACGTGTCCCGACCAGCCCAGGCACATGAGCGTCGCAGTCGACATTTTCAAATACCGATTGCCGTATCCGGCGATATTCGGCGGCGTCTCCGCCATCACGACCGAACACTTTAAACTGCTCAACGGTTTCTCGAATTCGTTTTGGGGCTGGGGCGGCGAAGACGACGACATGTCGAACCGTATACGGTACCACCACCTCCACATCTCGCGGTACCCGATCAACGTCGCTAGGTACACGATGCTGACACACAAAAAGGGCAAGCCCAGCCCTAACAGGTGACGCTCTAGAAGTTTTTAGAAATACAATACAATAATTACAGACATTTCTAGAATTGATGAATTATTTTTTCTGCTAGCACTGTAAAATTTTTGAAACCTCTATTGGAAGTTATGTTATTGGTGTTAAATTCATGTCACTCGACTCTTCACGGATATAGAAACATCGAGAACGCTCTAGAAGTTTTTAGAAATACAATACAATAAATACAGACATTTCTAGAATTGATGAAGTATTTTTTCTGCCTGCACTCTAAAATTTTTGAAAGCTCTATCGGAAGTTATTACTGGTATTAAATTTGTCACGCGACTTTTCACGGAGGTTTTTAGAAAGTCTTCCTACAATCAATACACACGTTGCTCGAATTGATAAATCATTTTTTATGCTAGCACTCTAAAATTTTTGAAACCTCTATTGGAAGTTATGTTATTGGTGTTAAATTCATGTCACTCGACTCTTCACGGATGTAGAAACATCGAGAACGCTCTAGAAGGTTTTAGAAAGGAATCCTCTTGATACAGTAAATACAGACATTTTTCTAGAATTCATGAATTATTTTTTCTGCTAGCACTCTAAAATTTTTGAAAGCTCTATTGGAAGTTATGTTATTGGTGTTAAATTCATGTCACTCGACTCTTCACGGATGTAGAAACATCGAGAACGCTCTAGAAGGTTTTAGAAAGGAATCCTCTTGATACAGTAAATACAGACATTTTTCTAGAATTCATGAATTATTTTTTCTGCTAGCACTCTAAAATTTTTGAAAGCTCTATTGGAAATTATGTTATTGGTATTAAATTCATGTCACTCGACTCTTCACGGAGGTAGAAACATCGAGAACGCTCTAGAAGTTTTTAGAAATACAATACAATAAATACAGACATTTCTAGAATTGATGATGTATTTTTTCAACCTGCACTCTAAAATTTTTGAAAGCCCTATCGGAAGTTATTACTGGTATTAAATTTGTCACGCGACTTTTCACGGAGGTTTTTAGAAAGTCTTCCTACAATCAATACACACGTTGCCCGAATTGATAAATCATTTTTTATGCTAGCACTCTAAAATTTTGAAAGCTCTACTGGAAGCTATTATTGTATTAGATTTGTCACGCGATTGTTCACGGAGGTAAAAACATCGAGAATACTCTAAAAGCTGTTAGAAACTAATACTCTTCGTACAATCAATGCACACATTACTAGAATTGATGAAATATTTTTTTGCAAGCACTCTAAAATTCTTAAAACCTCTACTGGAAGCTATGATTATATTAAATATGTCACGCGACTGTTCATGGAGGTAGAAACATCGAGAACGCTCTAGAAGTTTTTAGAAATACAATACAATAAATACAGACATTTCTCGAATTGATGAATTATTTTTTCTGCTAGCACTGTAAAATTTTTGAAACCTCTATTGGAAGTTATGTTATTGGTGTTAAATTCATGTCACTCGACTCTTCACGGATGTAGAAACATCGAGAACGCTCTAGAAGTTTTTAGAAATACAATACAATAAATACAGAAATTTCTAGAATTGATGAAGTATTTTTTCTGCCTGCACTCTAAAATTTCTGAAAGCTCTATCTGAAGTTATTACTGGTATTAAATTTGTCACGCGACTTTTCACGGAGGTTTTTAGAAAGTCTTCCTACAATCAATACACACGTTGCCCGAATTGATAAATCATTTTTTATGCTAGCACTCTAAAATTTTTGAAAGCTCTACTGGAAGCTATTATTGTATTAGATTTGTCACGCGACTCTTCACGGAAGTAAAAACATCGAGAATACTCTAAAAGGTGTTAGAAACTAATACTCTTCGTACAATCAATGCACGCATTACTAGAATTGATGAAATATTTTTTTGCAAGCACTCTAAAATTTTTAAAACCTCTACTGGAAGCTATTATTATATTAAATATGTCACGCGACTGTTCATGGAGGTAGGAACATCGAGAACGCTGTAGAAGTTTTTAGAAACTAATACTCTTCATAGACAAATTGCTAGAATTGATTGATTGTTTTTTTGACAAGCACTCTAAAATTCTTGAAACCCCTATTAGATGCTATTATTCCAGGTACGACATGTTGAAGCAAGGTCTCAAGCGGTTCGACACCGACGGCCTGGTCAATTTGAAATACGACCTGGTCCAGAAGAAACGAAAACTGCTCTACACGTGGCTCTTGGTCGGTATTCGTCCGCCCAGTTGATAGAGCGCACGTGACGCCACCGTTACCTCGTCGCAATCTCCTGTGGGACGTCGTTATATCCGCGTTGTTGGGACATGCGTCATATTGACGTTGGATCAACGTCGTTTTTCACAATGTTTGTTTAATTCATTTGTCTCGGTCCGTTCGAAAGTGCATCGAATCTTAGCGTTTCAGGGATAGATTCTTTTGAAAGGAAATTTTGTTTTCGACTAGTCGAAAGCCGCGTCCCCATCCATCCAGTAGCGCGCGTCCTGTGATAAACCGCAAATCACGTCTTCGTCGCATTAAAGCTTCAAGATATTTTGCGACGTCGTACAGTGCTCTATACCATGGTAAAAATGAGAAATTTTCGCTTTTTTTTTACATTATTTCCTGATAAAGGGCTGTCTGAATTGTAGAAAGGAATCTTCAATTGAAATCAGGTCGTCTTGTTTAAATTGACAGTCAAGGTACGTAAATGTACCACTTGACATTTGACGTTTGTAATTTAGATAGAATCCAAAAATAAATTTTCCATAACGGAAAATCTGGATAACATTTTAATTGGCTGTAACTTTTTTGTTTATAGAAAGAAAGATTTATTTAGCCATTTTTTACATAAAAAGTCTTTACAACAAAATGGCGCGTAAGTAGTATAAAAGAAAAAAGATTTACGCTGATAACTTGTGGTTTTGGATAAATAAATCGTCTAAATAGAAAAATTACATGCGTCATCCTCATGCCATCCTCAGCAAAGGATTTAAGATGCCTCAGCAGGTAAAGTCTAGTGGACAATCTGTTACAAAGGGGTTCGATATGTGATTCCCATGTCAACGATCTATCCAGTGTGACGCCCACTGGGACCTGATTCAGATCACTGACTCCAAGGGGAGATCATTAATGTATATGTCGAAAAGTAGGGGGCCGAGGATAGAGCCTTGCGGAACACCGTACCTGAGATATCAAGGTAAACAAAAAATTTAAATGGATCGCCCTGTATATTATATGTGTTTAATAGAATATAACCAGCACCTTCACGGGAACGAAATTATAGAAAATTTCGAATTATCGTTCGGGCGATTATCGAAAGACGCGCTTGAAGCTCGCCATAAAGTACGCAAATATCGTTTAGAAGTCATCCTGTGTAAACGCAACTCCAGATTTGATAAGACACTTAGCTTTAACTTCAGATGCTCTTCCAGCCTCCAAGAGAAATATTTATGTTAAGAAGAAAAGCGTTTTAGTTTCAGATAAGCAGATTCAGATGATCATAAAATTAACCTGAGTGAATTAAGCTCCTCCGATTCTGATGATTCCAGCTAAATTACAACTATTAAGATACAGATATTGATAAAGGCAACACAAATTAGAGTTTTGCTAATTTAATATGTTGTATTTAATTTTTGTTTTGTTTTTTGTGTTTGTATTACTTAATTTTTACCTGTGGAGATTTTTGTCGTATCAATCCAGAAGTAATAGAAATGACACAATCGGCACTGCATATTTTATATTTAAGATATCTTATATATTGCTTACGCTTAGAACTTCCTAAAGTACAACGGAAAGAGGATTAAATAATTTGAAGAAAATACATACAAAATGTCTTTTAAGAGCTCTGCAAACATTTCTCATATCTAATTTTATATTTCATGTCCGTTGAAATCTATTTTGAACCCACAAAAATGATTCATTCCTTCATAATGTGGAACTGTGTAGAAATTTAAGATTATTTCTTAATTAATAGGTCGGGTTTAAACTTAATTTACTAGAAAAAAATCCAAGTCACATTTGACTTAATTAAATTTTTGGAAAAACTATGATTTTTTCCGGTTTTTCTCTATGTCGTGGAGCACTGTGCGTCGTAGCGAAAAGGCGAGACTTATAAGATGGTTAGGCGTTTGCCGACTACATTTTTTCAAAGGTGCCAAATCCCTTTCGTTTTGGCCGTCAGTTTGGCAACGATGCGCGAACGTCTCGTTTCGGCCTAAACACAAATGCGTTCGCGTCCCGACGTTTCAGTCATCGTGGTAGAAATATTATCTTCAGTTCGAATGTCGGTAATGCGCGAATGTCCTCAGATGACGTGCCCAACGTAGTAAAAAGTAAGGAAGAAGTTGTCTTCGATTGTATTACCTCAGTAGATACATAAAGAGAGTTCAGACGAACAAACGCACGTTGCAACGTATTACGTCACGGGCGACGCAGCATTTTCTACGTACATCTACGTACAGGGTGGGCACTTTATTAGGGGCTTGTACCTTTTTTCAGTAATTACCGATTTTAGAAAAAAAAAGTTTATGCAAAACTTTATGGTTTAATTAATTTTTAAAATTTTTATATTATTTAATTTTTACATATACATGGTGACCGATAAGTGCTGGAACGATATTAGTTTTAAAAATTTAAATGGAACATGGAACAGCCTATATATTTTGATATTTTTAAAATCCTTAGCAAGAATAAAGGTAACTTTTATAGAAACTACTTATTCGAATTTTGTGTAGTTTATAGAGAAATTGAGATTATATATTTTTTTATGAAAATTATGTTCTTAGTTAATATGGTCTTCCTGGGCTGGCAGTAACGACTACTTGATCAAATTTTAAACACATTTTTAGACTAACGATCGGCGATGACTACCTATTTTTAAATTATGCAGAAAATTAAAGGTAATTTTTTAAAATTTCAACTTGCGGTATTCTTTTTTTTTAATGAGACGTCCATGTTTTTGATGTTTTTTCTCAAAGCGAGTCAAAATACCTATAGTTTGGTGTATATATATGTCCCATACCCAAACCTTACTATGCTCTTGTACCTAAATCTTTGAAGTTTTTAGGAAAATTATTTTAAAGGATTTTATAATGGCATATCTTTCTTATATTTTATTTAGTTATATTTTATATTTATATTTTATAATAATTGTTTTAAGTGAAATTATAATGAAGTTACATTATTATTACTTAAGTTATAAATGTATAAGCTACAAGAAAAAACAGATATGCTTGAATGTTTTTTATAGAATTCGAAAAGTCCAGCTCTGGCTCTTAGAGAGTATCAAAGAAAATTTCCTGTAAGGCGGGTTCCACAGAAGAAGCTATTTCGAAACATTTATGCAAAGTTTAGGCAAGATGATAGCCTTCTGCCAACAACCAAGAAAAGACCACGACAAGTTCTCATAGAGGGGAAGCAGTTGGATGTACTACTACAAACATAAATAGTAAATGAAATACCAGCTTGTGAACGTGCTAAAATTAATATGGCAGCAAGACGGCGCTCCGTACCACCGGGGAAACGATATCACTGAATTTTTAAACCAAAATTACAATCTTTAGATAGGACAAAATGAAAACATCTGGTGGCCACCTGGAAGTCTAGATCTTACCCCACTGGACTTTTTTTTATGGGGGACAATTAAAAATATGGTATATAAAGAAAGATGCAGTAAGGTAAATGAACCACAGAGCTGTATTAGAGAAGCTGTAATGCAGTTACAGTTACTGTTGTTTGTTGCTTTTACTGTCACTTGTTTTAAATTTTTAAAGTTCTATCATAATTATACATATTATTTTACATGGTTGACGATATAAAAAATTATGACGTTTTAATTTAATATTACCTTACCCACAGTTGAAGTTGAAATTTTAAAAAAATGTCATCGCAGATCGCGGAAGACCATACTTATTAAGAACATAATTTTGCATAAAATAATTTAAATTCTCAATTTCTGTCGAAACTACACAAAATTCAAATAAGCAGTCGCTGTTTGGTAAGGATTCTAAAAATATCAAAATGTATAGGATGCCCCGTTTAAAATTTCAAAACTGATGTCTGTCCAGCACTTTTCGGACACCCTGTATATATATAAAACTTTTGTATAATTTTTCTTTCTAAAATCCTGAGAAAAGGTACTGGCCCCTAATAAAGTGCCTACCCTGTAGGCGTTTTAAAAGTTGCGCGTGACGTATTACATCGCCACGTGTGTTGGTCTGAACTTCCTCGGTTTAGGTTATGTTCGACTTTATTCTCTCTTTGCGCATCTACTTACCTCTAACCTATTGTGTAAGTTTGTTTTTGTTGGCTGTGAGAATGCATATTAATAGGTCGAAGTCCGCCATTTATATTTATTACGCACACCTTCATACGTCGCACAGCGGCGGCGCGTCACGTTTTCGTTCCATTCAATTTGTCGTCGAACGCAGAGAGTAAAATTGAAACGACGCTCTCTATCTCCATCACTACGTGTTTTCCCTGTGGAATATTTGGCTGGGGGGGCCACCCGCAAATTATTTATTTTAATTCTAATTTTTAAAAATGCCTCTGCGTTCGTTTCGAAACGGGGCGTAGTGATCTTTTCGTTCCTTTTATTTATACAGGGTGTTATTTAAATGCTCGACCAAACCTATACGGCTGGATTGTGCGTGAACATGTAAACAAGATGTTTAAAAACTTTCGAGGAAATATCTTAGTCATATTAAGCGAAACATCGTTTTTTTTCTCGATAATTTTTTTTGTTTATTTGGTCAGCCGCGCAATAACCTAACCAAACTTTATACTTTGGGTATCGCGTTTGTTCGTACTGCGTTTCAGTCGCTATTGTATGGTCCCGCAGCTTCACAGAATCAGAGCCCTCATTCAGATTGTGATATTTCCATATAAACGTGAATAAAAACGCGTTTTTTGCAACGTGCGTTTCTTATTTCTTCGTCGCCTGGGCGGCGCGTATCGCGCTCGTCACATCGACCGCCTCGAACCTCTTCGTCGCGGCCAGGAGCTCCAAGAACGCGTCGTCCGTCACCAACTCGTGTGACAAAACGCGCCCGTCGAAATCGGGGCGACGGAGGCGCTCGTAAATGCGGGTCGCTTTCTCGACGATGCTGCCGTCGTCTCGACGTACGGCACTGGCGACGACGGTCATCACAGCATCGAGAGGCGCGAAAAAGGCGACGCTAGCGTCGTCCGGTACATTGTCATCGCTGCAATGCAGATGCAATTGTAGAGAAGCAAAAAGAGTTTACGCACGGCGTTATCCGCATAGAAGAGTCCCCGATGCAAAAACCTTTTCAAGTTTATGTAAAAACTTAAGAGAATATGGCAGCTTCATAAAACCTAAAAGAGATAGGAACAGGACGGCTACAAATGATGAAAATACTGCTGCTGTAATTCAGCAGGTTGATAATAATCCCAAGATATCCCTATCAGAGATAAAAGAAAATACCGGTGTTAATATAAGTTCTTCGTGGAGAATTCTACATAGAAACTCTTTTCACCCGTACAAAAGTAAACTAGTTCATAAACTAGAACCAGGCGATTATGCTAGAAGAATGTATTGCTTAGCGACATTGTCCGATTTGTATAGCCAAGATGCAAATTTTCTCTCGAAAATTTTATGGAGCGACGAAAGTCGATTTCAAAATAATGGAATCGTTAATAGACACAACTGTCGTTTTTGGTCCGAAAACCATCCTCGTTGGATTACAGAAAGAGGTAACCAACGAATTTTTAGTATCAATGTTTGGTGCGGCATATTAAATGGATTCCTTATTGGACCTTACTTTTACGAAGGAACTTTAAATGCAGATCGCTATTTAAGATTTCTTCAAACTACACTTCCGGAACTATTAGAAGAAGTGCCTTTTGACACTAGAATGAATATGTGGCTACAGCAGGATGGAGCGCCTGCACATAATGCCCAAATAGTAACGAGGTATTTGAACCGAGAATATCCCAATAGATGGTTTGGTACTAATGGACCGGTAAGGTGGCCGGCGAGGTCCCCGGACATTACACCACCAGATTATTTTGTTTGGCGCGACCTAAAAAACGTTATCTATGAAGAACCTATCGAAGATATGGCTGATCTCATTAACAAAATTAGTGCAGCGTGTGCCGCTATCACAAGAAGGACTCTCCTACAAGTGACCCAAGCTCATCCGTTAAAAGTTTTTGATAGTTGTGTTCGAGCAGATGGACATAATTTTGAACAAAATTTTTGAAATGTCTTATTATGTAGTTAATTGCAATAATAATTTTGGTTATTAACTTGTAGGTATTTTACTGTTTTTTCACTTATTTATCATGTTATCAGAACTAAATCGATAAAAAATAATAAATAAAATCATACTAAAATAGTTGAAATCTATTGTTTGTAATTGCACTTAAAACAACTGCGATAACAATGGCATTCATGGCATACTTGTAAAAATAAGCGTTAATCACATTTTTTATTAATCAAGAAATTTTTTAAATTGGTATAACTTAGAAACGGGTAAAGTAAATAAGTTTGAGTAAATAACAAAAAAGTTTTTAAATAATATGTACTTTTGTATGCGCGTATTTCCAAAGTCTCTGCAATCGAATAATTTTTCGACGCGTCGCGACGCCCAGCTCTTTGCAGGCGTCGAATTTTTTAAACTTTAGGAAATATCTACTTGACCCCAGACTTTGACTACTTTTTACATAAATTAAATATTTCTTTTCGTTTTGGAGTTATTGGCGTGCGGAGTTTTAAGTGAAAAACCCTGTATACCGAAAAATTACAATAAAACCTTAATTAATATTGTTGTGAGAATTTAAGTTTAATAATGGAGAGATATTTAAATCTAATTGATGGATAAGCAATACATTTGAATGTCTCATTTTGTTGATCTGTATGGCTTCCAATAAATTTAATTTTATTTTGTGGCTGTATGTAAAATATCAAAATTGTCGTCAAAATGTATTTTTCTGTGTCAAAGTGTGTAGCATTATTAGAATCTAGACTATTGTTTTTATATATAAATATATAAATTTTAGGACATGATCCACATTTCAACCTGTAGACTGATTTTTGAGGTTTTGGGCACTTCGTTTTATTGTTATTAAAAAAAAATTCTAATGTGTTCAAAATCTCAGGTTGAAATGCGGATCTTGTCCTAAAATTTATATTGGGCAGGTAGATCCACATTTTTGACGACAATTTTGACATTTTACATATAGCAACAAAAAGTAGAAAATTAAATTTATTGGAAGCCATGGAGATTAACAAAATGAGACATCATCAATCCACTCAGTTTGGAAAGAATATAAATATAATGCATTTAAATTTCGTAAAACTAAAAAACTTTTGTTTTGTTTGGATTTTTGAAATAGACATAATCAACACCATTAATAACGAAGTCGTCGAAAGGGTTGAGAAATTCATTTATTTAGGAAGCAGGCATGAGAGCATTCTGTAGAGATCAAATGTCGCATAGAAAAAGTTCGAAGCACTTTCACTACCATGAAAATCCTATTCACCTCAGTTTGGAGCTGAAAAAACGAATAGCAAACTGCTACATCTACCCGATACTTCTGTATGGAATGGAGAGTTGGACAATGTCGAAGGTCACGGAGAAACGAATTAATGCCTTTCAGATATAGATTTGCGGAAGATTCCCGAAGCCACCTGAGATCGATCGCACAACAAATAACGAAGTTCTGAACAGAATGAGATGCCAGCCGCAATTAAAAAATTAAAATAAATATCGCCTATTACTAAACATCATGCAGGGCAAGGGAGATGGAAAAAGTGGCCCGGGTAGAAGGCGAATCTCCTGGTTGGCAATGGTGTGGTGCTACCTACTAAAGTTTGAATAACGACGATGCCTGTCTTAAATCATTAAAACCGTCGACATAGGGTGATCTACATTAATGTATATTGACCTGTCGGCGTCCGGTACCGCGTCGACCGAGTGGGCGTCGTTGCCGTCGCGGACAACGTCCTCGACGAGGCGATCCACGAGCCCTCGGGCGGTCTTCAAGATACGCTGCCGCGCTGCGCAGTATCTCCGTCCCACGTCCGCGTCCCGACACACCCTCTCGCCTATAACCAACGCCAGCGCTTTGGCGAATCCCGCCCCTACGGATTCGTCCTTGCAGAAATCGAGCAGCAGCTCTTGGTACTTGACTGCGCGTCGGTCGGGTACGCGGTACACTTTACGCAGCACCTCCTCGGCACCGCTCCACAACTTTATCCCGTCGAAATCGCGCTCCGTCACTGTCAGCGTCGCTTCCGGATCGCGCTTCCGGAACCACACCATCGCCCGCATCAGTTCTTCTTCGCCGGGGTAACCCAAGTTGTGCACGACGAAGTCTTTCCAATAAACGTACTCGAGACCTTCTCCGAACAGTCGTTCGATGACTTTTTGCAAACATTCAGCGTCCAATCGGGACCACGGGGTCGGAACAGACGGCTGGCACCACACCACGTCCTGCAGGAGGTACGTGAAGGCGGCGGAAGGCATATATCCGGTCGGGCTCAGATCGAGCAACACGTCCACGAAACGAGACAACTGGGCGGGGGTGAAACACGCACTTTCCGCTTCCCGTTTGGGTTCACGCACGCGTTCTCGGGCGACGTACACCGTACGAGCGTTCCTAACCTCAAACTGCCCGTCGACTGGTTCCGTAGCTTCGACGGCGGAAGCGAACGCGTCGCAGACATACGTTACGTTCTCCATCTCTGTCGCGTACTCGGCACGGACGTCTTCGAAGATGGCGCGATACGCGTCGCGCACCGTCGCGATAGTCTTGTCGATATCGCGAACGGCGACGCGTTTTAAGAGGTCGAGTCGCAAGGAAACGCGGGCCGTTTCGCCTTTGACGCAGCGTCGCCACTCTTCGAGCATCACGGCGGCATTATCGGCGATCGAGACGTCGTCGTGGTCGGCGGCGGCCGCGACGCCTAAAGTCGGGTCCATACGGGTTACTGAACCTCGTAATAAACAGTGGGCTATGGTCTGTTCATAGGTATAAGAAAGTGACCAATTGCTTTTGAATGGGATTATCCAAGGGTGGTCATTAACATACAATGCAACAAGATTATTACCTAAAGTTTCGGAATTTAAATTCAGGTAAAATTGTGGACCGTAATAAAAAATAATTTTATACCTACCTGTGTTTAATATTCCTTGGTTTGGTATACTACTTAGTTCAAGTTTATTAATAACCATTCTTATTTCGTGTGTAATACAGCGTGTGTTGAATCGTGTGCGAATTATGCAAAATATAATATGGCGTAAAATTTACCAGTTATACGAGGAACAAAGCGTGTATACATTAGATATCTTAGGAGGCTTGAAAAAGATGAAACCGGTGTTAAACGTGGCAGAACTACCTTACGGAAGTGTGTATTCAACTCATGGGCTTTATATTTAAAAAAATTGACAAAAGGCAAGTTTTAATGGAATATTTTAGAATTCGGAAATGGTGACTGGCCAATTATTTACTTGGATGATACCTGGTTCGGCATTTATGATACCCCGGAAAAGGGTTAGGATGACTCAACTGATAAGTGTAAAATAAACGCGCGATCAAAAAGAGGTAAAAGAATAACTATTTTGTATGCTGGCTCTGAAGATGGTCGGATTCCAAAAAATATTAAAGATTCTTCTCTGGATTACCACGAAGACACCACCGCTGATTTATTTGAAAGTTGGTTTAAAAACAAACTAGTTCCAAACATTCCTCCTAATACCGTCATTGTAATGGACAATGCAAGTTACAGTAGACAGTTGACTAAAACCCCTTCCTCATGTGACACAAAAGCAACAATCCAAAACTACAGTAGATAGATAGATAGATAGATAGATAGATAGATAGATAGATTATTTATTCACAAAACCAGGTGATACAATGGATGTTTCGTCAATAAATACAAATAATAAATTACAAGTTTCATTGTAAAAACAATGTATATCATAATCTTAAGTAATGTGTAGAACGAATACGAGTATATATTTATATAACAAACATGACAAACAAGTTAATGTAATTTAAAATAAAAGAGAGTTTACATTAGAAAAATCTCGGTAAACTTTTGACGTTATTTACGATGCTCTCAGGTACGCTTCAAATTCTTTCAGGCTGTAGAAAGCATTGGCCGTCAGGAGCCTCTTGATGTGTTTTTTAAATTGATTTATAGATAAATTTTTTAAGCTTGGAGACAGCAAATTATAATAATATGGTCCCGCGTAACTTAGTGATTTTTTATAAAACATATGGTTGAGTTTTGGCTTCAGCAGATGTTCTCTGTTGCGAGTATTGTAACTGTGGACATCAGTATGCTTCCTATGTGAATATTTATTTTTATGTGTGATCAAAAGTATTTTAAATAGGTATATACAAGGCATTGTTAATATTTTGAGCCGTTGAAATGTCTCTTTGCATGATTGCCTCGGAGGAAGTTTAAGAATCAGCCTAAGTATTCTTTTTTGCTGTATAAACACTCTCTCAGCATCATTCGCTTGTCCCCAATTCACAATATTGTGTGAAATGGAAGAGTAAGCTGACGCGTAGTAAAAAGCTATTAGTGCCTTCTCAAGAAATGAATCTTTAATTGTTAATATTGCGAAAAAGGTTTTATTTAGTTTATTGCAGACATTGTCAATGTCCCGGTCCCATCTCAAGGAGCTATCAATATAAGAACCAAGAAACTTCGTGGTCTGATTCATTTCCAATGGCGAACCAGCAAAACTGATCGATAAGCCAGCTAAACGTTTAATGTGCTGACCAGAAAAACTCAACCACGACCGTCTTTTCTACATTCACGATCAAATGATTTTGCCTACAGAAGTTATTAAACTGTGAGACAACAAGAGATACATCATCCATCAGCACTTCTGCATCTCTTCCAGAGACAAAGACGGACGTATCGTCCGCGTACATAAAGACACGACAGTCACTGTTGAGAAATTCCGGCAAATCGTTCACATATAAAAGAAATAATAATGGACCCCAAGTTCCCCCCTGAGGCGTGCCCAGGCTGACGCTATAAAGGTCTGAGTACGTTCCATTTATTTTGACACTTATTTTCCTATGATTCATATACGATATGATCCAATCATTGATAGGCCCCCTGATTCCCAAGCACTCCAGCTTCTTTGCCATTATACTGAAGGTTAAGGAGTCAAAGGCGCGCGATAAATCGAAAAAAACTCCGATTACTGTCTCTCCGATATCTAGTTTATCATAAATATGCTGAACAAGTTCATTTGACCCCGTTTCCGTAGAGTGACCAGCGCGGAAACCATGTTGCACATTTGTTATTATATCTTCTTGCTCTAAGAAATGTGTCATTCGATTGTACATGGCTTTCTCTAGGACTTTGGAAAAACAACTTGCGATTGTTAGTATAATAAAGACATTCATTTTCACGAAGATTATACCAAAATGCAATTAATTGAGGTTCTACAAAACTTGAACTTACAAAAGGAATACGTCTGTGATAATTATGCAAAAAATCTAGGGCATGCAGTTTTAAAGCTTCCACATTATCACTGTATATTTAATCCCATTGAACATGTTTGGCACCAACTGTAATCTGCCATTCGTCGTAATAATGTTTTTCCCCGTGTTAACTCCAATGTCCTCAAACTTATAGAAACCGAAGTCTTTAACAAAGTTGGGCAAATTCTGTTAAACATATAGAAAAAGCAGAACAATCGTATATCCATATTGCAAATAATATGGAACAAATAATAGTTAGAACACCCGATGATAGCGATAGTGATACTGATATATTATGCGAATAATTTTAAGTAATTTAAGTGGGTAATAAAAATAATTTGTAATTTTATTTTAGATTTAGACATAAATACATACATAAATGAATAAATATTGTTTAGTATCTTTCCTAACAAATCCCCAAATAATTAAATTCTAAGCAAAGTACGGACCTGTTCGGCCATATTTCATTTTTATAGCTTGTCCGGATCTTTCCTTAATTCGTTTCAGTTAGTCACTTTCTTATATCTATGAACAGACGTTATCCAATACTACACCTTTTCCACGTTTTCGCGACGACGGTGCCCTCTTCACGGTATCGACGTTCGCGATGTCATTCGTCGAAGTCACGTGGCACTTTTTGACGTGGGACTTCGCCTTTTCGACCATACCGTCGAGCTCGGATTCGAAGTAGGCGAGATCGGGCTCGCGATCCACGTCTTTCAGCGACGGATCGATGACTGCGCCATCTATCGTCGATAGAAAACGCAATTATGGAATATCTACACGTAATTACATTTTTATTCTAAATTTCACCGTCAGCGTCGCCATCGAGATTAATTATAATAGGATTTATGTTGTTTTGTATAGAAGTGCAAGAGTCTTCAATTTTTATATTGTGCTCTACCGAACTCCATCTCTCAATTGATTTGTTATTAATTACATTTTTCATCAAATCTATGACGCTAGAACGTAAAGTAACGTTTCTTGCTCTGACCTTGGATTTTACTTGGTTCGTAAAACAGTATGTCAGCCAAATCATCGCATACTTACCGTTTTTTAAATAGAAAATAAATACCATTATCTAACAAATATTCCTGGATTTCGCTCTTGAACTTGATGAGGCTGGTGCTTTGCGTAGCAAACACCTGTGGTAGCTTGCGTCATCCATGACAATACATTGACATTGTTTTGAAACCAATGTTCAAAAAGTTCGGCACTTGTATCATCAAGCAGTTTGAGGTAAATCCGTCTTCTGAGCCAGCGTGTATTATGCTGATGCGTTTTCCTTTATCTGAAGGTCCTCTCGATGACCTCGGTGTTTTATCAAGTTAAATTATGGATCTGTCGTCTAATCTATATCTTTTAATTTCTTGAACTTAATAAAATCTCCAGTGTGATTCCACCACTACTTGCTTTTTGTCTGTTTCGAGGTACTTAAATCTAATAGAGGGTGGCACGGCTTATTTTGATATTAAATATAATTAATAATATTAAATTGTTAAATCCTGATCGCTATTGTCGATACGGTGAGTTTAAATATCACTATGCTTATTTCTTTTCTTCAATTCTCCACTATTAAGAATATCCCTTGTCGACGATATTGGCGTTTTTGTAAGTGGGCAAGTTTCTTTATGTGAATAATGTTAGGTAATTTAAGTAGGTAATAAAAATAATTTGTAATTTTATTTTAGATTTAAACTTAAATACATACATAAATAAATAATATTGTTTAGTATCTTTCCTAACGAAAAATCAAATAATTAAATTTTAAGCAAAGTACGGATCTGTTCAGCCATATATCATTGTTATCAGTTAGTCACTTTCTTATATCTATGAACAGACTTTACATAGTAAAATGCGAGCCAGTTTCAGTCAAACTCTGAAGAAGCCAACAGGATGATTGGCCAAGAGGAATCCAAAAGCTTTATAAAAAGTATTACAGTAGCCTGTGGAAGTTTCTTAAAGAAAAAAGGTAATAACGGTCCGTCGAAGGAGACAGACTATACCTATGGCCGCGTATTTCACGAACGGCAGCTCCTCCTTGAGTGAGTCGCGCGTACGCGCTCTCTTCGTGAACACCCCCGAGAAATAGTCGCCGACGAAGCGCACCGTTTCGACGAATCTGCCCATCTCTATTTGAATCATCGACACGTAGACGTTCATCAGTTCGCGGAGCAGATTCCGAACCCAACCTGATTCGACGAGGGCGCGGCGTCGTGCCTCCGACTCCATCATGCTACGGTCGCACATCTCCGACAGTCTCTCTCTGAACTCTTCGATTCTAGAAGAAAAACTGGGCATTGCGTATATTTGGTTTCATCTTAAAATTAATAAGCTACTGCTACTAATGAACAAATGCATGCAGTGTACGAGGTTAGCGCCAAAATTTCCCGGCATGACATACATGCAGCTCCAGTATCACGATAAAACTTTGTCTTCTTTTAAATATGTATCTTAGTAGGCTGCGAAAAAAAATTGAATTCTTGCGTCAAGTGGTGGTCAAGAGGTGGTATTGAGTGATCGACGTTTAAAGGTCAAGGAAACCTCAGAAATTACTAAGCTTTCTGAGACAAGTGTTCGTCGAATCGCGCACGATCATTTAGGTATGCATAAGGTTAGTGCAAGATGGGTTCCTAAAAACCGTTCGGCTATTCAAAAACAACGCCGTGTCGAGTGTGCGCGGTCTTTTTTGGAATTCTGTGGGTCGGAACCGAAATCTGTGATAGAAACTATTGTACTATTGTGACGGGAGATGAAACTATGGTTCTCTATTATGACCCTCTATCGAAAGAAAATTCAGAGTCTGCCAGTCAACAACAAAGGTGATGGCCACGATCTTTTGGGATTGTGAAGGAATTCTTTTGATAGATTTTAAAGAAACTAATACCACTGTCAATGGTAAATATTACGCAACATTACTACATAAATTGCGAGACTGCATACGCGTAAAACGTCGAGGAAAACTGACCAGAGGCGTGCGTCTTTTGCACGATAATGCACCTGTCCATACTTCTGGTGTTGCACGAGCTGTATGAACTTAAATTCTCACAACAACATTAATTAAGGTTTTATGGTCATTTTTCGGTATATGTAGTAGCAGGTAGTTTTTAAATATTACATTTGATAAAGACACGGTGTTGTCGAAACAATTGTCATGTCAAAATATATAATTTCGTGAAAATCTGAACTTTCAGTTCTTATTTATTTTAATGTTTAATTTAGTTTTCAACTTAAACATTTAAGAAGTTAAATGGAGTAGCTTCTGCTATACTCCGCCTCTTCGCTACTGTATATTTGTATATAACAATATACAACAATAAAGGCAATTTATTATTATTATTATTATTATAATGCGGCGATTTTTTGACGGTGTGGTCTGTGTACGCCAATCCCACGGACTGTAGATGATCACCTGCAGTGCATCTCGACCTTGAAATCGTCATCGCCGCGACAGTCCATGTCGAAGTTGTTGAACGCCGTCTGAAACCGTCGCAAATACTCGAGCTTGGGGTCGGGATCGGTCCCGACCTCCGCCATGCGGTCTTTGACGAACCGAACGTACCGCGGTACCGAATTCAACATCAACCGCCGCGCGAACAACGCCTGTTTCAGGTCTTCGACGTAGATTTCCTCGACGCACTCCCATACCGTGGCCAACGCGATTTGGAGCTCGACTGGAGGTGTCGGAGTCGAATACCGCCAGCCGGGATCCCCGGCGATCGCGGGGGCACTTTCCAGTGCTCGTTCCGGTACCGACGGTATCTCAGTAGGTACTTTGAGGTCTGTCAAGCGGAAAGAGTGCTTAGAGCTGCGCGGTGACGTACACCACTATACGATCCGGAAACCCATAGGAGACACGAAAAAAGGTTTTTAAAATATTATAATTTTGTCGATACAGGGTGTCCCAAAAGTGTCCCCCGACATCAACTTTGTTATTTATTTATTTATTTACAACGGCAAGCGGTTTACCCGATGAGGATGACGAATAAAATTTACAATGTCTAATGAACTGTGTATACAAATTGTTAATGTATATATGTAATATATTTTATTGTATATAGTGCATCTTCAATGATATCACAAAAAACAAAAATTGAATGGTGTAATTCTCCGTCCAATTTGTTTTTGAAAAAATTACTACTTGTTGGGCACACTGCGTCTTCCGACAAGGCGTTCCAGGTATACACCACTCCGTTGCACAGGAAGTTTTTTTCTCGGTAGTTTGGCTAATTTTTTGGAGCGACCTCGTAGATGGATATTCGGGTCATTTTGAAAGATGTTCAGTTCACACGAATAATAGTCTTGCATCATCTTGTAAGTCTCAATTAGATCGCCACGTAATCTTCTTTCTTTCAAGGTTGTTAAATTAAGCTTTACAAGTCGTTCCCAATAGGAATCATTAGATAAATGGATTCGAACTTTTGTTATTCTTGCTTTAATGAAGTATTGTCTGACCATATTCTAATTTTAGACGAATGAAAGGCTTATAAAGTTTTACTATAGCCTGAGATGATCTATTAAGAGAGGCCTTCTTCATACAAAACTCAAAAGAATTAACCTGTTTAACTACTTTTGAAATAGGTGTCCCCGCATTTAAAATGGAACACCTGTAGATATCGACATTTTTGGAATCCTTGTTTAAAATCAATCAATCAATTTCTACTCGAATTTTGCATAGTTTGGGCAAAAATTGAGGTTATGTGTTCTTTTTTCATATTTCGATTGCCCCATATAAAATTGTGTTGTGACGCTACTGATCCAGGTATTGCAATGAAAATTTAACCACCAACTAAGGAGATGATGCACTACTCAATCAGTTTGATAGATGCGCCTCAGCTTATACAAGGTGTCCCAAATAGGTGGTGCGGTTTTGGCGAATTCAATTAACAAAATCTCAATATCAATTCCAAAAAAAATGTACTTTTTGAGATATTCGAGCTTTAACATAACACCCGTATAGATTCTTGTTGAATTTAAAGCTGCCCATATTAGGTATGTTGTTGGCAAAGGTATTTTTTAAATAGAAAAGACATGATCCTACCTCTTCTAAAGATAAGATAATAATACTTCAGATATACGAATAAAACCTAAAGCTGACAATATAGACTTTATAAGTTTATAGGCTCACTAACCAAAGTAACAAATTTGAATAAATAAATTAAATAAAAAAATGTCCGTTAATTTGGTCCATAAAGTTTAGTTAAAAATGTTTCTCTTAAAATGCTCGTTTCGCCTGGCATCAAGACAATAAAGGAATATCTAAATATTTAAAAATTTAGCTGACTATGACATCACAATGTTTTTATGACGCATTCAAGTATATAAGATTTTATCGTTTTACATAATTACTATTAATAATAATAATAATTACTATTTAAAAAGTTCATAGTTGTCAATTTTTTTTAGTTAATTATAAAATGTTTCTTTAAATATGAATTCTGCAGTTTTATTGCACCTGTTAAAGTGTGTAGTATAGAGTTGATTTTTCTCAAAATCTCCACGTATTAACGGACACCCTGTATTTTTAGCAATAAGTTTCACTCTTATATCTGGAGTAGTATCGTGTCTTCGCTATTTAAAAAATATCTTGTTTTTTGTCGTAGAATTGATGCCTGAATAAAAATATATCGTGTGCCATTTGAAAATCCTGAGATTTTGTTAATTGAATTCCCCAAAAAGGTACCCTATATAAGCTGAAGCGCATCTGTCAAATTGATTGGGTAGTGTATTATCTGTGTTCCATTTAAAATAACAAAGTCGATGTCGGAGGGGACACTTTTGGGACACCCTGTATCAACCAACCAGGAGAGTCCAAGAAATTTTTGTACGAAACTTTTTTTCGCATGCCCTGTGGGTTTCTAGATCGAACAGTGGATGGTTTTGTTTGGCACACGGTGTACACTGCGTCCCGAGACTTTAAGGTGGACTCAGATGACAACATTGAAGCTCTAGATCCTCGCATTTCTAACCGTAGAGCACAAATATTAAGAATAAAAAGTAATCCTTCTTTTACCACTCCAATTTTCACTACTAGGTTTACTGACAAAAATTTGAGTTTAAACATTTGCTTCCGAAAACGAACTGGTGTTTTTTTTTATTCGAATTACGATGTTTACTACCTATCGCAAATTCTATGCACTACTTTTACTAACCTTATTCACATATTGTTCTCCCCTAAAAAGGTTTCCGGGACTGAATGGAAGGCCCCGGAAAGTTGGTTTACCGAGTCAGTTCGTAAAAGAAGAGATCTCCTATCGGCAATTGTTGCCCCTTTTCAACTATGTACGTTAGACAGAGAGAGATGTATTATTGAATATGTTTTAAAACGTTGTGTTGTTTATTTAACTTTTACAATTGATCATTAAGTAGTTGATTTAAAGAAAAATACTGTAATTGGAAGAAAAATCATCCAAGGATGGGGCTTTTAAGAGGATTCTATTTTTAAGATTAATTTTGACATGGATAGTTGAAAATCGTACAATTGGTCTTTTAAATATATTAATATAAAAACTGTAAAAACCACTGAAGTTCATGGGAACGCTATGTAAAATTTCTATGGGAAAATTAAATTATAAATGTCACTGTAGCATTTAAATGGTTTGATATATTGCATAACATTTTTCTGTGTATCAGTTTCTGGGTATATTTTTGCAAAACAACATGAATACATTCACTGACATGACCGTGCGAATTGACAAACGTCAAAATTCAAACCGTGCGGTACAATCTCCGAAAACATCCGATCACTCCCGAACCGGCGCGGTAGTATACCGGAAATATCCGAAGGGGCTCGGATCCGTGGGAAACGAAACTCGCGTGGTAAAGTGACGCTTCTCGCACACCAGATCGATGTGTAATTAGGTATTTCGCGAAAGGGACAAAGAGACTTTTCCTCGAATTTTAATTATGTTCGCGCGCGCGCTTGTTTATCGGGACCTCCAACCGTAAAAATCTTACCTTCCGTAGACGACTCTCCGAGGATCAAGTTCCGTAGCCGCGTCGCGGCGTCGTCGTTGAACGCGTCGCACCGAAACGAGTGCCGCACCCCGCACCCCGCGTAAAACCGATCCAAAGGGTCGTCGTCGTCGTTCGTAACCTCCCCCTGGCCCACCACCTTAACGTAGGCGGTCAAGAATGTGCCCGCGGCAACTTCCCCGTCGCCGGGCCTCGGCAACAAGGTGGACCTAGTGCGGGAGTTCACCTCGGCGCCGTCGCCGTCGTCGTCGTCGCAAATACTGCACTCCTCGCGTCGTGCCGCGTCCGGCACTACGACCCCGGTGAACGTCTCCTCCATAACCGACGCTTGCGCGAAATCCGTCGGATAATTCACCAGGACCCAACCGCGCGTCGGCGCCGGCGTCGAGGACAAATATTCCGCTAGCATCGCGGCCACAAGGTAGTCGGTGAGGTGATTCCCGGCGGTGAGCACCTCGTAGGCCGTCTTGCCCAGCTGGGCGCAATGCGAAAGACGCGTGTCCTCCGACGGAAAGTGAGCCGGCGTCTGCACCGACTTGCTCTCGTGTTTTGGGCCGGCGTCCTCTTCCGCCACCCCGCGGTGGCCCCTTTTGGCCCCTTTCCGTGGCCTATCTGCCACTCGGGGTTCCTCGACCTCCTTCTCGCTCGGCTCCGCCTCCTCGACGTAGGCGGCCACGCAAGCCTCGACGACGCGGTCCACCTCGACCACGGAGACGGCGACGTCGTGTAGCGAGCGTCGCAACGCCGACACGGCGGCGACGTCGTTCAAACCCCTAACGGACGCCCTGACCGGGACGTGGGGCAGGCGGGGGGGCTTGAGACGCCGCGCCGTATGCTTGGCTTCGAGCACGCGGTGCACCAGGTGCCCGAGGACGTTGAGGCCGCGTCCCACGTCGTCCAATTCGTCGCGGCTGTTCCGCACGAATTGCCCAATCGACCACGGGGGCTCGAACGCCACGTAACGCTCGAACTCGACCCGGTCTATAACGTTCTGTCTCGCGATCTCGTCGGCGACGACGTCCACGGGGATCGTCGTCGTCGCGTCGACTATTTTACCGACCGGCTCCACCAGGTCGAAGATCGGCTGAGCGGCGACGAAGATCGTCTTCAACGCGCTCGTCTCCATTTCAGTTAGGTCGCGGCCGTACGTGCGACGGTATTCGGCCATTTTGAACGCGACGTCGATCATGTCGTTTAGCGCGTCGGCCGCCATTTTCTCACGCATCTCCTCCTTCAGTCTGCGTTTTTCCTCGCGCAATTGCCGGTGGAGGCGAGCGACACGTTCGCGTTCCAGATAGTACGCGACCTTCGATTCGTCGGCGGCTTTGTCCTTCATCAGGGCGGCGCTCGCGACCTCCGAAGCCCTGAGGTCGTTCAGTCGGCCGTCCTCGGCGACCTTCTCGTCCAGCAGGATCTCTTTTTGGTGTTTGATCCGGCCCAGTTTCGACACCACGCGTTTCTCGAAGTCGCTTTGTTTGGTTAGGATTTCGGCGAGGTCCTCGTCTACGGCGCGAGTTTTTTCCACCATCGTTCTGCGGTTGAAATCGGAAATAGTCTCCGCGTAAAAGTCGTCGCGGTTTTTGAGGGATTTTGCGCGTTCCGTCGATTTTTCAGTCGTCACTGGCCTGGCCCCTTGGAAGACAACGCCACGGTTACGATACGTGATATTATACGACCGAAAATTTTGTGAAAATAAATAAGAACTAAAAGTACAGATTTTCACGAAATTATATAATTTTACATGACAATTGTTTCGACAACACCGTGTCTTTGTCAAATGTAATATTTACGAACTATGGTCTGTTCATAGATATAAGAAAAAATGTAGAAAACACTATTGAGACTAAGGAAGTTGTAAACACTGTGCCAGCAAGCAAGCATCTTTAGAAGAAACCGCCACATTGACGAAAATTCCAACGTCAACTGTATGGAAAATTGTGAATAATTCCATTTCAGCGAGGAAAAAAAGAAGCGAGTGTAGATGAAAGTGATCAAGATATAATACGGCGTAAAATTTACCAGTTATACGAGGAACAAAGCGTGCCTACATTAGATATCTTAATTAGGAGGCTCGAAAAAGATGAAAGCGGTGTTAAATGTGGCAGAACTACCTTATGGATTTTAGATTTAAAAAATTGACAAAAGGCAAGTTTTAATGGAATCTTTTAGAATTCGGAAATGGCGGTACTGGAATATCTAGAAAAAAAAATAGGATTTACAGAGAACAACAAAGGCCAATTATTTACTTGGATGAAGCCTGGTTCGACACTTATGATACCTCGGAAAAGGGAAAATGTTTTTGCACTGGATCTTCCGCGTCTGCTGGTTAAAGAATTTTACCGACCGGGTGAACGATTATGGAGGATCTTTACTATCAAATCTTTACTGTTCAAATGTAGGCACGGACTTTTACTCCTCTGCTAAGTTTGAAGTTTAGATCTGCAAATTTAGGACACTTAACATATTTCTCATTTAGCACGGAATATCGGGCACACCCTGTACAATAGGCGAAAACCTTAAATACAAAAGTTTTTGCTGTCTATGCGGGCCACATTGCAATATAAAAGAAAGCGAGATCTGAATCATAGTCTTTCAGTTATAACCAATTTTCAATATACGGGGACCCATTTATAAGTTTTTTGGAAATTGCGGCGCACCCTGTATATTTTTAAAAAATTATCAAAAATAAAAGTTTATGGAGCCGTATCTTCTGAGTCTTCTGGTTCAAGATTTTTTTTTATCTCAAGCGGTTTTCGAAAAATAATGTTTTTTGTAGACCCTTGCAGTCGCGATTTTTTATTTTTTTAGAATGCTTCCCGAGCCCCCAGCCCCCCATTTTCAATAGGTTCCGTCAAGGGGCAGAGCTGCATTTTTGTGCCAAATATGAAGTCGATTGCTTCAAATTTCGAACACTTATCGTGTTTCATAGCAATGTTCAAAAAACAGTCGAAAATCACGAAAAAAAGATGGATACCAGCGTCAGATAAGGGCCATTTCTTATAAGCTTATGTGCTTCGTGGAGGGTTAAAAATAAGGCAAATTTTAATTTTGTAGTTCCAACGTTTCGGAAGTTATTCAGGAAAAACTAAAAGACGAGAATGGAGAACGGAGAACGAACAGTCAAAAAACATTTTTTTTTTATTTCGACGGTAATCATTTCTGTACCAACGGCGATCCCGTAGGACTTACCGTTACCGAGATATAATTTTTTTATACGAGCGTAGATACTTTCGAAAAATTCGATTTCATCGATTTTCCAAAGTAACAAATGACATGACCAGAGTTCGGAAGTAAAGTGTACGAAAAATTGTTGCAAATGTCAAGTCAATTAGGCGTATAATCTACGACGCTTATAAAGTGACTAGTGTTTGAATCCTAGGAGAACTGCATAAAAAAGTACTGACAAACTTAAAAATTAGTTGTGCCAAAGAATCGTTGCGTACTTTTTTGAAGAAAATGGTTTTTCAGTTGTGCACCATAAACGTCAAGTGCTAATGGAATCTCAAAGAATTTCGCAACTGATACTTTATTATTATTACATATAATATTTTGTATATTAATAATGATACTAAGTAGAAATGTAATAAATTCTTACTTTGTACTAATGTTTTTATGTACATGTTTCAAGAATTGCTAGGCGAAAAAGATTGAAAACATACTTATATCCCGCTTGTTAGTGTAGGTAGATAAATTACAAGGACGGTCCTGGATTAGTTACGGGTTTTGGCGTAATAAACAAAGTTAATCATTGGGTCGGTTGTAAAAGCACTATATTTCTGGTCGAAGTACATAACAAACAAAGATATGACATGTCGCCGTTGGAAATTGGTCCGGCCTGCGCATGATGTCACGTGCAGATAAAAATTTTAATTAGAACATCATAAAGCCTTTAATCGACAAGGTTAAAAACATAAAAATTCCTCAAAGTTTCCTTTGACGTCCATTTCCTAGCACTCCACCGATTGATACAATAAACGTAACATACAATATTCTTACCCATAGACAATTAACCCGATCATAAAACGAGTTCTACAACATGTGAGAATAGTAAATGCATAAAATGGTAGCTCAGATGACCGTCTACAAAACAGTTAAACCCAAATTGGCCCATCCGTTACACGTTATAACACGTAACATGTAAACTTTCGAAAAGAGTTAATATTTTGGGTTATAAATGTAAAAATAAAATAATTTGGTGTATTAAAAGTCGTACCTTTAAAATCAGTTTATTTTACTAGTTTGTTTTGGTTTTTTCTACAGGACATAGCGCCCACATCTTATTTGCTAACCAAATTTCATGCTATGGCGTGACTTTTTGAACAAATTACCATTTCAACTACTTAAAATTCAAAATATTCGAAAACCAAATTGCGATCTGGCGATATAACAACGATCTAGTACTGCTTCACAAGATTGTAGGCTTAAATGCTTCCTAAAATCTCAATCTGTGAGGTGTAATTCGGGCATACGTAAGGTTATACTAACAAGGCACAGAATATAAAGCGATTGCAGCGCGCGTAGTTAGAGAGAACAAAAAAATCTCGGACCATAAACAGAATTTTCCAAGGTACACACCGCTACTATCCCCGAGGCGTTTTCGCGAGTCGTCAACTACGGTCCCGCGCTCTCTGCTACTCAAAAATACTTCCCTTGCTTCTAGGCACCGCTTTTGCAAAGACTGCAACCTGTCTTTGTACCAATGTATGACGTCGCCGCTCGACAACAGCGGTGCCGCTAAAGCGTTATCGAACGACTCTTCGGGTTCTGTTTTTTCCGTACGGTGAACACTTCTGACCTTAGAACAACAACGAAAATTCGTTGTTACGCCACTGAATTACGGTTACCTTGAACCTTCCAATTTTGCTCTCTGTCCAGCGCGTGAGAAGGCTGTCCGCTACGAAATCTAGAGCGCCGCGTTCCCGCACTTCCAACAGCACCTGATAGAATAAGTGCATCGAAGCCGTCCCCACCCCGTGGGCAATTTCGTAAATTTCATCTTCTTCGATCGCGATGTCGAATTTGTGCCTTAGCCAAACGGCGATCCTTTTGAGATTATCATAGCATTGCTTGATAACATCGGAATCTTCAATCGTCTTCAGTTCCTCTTGGCCGATAATGTTGTAACTACGCAGCAGCTCCGCCAGGAGGCGCCCGTTAGCAGTTTTCAAAGCGAACGCGTCTGGGCTCGTGTCTAGGATTATACCCATTCGGTGTTGGATCCATTTTGAAATAACGTCGCTCATGTTCAATTTTTTGACAACCGCTACGGTTTGAGATAAATTTGACAAGTCGATTATTACCATTACACTCGTGGCTCAGGATGACGTAATATTTTGTGCACCTGCATTATCGCAGCGTTAACCATTCGAGCGTAAAACAATAGATTTCGATAGAAAAAATAAAAAGGCATGTCAGAATATTTTTAATTTTTTGTTTGCCATTTGAAATTACCGGCACCCGGCGCCCAGATCGATTGAATTGCAAGTTCAAATTTAGTAACTTTTTATGCGGTTGGTACTCACTGCGGAAGACTCATTCGGCCAAGTAGTCATGTCAAGTCTCCTTGAAACGGAAAGCATTGTTGTTTAGTTGGTTCAACAATATCCTGTTCGCGTCTGTAACGGTGCGGTAAGTGAGACAGTTTAAAAATAATTCGCTTGTTCTAAAAATAGAGTCGGTTCGTAAAACACGTAGCCGTCCGACACGAACGCGGCTGCAACGTCGAAGTAATCTCCACCCCGATTTGGCCAATATCAGAGACATACTAACGCGCGATTTTGTTAACTTTCTAGGCGATAATCGCAGGCATAGTGCAGGTCGAAAATACCCTTGTCGATTTATGCATTGTCCATCGCGGTGGGCGGGTGCAAAAAAATGTTGGCACCTGTTTCCTTGGTAGTGTTTTGACTGTTACCGAATTTCGAGGAGGATTGCGTGTCAGCTGTCAATACCCCCTGAACAACAAATCCGAAAATGTCTGATGATGGGTTTCCGGACTGTCCCGAGCAGCCCAACATGGAGATCCAGATCAAGACCCTCATGGGAACCTCATTTGATATCAAAGTCTCTGGCAGTGACACCATCGGCGATATCAAAAAGAAAATTTTCAGGGTGGAAGGTAGGCTTACGCTAATACCACTCCTACCCGTTGTAAAGTTTCATTAACGTGTGATGGATCTGTTAAGAACAGTCGCCATAAAAGGCCCGTTATTGTGCAACAACGCGTTTTTCAGGTATCCCGATTTATCAGCAAAACTTAATATTTAAGTCCGAGGAATTGAAAGACGCGCACCGCCTTTGCGATTTGGGCATAAAGAACGGCTCTACTCTTACTTTGGTTTCGGCGATGAGGGGAGGACCGATATCGACCAGGAGGCTTTCCGTCACCTGCGAACTCCATCTGATGATGAAAGAGTTAAAGGATCTGTTGGAAAACGCGAGGTTAGAGATAGTTTATTGTTCTGTTTTTGGCAAACACGTTTTTCTAAAGTTCGAAGCGTTAATCTGATATAAATTATTTTTCACTTGTTTTTTGAATGAAATGCCATTTTTCTTAAATTATTTTGTTTTTTTGTTGCTTTTTCTTTGGGCGGTGTTTCCCCTCGCCGCAGGGAGGAAATCGGTCCCGGATCGAAGGTGTCGGTGCTCGTCTTCAAGGAGGGCGAAATAATCAACCTTTTGCGCGTCATCGAGAACGAAGACGGCTCCTACTCGCCCTATAGCGAGAACAATTCCCCGATATCCCCGCCCACGAAACACTTGCCGAAAGATTCGGCCGCCTCCTCTTCGTCCTCTTTCAAAAATGTCGTCGAAGACACGGAGATGTGCGCGAAGATCGCTGGCCTGCGCAAGAAAATGGCGGACGCCACCGCGCGTCGGCGTAATCGGGCCGGTGGCGGCGGCGCCGCAGTGGACTGCGGCAGCTCTTCGTCCGCCTCCGATTTGCCCTTTAAATTCCTCGAAGACATTACGGGCGGCCTTTTGGACGCCGTCGACCTCACGGTGTACGAGAGGAGTTTCACGGACGAGGGCAACCAATCGGAGAGCGAAGAGATCGCGCTCAAGGACAAGCACCGTACCAAACTCAAGCCGAAGTCGCTATACAGCGAACGTAAGGGGGCGTACTCCCGTACTAAACAGAATTACGCGTGGATGCACAACAAGAGAGACTCGAGACTGTTTGAGCGGTCGGCACGCGACGACCGTCCTAATTTGAGGTTAGAAAACTCGGACGCGGGCGTTGTTGCGGCCGCCGCTCGGAGCCCCGCCGTCGAGGAGGTCGGGGCCAAACTTGCGGAGCAGCTCCACTTCATCGACGACGATGACAACCAAAATGTGTTCGGCGAGAGTTTGTCGGTGAGTCGTGGGCGCGAGGCGGGCGTGGTCGGGAAGTCGCATTAAACCGACAGATCTGGGACCGTTTTAAGGCGAAACGCCATGTAAAGTTCGCCGAACGATATACTAGTCGACTTCTGTAAACATTTTCTTCTTTGCTGACATTTTTTCCAATTAGAAGCAGATATTTTTTCTACTTCACTTCTAATTGTGTTGGGTTTTAGCTATCTCCATGCTAGTTCTATCGGATTAAAATTACAGTGATATGGTGGAAGACGGACAACTTTGAATCCGCGTTCCGTGGCCAACCTTCAAGCGAAGCATTTTGAATGACTTCTTGTTTGTTGGATTTCTCTCAAACATCTTGTCTTCCACTCGTAAATTATTCTTAATTCCATCAATATTTGTCTCATATTTATGGTTTTGTTATAAAAACCAATTCTTCGTATGAACGCGCGCAAGGTCTCTTGGCAATGTTCAAAACGCTACGCAACTCTTTGTAATTGACCGACAATTGACTAGTCAAATTGGATCAAAATGTTTTAAATAATAATTGCACAGTGTTATTTATCACTATTTAATAATAACATGTATTTTATCATAAATTATTATGCGTTTGTGATGTCCATTTTACCTATAGCCATCTTCAAGGAATACTCGAATAAGATACTTAGCGATTCGGGGAATCCCAATAAAAATATCCACTCCATTTAGTTCTCAGAACGACATAACGCACAATATAAGTAAATATAAATTTCATTGTATTTTTAATTTTTTTTTTTCGTCAATTGACACAAAAAATTTAACCGGTCAACTCCACAACCCTAATGGAGCGTTTCAAGTAGACTTTTTGGAACCCCGCGATCTTTCTAGGACGCCATTCACAACTATGTCGCGTCCTGTGGTATGTTTTAGTCATTTCGAACGTTAATTTTATGGCTCCAGTTTCCCCAGCTGTCGATTTCGGAAACAGAAACACATTTAAAATTATAATTTTGGCAGCAACTGGCAAAGGTGTCCGAGTCTTTGGTCCATCGCAAGTGACTAACAAAATTCAATAAGTAGAAACTGTTTTAGGAAGATTAATAAAAAGCACACCAATATGAACAGTTTAATCAAAGAATAATTTCCCTAGTCTTAAAATCCAACAGTCCGCACGGCACAGATCTTAAATACTGCTCTGGCTTGTGGTACACGCGCCGAAAAGAATGGTTCCTTCCGTTTTTCAACCCATTCCGAAGTCAAAACCATTAAAAGGTGTAAAAACAGTATATCGTCGGGCGAACTGTAATAGAAACGGGGGCTCGTGAAGACCGAGGGCGGGTCTGTTTTCAGGTATCCGCCGCGCGGAACCGGGTCCACCTGACGCGTCTCGTGCTCTCTGAGGGGGCGGAACGGCCGAAAAGCTCACCCGACGGCATCGAACTCGAAGAGCACGGCCAAGACCTGTGGGAGATCCACGAGCCCGCCACCGAACGGCTGAAGCACAGCGCCACCTGCAAGGTAGGCGGGGCGACGAATTTTTCACGCGCCATTCCGACACGGGGGCGTGGTTCGTTGCAGGTGGGCGTGCTGAAGCGGCGCCAGGGCCTCGAGTACAACTACGAAGGTCTGGAAAACGCGTCGACGTCGAAGATCAAACCGGAGATCGGCAACTACGGGGGAAAAGCGTCGACGACCGAGTTCGGGGTTTATTCGGGCGCCAATTTTTACATGCCGCAGTTTATGTCGACACCTAGCGCGATACCGCCCCAGTACGCTCCCAAGGAGCCCGACTACTGCGACCTTTTTTTTGCTCGCGAGCCCCGCTCGCCACTCTACAGCAGGAGAAACAGGTGAGTCAGCCGTTAAGCACACCCTCCTTCTCTAACTATAATAAGTAGTCAACTATATTCACTCCTGCAAAGTAATAGTGAAACATACAATCTATTATAATATAAGTAAACTGTGAGCGACCAAGACAAAAAACGTCAATATCATTACAGAAGTCATTAAATCAACTGATAGAGAACCCCTTTAATAAAAAAAATGGTTCTTGGAGATACTAGGGAAAATAGAGCTGATTCCCTTATAGTCTTTGAAGGGACATCAAAGCTCAGCCGGCTCAGCAACTCAGGAACCTTAACACTACTAATAAAAAATAAAAAATTTGATTTGTTTTTTCCACGCGGCACTCTTACAGGAAAGAAGCAGAGGAGACGTCAGCGTCGGGCGCCAAAGATTCGGCGACCGACTACGGTCCGGGCCTTCTCGGCGACTGCGCTAGCATTCAACGGCTGAAGAACGAGTGCGGTGGCGAAGCCGAAGCCATCTTCGGGCCCGACAACGAACTTGCCGACGACCTCTATGGCTACTACAACCTGGGTTGTTCCGCCGACCGATCGGACGAGCGGACAGGCGGGGTCGAACCGCTGCCGCCGCCGCCTCCGCCGCCCCCTCTGTTACCGCCCGTTGCGAAGAAAAGGTCGCGTTGCGGCGAGTGCAACCGCCGCCTCAACATCACCAACATCTACAGCTGCCGGTGCGGCCGGATGTTTTGCTCCCAGCACCGGTACTCCGAGGTGAGTGTTCACCATTTTCTTGCTTTAAATTTACCAGTCGGATTTCCTTTACAAAACTAGATAATATCCATATTTTCAAAAAAATCAATTTACAATTTGCGGTGGTATTTTTAAAATTTTACAAAACGTTATGTAAATTTGTTTAAGGAGGACAGTGACGTCACTAACTAACCACACTCTAATTCGTGTAACCTTCCTCTTTAGTTTACTGTGCTCTGCTCCTAAAGTCGGGACAAAAGTTTAAGTTTTTATATGCCCCATTGAATAACTATTTTTCTCCATTGACTTTTGACTTTTTTTTTTTTGTTGCTTTATATAGGTTACGTCGAATTTTAAATCAAAAATTAAATGCCAAAAAACGGCATCAAAACCTCTTGCGAGGGGGATAGGTGACGTAACTAAGCGCATCTTCCTTGGTTTAAAGTACCCCATATTAAAGTAAGGGTACCCATCTTATTGGATTTTTTACGTTTTGATTTTTTAATTGTTTTCCAAAAAAACAACCACGGAATAGTCAAAAGTTTAATTTTGCTTTAATGTCCCTGATGTTAAAGTGGGTACAAAAATTCTGACTATTTTTGTTTTTGTAATGACGAGGAATGGACAAACCTGGGTTTTCTTCAACACACAGCAGTAGTATTCGCGGTTGCTCTTGAGCCACATCACTATTTTTCGTATTGCGGACCCAAAAGTAGTTTTACGAATTTTCACCATTTTTATCGTGAATTTTCATAATTTCAATGCATTGTTGAAGCGTGTTCCGTTTTTAATAATGACGTAGTTTCTGCTTGTCAAATGTCAAAAAATTACAGCTTCAAAAGTGACATCTACCGAAATATTTAAGAGAATTCGAAAGTAAGTTGGATGCGGAGCTGGGTTTGATATTTCTTTAACCTTCCTCGTACCGTGGTCAAAAAGTTACGCAGAACACCATGTGGGGTATAATTGTACCCCATTCTAATTTGAATGCTTTGTGATATAAAATATGTATAGTGCATATTATATTTATTGAAAAAGTTGAACAAAATAAACAATTCTCACAAATGTAAAAAAAAGTTAGACGAATTCCTCTACTCATATTAATTCTTACGTTTTTCCATATATATAATCTGCAAATTATCTGTTTTACACTATGGTCGGTGCATGTCAATTTTTTGCAGTCGCAACATTGTTGTCTGGACTTGCGATCTTTTTTTCTATTGCACAAATAACATCGTTCATGGTGCTTTTCCAATTCCATATGATTCGACACTGTTAGGAATTCTTGGTTCTGTTTTAAATCTTCTTTTTCCCTAATCAATGACTCTCGCCAAGTCCGAAAGAAATTTTCTTCTGTTGTCTTTGCTTTTTGATTTTTCGTCTGGAAATTTTTCACTCCATAAAATAAATGCATTTAGTGACGCCTTCGGCTAATTCTAATTCGACGAGCTGAATATTATTTTACCATTTTATCGGTAGTGCCTACAGCACCTTTTGTTTTATTATAATGAAGTATTATGCCAGGCTTGTACTTCGTATTTTTTTCTCCCGCAACCGAATCGTCATGATGATTCGTAGACAACATAAGGACATGCATGTTTTATGTGGGGTACAAGTGTACCCCCGTAGCCGTGCTGCGGTGCCCCCAGCGCTCGGCTATAACCTTAATCTTTGGCGTGTAGGTACACAGGTGCACGTACGACTACAAGACGGAGGGCAGACGGCTGCTGGAGCACCAGAACCCGCTCGTCGCAGCAGAGAAGGTGAAGCGGATCTAACCGGTGCGGGGCGGCGGCAGAGCTTAGCGAAAAAAAAATTAACGGAGTGCCTGTGTATAGAAAAAAAAGAGTTTTTTCCTTTTCATCATTTTTGCTGTATTGTCGATAACGTGTAAAAAATATATATTATACATGTGCCGTTTCGCTGGGTTCCTTTCCACAGCGCGGTAGTGAGGTTATGTGCACGCTCGTTAATTTTTTATTTCCTTTGTGATCTCTCCCAGGTCACAAGGGTCCCTGTTCGTTTAGGTATTTATTTATTTTTTTTGTAGGGGCCGCATTTTGTTTTTTTTTTCTTTTTCGGGACGGCACATAACCTCCGAGCAGAGTTTTCCGCGGCGGTTGCGGAGAGGGAGGGCTTCGGGACCGCCCCTCTTACCGTTTATCAGGCGTCCCGCAGGAATCGGCTCCCCTCTCCCAGGTACCCGCTTCCAGGGTCTACTCGACCCCTTTCCCATGCCGCGCATTAGTCGTTCTGCAGCCAGATGTCGCGACAGGTCCTCAGATCGAGATTTTTTCCCCGTTTGGGTGAAATCGCGTGCGCGGCAATAAAACGAATTTTCTTTGCATGGTGCGCGCGTGAGGAGAGCGAAAGGGAAAACAAATCTATTCTTTTGACCACGAAACCACATTATAAAAAATATGATTTTTAAAGGTGTGCCGAAAACTAGTCAGTGGCGTATTTTTTTTCTGTTAATATTAATAATTAATAAAAAAAACTTTAAAATATAATAATACTCTTGAGTATTTTCGTGGCGAAGCGAATAGACTCTTTCGTTCCCATCCGTGAACTATTTCATCCGCGGACACACACGATTTAAAAATTATGTATAAAATACGCACTCGTGTCGAGTGTCCCAGTGACTTGGTTCCTACGCTTGAAAATTTCCTCCCCCGTTGCCATAGACGGACAAACGAAAAATTATTGTACCGCGGCCGACCCTTTTAGGACTGACGTTTTTGATATTAGGCGGGAACGCCCATCCCACCCCACGTTTTGTTGTTTGCGCGGCCTTCATCGCCGGTTTTACAGAATTTATCCCATATTGGGGCTTCGTCTTAATATTTTTATCCAATATTTCTAAATAACTTTCGGGTAACTTTTATATAGGAATATAAAAATATTTTCTTTTTAATCTGGAAAAACGATATAAAAACCGTTCAAATATTGTTATATATATATGTGATGTTTGGACTGTCCTATAAAAAGCAAATAATCACGAAAACACAAAAAAATCCTTTTACCATTACTTTTTTTTGTGATTAGACTGTGTTAAATAATAGTAATCCCTGTAAATATACATATATTTTAAAATATAACCCCTCCAAAGCCACGTCTGCGTTTTATTTCGTTTATTTAAATGTGTCCCTTGACATTTCCTATTAATTTAAGCATTATGTTTTTCACCTAAGTATTTTTAGCTACTTTTGTCAGGTGACAAATTTTTGGGAAAGCCTATTTCAATTTTTACTTCTTCGAAGTTACCTGGTCTTTCCCATTGTGGCCCCGAGAAGCCCATCATTATGTCCATTTAAATAAATCGCAATTCTGTTTTTTTCTACTTTTTTGAAGCAAACCGCCACAACTCAACCTCACTTTTCCAGCTAATAATGGAATCATTATCTTAATAAACGCCCAAACTTCGCCACTTAACTAATGGTTTATAAGTAAAATTCCGTTAGTGGATAAAAACCCCAACTACTTGCTAATTAAGAACCACTGATTATTAACATTGTGGACACAGACATTAGTTCTCCAGCAAATAAAGTTTTTTTTTAGTGGTTGATTACGTCCGTATGTGACACAAAAACTACCAATTAAAAAAAAAAGCCAATAAAATAAACATTCTTCGTTGTTTTACTATAAGTTTTGACAATAAGTATCGATTTTTTTTTACCACAGATCGTAAATTGGTTGAAATTTTCCGGCGCTGCACTGTCGCCAAATCTAATACAATTATTGTTAAATGCCGTTTTTCACAGTGTTTTGGTTTGACGGTAGTGTAAGGCCTTTTAATTTTCTATGAAAAAACGAACCAGCACCGCTCAAATGACAAAAAAATCCGATCGTCTGATGCACTCATCGATTTCGTCAGGGAGGTTCAGCTCAATTTGGCAATTTCGCATCGACACAAGTCCCGGGCCAACAATCCGTCGTTTCGTCGCTAATCTGTGGTTTTGTTATTTTTGTTGACGTGCTCGATCCGTTTAGTTGACTGCTACGTCTGTAATTGTGAGGTTGTGCTGTGTTTGACGCGGAAGCGCGTGGATGTGAATTTTGGTGTTGGACAACGTGCACAAAGACATCCTGCATTTGAGTAGAAAATGAACAGTTTTGGTGGGAGTTTCAGTTTTCAGCTTGCCGAGTCGAGGCTGAGAAAAGTGCACTTTTCTTTCGAAGTGGAGTAGGACGCAATCAGTCTGCCCGTGACAGGTCAGTTGCCCATTGAAAGTTTTGAGTGTTCTTTGGTGCGCCATTATTTAAATTAGGAAAAGAAAACGGGGGTTGTGGAAAAAATTCGTCCTTTTAACGAAGCGGGACGGCGTTTTCGACTACAAAATTATTTTTAATTCAACAAAAGTGCACCGTGGCTGGTTTTTATAGGCTCGCAAAAAACCCATCGCTGGTGAAAGTGTGTATGTTTAAAAACGCTTCGGAAGAAAGATCGAAAGTTGGAAAACATCTATTTCATTTTTTTTATCGCGCAGGTATGTTACGGGCTCGAACAGTTGGTGCGATTTATCAGTTCCAAATGACAAAATCGTTTGTTTAGTTACTTATTACCATAATGTAAGTAAACAATAATTACAGACCCGCGAATTATCGTTAAGTTCGACAATATTTGCTATGCCCGTTCAAACAGATACGAGTTCGAGGCGGTAGAATAGAGCGCGTTGAATATAACAATTGCCCTTTAAATGTTATCAAAGTGCGGAAATACTCTGCGAGATTAGGGGGATATTGCGGAATAAATATTTGCGGACGTCACTTTGGACGCTACGTCATTATTCGTTCGCATCGGTTACCGCGTAGACAAAAATTATCGTTACCCAGCCGTTGTCCACGAAACCATTAGTGTATTTTGGGTCACACCCACCGACAATGATATTATTAGATTTACTATCGTAACTAGTACGCCATTTGCAACGAAGTTGAACGTTAATATCGTCGGGATCGTTCTAATTATAGTACTCACTTTTCCTTTGTAACAGAACTGAGAAACAATTAGGTTATTTTTGTAAAATAATTACCCTCCATCTCGACCGCGTTGAGCCTTTCGTCTTCTTCTTTTTTATCCGAGTGGCGGCTGCCAGTTTTTCTTGTTGCCGATGCATGCATAATAGATGCTTAATTACTTGCATTATATCCGATAACAACTTGCGAATTGTGTTTTACACACCGCACAGAACTATTATTTTCAAATTAACTTTTTTTTTTTCAAAAAAGGTTCACCGGTAAAAAATCTACTTTAACGGCCGGCAACGGCCTTGGGAAAATATTCCGCCAGCTCGTTTGGGTATAATGGTTTAACGACGTTTTATTTTCCTAACGACCCTTGCGAAAAAAACAACAAGCGTAATGTCAAATGTGGGAAAACCCAGTTCGCGTTGCATTTTTTTTTTATTTGCTAGCGCGTATGTACCCGGATCTAGACAGACGTAATAACGAAATCCACGCGTTGTTTGTCTACGGCCTTGCGCGCAACAAAGGCCCGGGTTGCCATTTAATTCCCGTCGCAACCGGAGTTATTTTGAGTTGCGAAATTTATTCGAATCGATACGAATAATAATAATTTGCGTATGTCTCGCGGGCGCGGACGAGTCAAGTTATTTCGGTTTGACCTACTTATCGCATTTTTTTCGTGTCATATTTCAAGAGACAAGTTGAATATGTTGTTAAAAGTCCAGATTTTGCAACGGTCGTTGTAACTCGTCTACCTTTCGATAGGCGGCGGGCCCAACTAAACTTAATCACAGAATGATAACGCTAGTTGGCTTTCAACGCATGGATGTTGCGCGTAATTTCGATGGACCAGATTTTTGTGGTTATTGCTTTGTGTCCGTTAATTTTGTATTTATGAAGGTGTTTATTTATCGTGCCTTATTTTTGGCAGTTGCTTGGAATATCAGGTTTGTGTTTCATTTTGGCTAAAGGTGGGTATTTAAATATTTTTGATGTTTTAGGGAATGAGACGTTGTGATGAATATAACGAATAACGATGAATGAAGCATATAAGTAATGCCTCAAAACACTACAGTACTGTTTTTAAAGAAGTTAAAAATAAAATACAAGCATCAAATTGATAAATTTATTGTTGTCGGCAGCAGTAATTTTCTCGTTAACAATAAAACTCAAATTATCTTTTATTTGTTTGTTTAGTAAGTAATTCATATAAAAGATATTTTTTCACAAAGTCGTTACAGGACAGTCACTTTTCTTGACTCTTTTTGAAGCCTAGAGTAGGTTGATTTGGTAGCAGCCTGAGTTTTTGCTCTGTAATGAACTATTTCGTTTGCATAACAATTTTTTCATAAATTGCAAGACATTGTTATTGACTATGAAATATTAATCATTTCTAGCCGATTTTTCAAGATAAAAATATATCTTCAAATAACGTTGAACATTATATGCCAACAAAACTACCCCTGAACGATTGCTAAGAAAGTCGATCGAACGCGATCGTATCTCATTGTCGCAATAAATTACATAGTAATGAGTGTTTTAAATTATTACGTACTTGATACCAAAGTAACGATTATTATCCAGTACTCAAAAGTGCCTTTCTAAGTACAGTCGAAACTCTATGTAACGAAATTGAAGGTACTGCTTTTTTTTTTCATTATAAAAATATATATATAATTATATTATATTATATACATATTTTAACATCTACTTAGGAACATTTTATATAAATATATAAGAACTATATTTAATGTTTCAAATAATCGGTCATTTTCATTTGAATTTTTTTAGTATGTCAATACGCATCTCGTACTTTGGGTTGTATTTTCACCATTTCTTCGAGAGGGGCATCTTGCCTATGATACGTGAAAAAAATTCTCTAGCAGCTTAACTGCATATAGGGCTTGTTGAATGGTTCGTGGTGGTCCAAGATCAACTTCTTCATCTTCTTCTTCCTCTTGGTGCTCTTCCTCGCCCTTTCTTGCTTGTTGTAATATGACTTCCTCTGCCAAGTTTGCCGTTGTAGGCAAATCCCGATGTATCACCCTAAAATCTTGCTACTCCTCACTTGTAAACGTAATTGTTATTTGAAACTGCTTTATTAACTAGCTTAGTGGCTGATTGATCATCTTCCAAGTAGGCATTCTGTCTCGGTAAGAAGTCGATGACGATAGAAGTGTTGTTATACAGAGTGGATTAATACATAGCTTTGTATGGAGATCTAATAGTAGAACCATTTTTGTTCGTAATACAGAGTTTCGCTATTGGGAGTTTTCACTGTACTTTGGTTCTTGCCAAATCACTTTGTTAGTGCCATTAACACACACGGCTTTCGTCGCCGTCACGGAAATTGCCCAGGTGTAATAATTATCGATTAGTTAGTAACGTTTTGATGGAGTGGCGAATTAAAAAAAAAACTAATTAAGGCGGCTGTCTTGTCTTGAACGTCGTGAGGTCCGGTTGCGGCCAGGCACAAAACCCGAAAATATTAAACATAAGAAAAACCCATGAAATCGGGTCGGTTGTGTATGCCGTGTTTCGCGGAAACTCGGTGGGTATTTTGGGCTTCGGTAGAAGATCACACAGAGAGGCGCTGCGAGTGACGTGTGGTGACAGAGCACAATCGTAGCGTGCCTTAAAACCAACGAACGCGGCTGTTTTCGAGAGAGAGATCGTCAGAATCAAAGCGACGGGAAAAGGTTAATGACCGGGGATCGGTGACGTACAATGGTCGCCTTCCAAGTTTTGAAACAGTGCGAGATGGCTGAGGGTTGTGGGAGAGGGTGAGGGTTTACGACAGTGAACGAGGGTTAAGGGAGGGGGTGAGGGTCGAGGGTGACGGTAGGTAGGTTGGTGGTGGATCGAATGAGCTTGACCGGATCAGTGTTCGCTAATCATAATAATAATATAAAAGCCGTTTACCGCATCCCAATCTCCACGCGTCTCGATCGGTGTGAGACTTCCCTTTTGCATAGCATAGCACAGATTTGCCGTGGTCCGCCTATTTTCCTTCCTTGTGGTGGCCCCCACTCATAATTTTTTTTGGGTATTCTGTCTTCGCTCATTCGACTCGTATATCCAAGACACATTAGTCGTTTTTCTTCGATAGTATCTAATAGTCTCTTTTCAACATTCATTCTGTTCAAAATTTCGTAATTTTAATTTTGTCCATTAACGTGATTTTGCAGCACATTCTCCAACACATCAATTCTGTAGGAGCTACCTTTTCTCTCATAGCCTTTGACATTTTCCAAACCTCTGACCCATACTTAATTATACAGGGTTATTATTTTCGATGTATGTATTGGCATTACTGTTCAAGATGGCGACCGATTTAACAGCTGTCAAGTGATTTATTCTCAGTTTGGTTCGGCAATTCATCATGACTAGACTCACGCCTGAACAACGCTTGCAAATAGTGCAATTTTATTTCGCGCACTACGTTCATTTTATCGTCGACAAAATCGTCCATCACAGCAGTTAATTCGATTAACCATGGAACGTTTTCGCAACCACGTTTACTCTTATTGATAACTCGCATCCCCAGAGACGTCGTACGGTGCGTACAAAAGAAGTTATTGCTGCTGTAGAGCGTAGCATTGTGGAAGACCCGAATGAGTCCATCCGCCATCGAGCACAGGAATTGGATCTGTGTCCATCCACTTTATGGAAGATTTTGCGGAAGGATCTTGGTTTACGTGTTTAGAAAATCCGACTCGTGCAAGAATTGAAGCCAAACGATCATGAAGTAAAGCGTACATTCGTCTAATGGGCGCAAAACGAGATTGCCGTTGTTCCCGATTTTCATAAGCGAATTTTGTTTAGGTTGAATGGCTACGTCAACAAATAAAACTGCCCCATTTGGAGCGAAGCTAATCCTCAAGTTTATGTCGAAACACCGTTACATCCAGAAAAACTGACTGTTTGGTGCGCTTTATGGGTTGGTGAAATCATTGCTCCGTACTTCTTCAAAAATAGTGGAGAACCCATAGCTGTTCCCGACGAGGTCGAAGGGGTAATCCTGGTTTGTGAATCTTTGGGAGTCCGTAGACGAGGAATTTTAGAGTCATGGGGGGTAACAGATTTTTTCACCGAGTCTGATAGATGACGTAGAATCTTTTTTAAGCTAACGATATGATCCGTCTGTAAGAATATCAATCAATCAGTATATAACAATCTTAACCTCAACTCAGGTGGAACGTGTTCAACAAATTCTGGAATCGGTGCAGGGATTTTTCCTTCGGAACCAATTGTAACCTTCAATTTTATTAGTTACGGTTTTGTTTGGCCGAGGTGCGACGTTTGGCAGAGTAGAAACACATTTTATTTGTCTAAAATAATGACAAGACGAGAATTACGGTTAAAATTCAATTAGTTAATTAAATTAATTCTACTTTTTAAGCTCAAAACAGTCTGACACGTTATCCTTAATGTTCCAACTTCGTGTAATTTTTATGATTTAATGATTCTTCATCCAAGCCATTTTTATTTGGTAAATGGGAACCTAAATTGATCATTGTTTAAGCATCAATCAAGTTTAATATAAAATTTGTCGATATTCAATGCACTAAATGTCAAATTAATATCAATGGGCCACTTACACTCACGGTTCTGATTGGGTCGAGTGACGTCACCGTAGCAGTACGTGCTGTGTGTGTCCCATTATAAATTACCAAATGGATAACTTTGTTAATATTAATCCTACGTTGACGTGTAAATTACCAAAGTACGAGCATTGTTCCTAAACCTTCGGATTCTTCAATTAAAAATTAATTTTTTTTTTGTCAAATTTTAACATTTTCTCTAATATTCCATGTCCATAACGATTGTTTCAAAAATCAAGTTAGCCATGTCATGGAAACTGACGTTGTTAAATGTCATTATACAGTGAAAACTCCCTATAGCGAAACTCTGTATTACGAACAAAATTTGTTGTACCGTTAGGTCTCCGTACAAAACTATGTATTATGTATTATGTATAAAGTGATGTGGGATGTCGATACGGACTTACACCGTCGACTGTATCCACGTTTGGAAGTGCAGTTCTAGTAAAAAACTAAGAAAGCCAAAATTTGAAGATTTGGATCGGGCAATTTTGCAGTGGTGTGGGTGGAAAACTTTCTAAAGAACGTATAACAGTGTTAGTAGCTGCCAATATGAGTGGGAGAGAAAAACGAATATTTTCTACTAGAGTTAAATTTGATTTTCTCCTAATTTGTCCATAATAATCGCCAATAATCAATTATAGTTAAAAAATGAATCGTCAATATAATTTATTAATATATTACATGTTATTGTCAATATTGGAGAAAAGATTAAAATAACCAAGTAGCGGTTGGCATGGTAACGGCACGATGAAGAAACCAAAACAAAAAAATCCGCTTAAACTAAGTTTTTTTTTCCGTTCAAAATGCTTTTAGAAAACGAAATCGCTTTCGGTTTGCTTGCGGTGTATTTTGAATGCATGCAAAATACAACTATTGCTGCGAGACTACACGCCGCAAGATATCCAGAGAGACGCCCTGTTTTATCAAGATAATTTAGGACAAAATCTTATTTAACTCCAGTAGAAAATATAACGGTCCCACGTCACGTCTGTCGTCTCCAGTACTATTACTATGGTACGGTTGAAACATATGTTTAATAATAATATGTTGTGCAACAAGTGCCGGTAAACGGCATTTGACTCACGAGTCTATTTGACACGAGCGGAGCGAGTGTTTAATAAACGAGTGACTACGACCGTTAGTTTTTGGGTACATTTTCGCAAAACAACACGACATTCCCTGACATGACTGTCAGATCTGACAAACGTCAAAATTCAAAGCGTGGGAAATATCTCCGAAAACATCCGATCGCTCCCAAATCCGTGCGGTAAAATCCCGGCAATATCCGAAGTGATGTTTCCCGCACGCTAGATCGATAGATAGATAGATTTATATCTCAAAGGGGAAAAAAGGAACTCTCATGACGTTTCCACTATGTTCTGAGTGTGTGCTAAAAATATTTATACATTTAGAATGTTGGAGAAAATCATAAAACCTGCTGTTTTGACACGAAGCGCCCCCTACGGACTCGTAAAAGAATTAATACCGTAATATCGACATGCCAGTCGAAGCTCCTATAAATAAATACTCTTTAAAACTAAACGAAGTTCGTCGAAATCGGATTAGCCAAAAAAAAAAAAGTGATTCAACTTTTTCTAAACTAATGTTTCCCCATTCTAAATTCGACGAGATAGAAATAATTCAAACAAAAAAAGTTTAATTATCTAGAGTAGATTTCCGCCTTCAAAGTTTTGTTCGTGATCGATTCGTAAAATGTGCAATCGTCCGCCAGAGCGATAGCGAAAGTTTTGTTATTGGTCGGTCGTATACTATGTACGTATTAAAAATGGAATTACGATTTCGCCAAATGAATCGACGACGATAACATTGAACGGTTATCGTCTCGCCAATTTTCGTTTATTAAAACAAAGAGACAGACGCGTCGTTCTCGAGTGTGGGTTATGAATAACTTAGAAAAAGAAGAACGAACGCTTCATGCTTGGATATGGTGTTTTGAATGTTGCCTGCATATATCCTAGAAAATAACAATAAAGAAGTGGCAGATGCGAGAAGATGATGAGAAAAATATCGTTAAACAGAGAAAACAGGAGATTATACAAAAAATAGGAGAAAAAATATCGCCAGAAAATTTTCACGGAAGTATTCCGTTACGTCTGCGATAGCAGGTTTTGATGAAGAATTTTTGAAGCGATTATACGTCATATTGACAACAATGTGTCAACAAAATAGACGTGGACGCGTTTACCCAGTATTGCACGGCAACAGCTAAATTGCAGCACCTCTGGAATGTTTCCCGCTGCGCTCCGCTCATGTCAAATAAACTCGTGAGTCAAATGCCGTTTACCGCACTTGTCGCATAATATACTAATTACCAAACTTATTGCATAATATACTTTTTCGACGAGCGGCACGAAAAACTCACAATTTAACAAATTAAAAATAATAACAGATTATCAGATTACTAAATTTCGCACCAGTTAAATAACAACAACACATTGCACAGTTGCCGTTAAACTTACTCTCCGATCTGCTATTGTTGTCTCTTTTTAACTGTGTACGTTAGACGGGGAGAGATGTATTATTGGATATGTCATATAAACGACGGAATAAATACAAATTTTAATATTGTAATTGTAAAAAAAGAATCACCTAAGGATAGAGCTTCATGAGAATTTGTAAATTTGTAAAATATCTGTGAGAAACTTAAATTATAAATGTCACTTACCGACTAGTCCACTAGATTGTCTGATATATTGCATAACATATTTCTCTATTAGTTTTTGGATACATTTTTGCAAAACAACACGAATAAATTCACTGACATGACCGTGCGAATTGACAAACGTCAAAATTCAAACCGGAAATGTCCCCGAAGTGGTTCGGATCCGTAGGAAACGAAATTGACGTAGTGATTAGGCATTTTACAGATGAGAGTAGTACCGGATAGGCATACAATTTTGTAACAAATAAGAAGGTTGAAATATGCGTTTTTTTGTGTATAGCATACATTTTTTCACAATAAAACTTTTATTTCTACAGAATAGGAATACACATTTTATTATTGTTTTTAGAGGAACGAATTGGGAGAATGTTTTTATGGCGAAATACGCGTTAGTGTTTAACCACCCTGTACGAAATACTTTTATGTTGCAATAAAACTTTAATTTGCATTTCAGGCGTAGAAAATATTTGAATGGAATAAATATATAAATAAATAAAATAAATAATAAAATTAAAATTACGTCGTTACGGCTGTCACCCGTTTCCGGCATTTTTATTTTGCATATTTACGCGACACTTTTCGGACAGATACGGCCCGCTAATCTAATCGATCGATTAGTTATTAAGGGGGGGGGGGGAAGTTATTTTTCGACCATTTCGGTGATTTATTGGTTTTTAGCGCGCTTAATCCGCCTCCGAATAATAATTTATGTTATGTCGTTGCAGTGAGACTTTAATAACGGGATTAAGCGAAATTGCGCACGTCAAAAGTGACGTGCCGCGTGAATCCGGCGGCGAGAGGCGCAACGATGGGCAAGTTCGAGATACAGTCGATGCCGGTCGCGCGACCGGAAAACAGCAGTGTGGTCTGCGCGCATACTACCTGCAAGGGACTGTACCGTTTGAACGGTAGCCCGCCGGGAGCCGACGACGAGCCGGACGGCCTGAAGACGGTCGAGGAAGCGGCCGAAACGTCCGACGAGTTCGCCGACGACATCGAGTTGCTGACCACGCAGGTGGCGGGCCACACTTTCGACGAAACCGTCGGCGTAGGTGAGAGTACACGATCGGGCTACTTACTAAAGGCGGCTTCACGCTCGGTATACTTGGACCAGAAATATAGTGCTTTACAACCGACCTCGTCATTAACTTTGCCTACCGTTTATTACTCCAAAACCGCAGCCCCTTATAGAACACCCTGCCGAGCAAAATAGCCTGCTACCATTAGCGAGGTGAACTAAATAAAAGTACAGTCGAAACTCTATATAGCGAAATTGAAGAGTTATAGACACTTGAAAAAAAAACAATACGCATATGTGTTCTGTGATATTTAATTATATTATATACATATTTTAACATCCACTTAGGAACATTTTTAAAATATATAAGAACTATATTTAATGTTTCAATAATCGTACATTTTCTTTTGAATTTTTTTAGTATGTCAATACGCATCTATTTCTTCCAGAGGGGCATGTTCCAAATTTCTCTAGCAGCTTAACTGCATATAGGGCTTGTTGAATGGTTGGTGGTGGTCCCAGATTAACTTCTTCATCGTCTTCTTCCTCTTGGTGCTCTTCCTCACCCTTTCTTGCTTGTTGCAATATGACTTCCTCTGTCAAGTTTGCCGTTGTAGGCAAATCCCGATCTATCACCATAAAATCTTGCTACTCCTCACTTGTAAACGTAATTGTTATTTGAAACTGCTTTATCCACTCGCTTAGTGGCTGATTGATCATCTTCCAAGTCCTGTTCGCATTCTGTCTCGGTAATGACGATAGGAGTGTTGAATTGTTTCTGCTGCTGCTCCTCTTTCCAAACTTTACTAATAAAGTTGACTGCATCTAACATATTAATGGAAAATTTGTCTTCGGACTCGATCATTTAGCGAGCTAAACAAAACAATAGAATGTATGGTTAGTAGCCAATATATTTCCCAAGTGATGTATAAAACAAAGCATTATTAATTTTCGGACATATCAGTCTACGTCATATTCTTTTAAATGGAACACCCTGTATATTATATATGTGTATTCGTCTGGACTACAAAATATTTTTAACCGTTTTTTAAATAGACAAGGGTTTAATTTTTTGTCTGTTAACTCCAATGGCAGATTGTTAAAAATACAAACACGTAAATAATCAGGTGACTCCGAAGCCGTCGACAACCTACAGAAGGGAACTTAGAATGATTGACAATGACATTTTAAAAAATCCATAAACTAGTCAGTGTGAGAATTTTGTACTGGGCAAATAAACCCCTACAAGATGTAAACTTGGAAATATGCGCAATACTCCTTAATATACTTTATCGGCTTTTAGAGATGCTCACCAAAAATCGTAATCGGGAGACCACCCTCGCATAGTATAAATTGAGCAACTGTTGCCTAGTTAAAATCTCACGAAGATTTATAAAAAGGTAATTTACACTATTTAGAGCTGAAATAAGAGTGTCACTGAGACTTGCAGTTTCAACATTCGTCCAAACTCAATCCTAGAAACCTCGCAGTATCCCTACTTGCCTAAAACCGAACCTTGAGGGACACCCATCTCTATGCGTCGACTAGCAGAATTTACACTTTCCATTCTCTTACTGTCATAAAACTTAAGTGATACAAATTGAAAACGACATGTTGACCAGGCTTGGGCGTCAATAGCGTATCGTAAAAATAGTGAACGAGAAGGATTATCGCTTTTAATTTTCTAGTTACACTCGAACTGATACCTAAGAAAATCAAGACACGCGCGGTTCGTCTGCCAGCCGTCAGGCGGCGCGCCAAGTTCATCTGTGCTCTCCGATTGGTTAGTTTAGGCGCGCGTGACGTTTTACACTTTACGTTCCAGGCATGCTCAAGCAGAACGGTACCGTGCTCAAGCCCCTTATCAAAAAGGAGTGTTCGGAGAACGAGGTCAGCCTGTACGAGCAGCTCGAACGTTCCGCGGATAGTTCGCTGGTCGAAATGAGGCAGCTGGTGCCGAAATTTCACGGCATCAAAACGCTAACGATCAAAAACAAGGACCTGGACTTTTTGGTGATCGACGATTTGACGAAGGACTTCAAGGAGCCGTGCGTGATGGACGTGAAGATCGGCAGACGCACTTGGGACCACAAAGCCAGTTACCAGAAAATAGTCGACGAAGAGGTGAGTGAGCGCGGGCGGGCGCACAGTGGTCTCAAAAATTAAATTCTTAAACTACCAAAATTGATATATGGGGTTTGACAAACCTCTCTGATCCCTAATATGCTCAAAAAAGACATTTACAAGATGGCGGCAGTTTGTCAACAAAAAAATGCCTTCTGAATTTTTTCGAACTGAACCGTGTAACGTTGTAATAATAAGTAATAAAAATAATGGGAGGGGGGGGGGGAGGATTAATTATATGGGTTATGTTGGGAAACAAAATTTAAATAATATTTACAAATTGTGCCTTAATTGCCTCGCTACCTCACTTAAAATTGTAAAATAAGATAATGCCATTCAATATATTAAATATGTTGATTGTTACCAGGAAACCTAAGACATTTAAGTACTTCTAATTAAGGTAAATTTAAGAACTACTTACTAATTATTACTCTGAATCACTCTCACTCAACTCGGAATCAATTTGAAAGTCGTTATCTTCATCTGAGTCAGAGTAGATAATCTTGAGAACCGTTGGATGTTAGCATTTCTAGGGCCTCGGCTGAAAATGGTATCAGCTTTTTCAGCATTTTCTACCATGTATTAATACTTTACGCACAAATTTTTGGTCGGTCCTGCTGACAGCAAGCAACTTTTCTCTGATTTTGAAAAATACAGTAGAAAACGATGCCTTCATGTCTTCACAAATATCTATCGTTTTTCCACTACGTCCAGTCATCCCCGTTTTCAGATAATTTAATAGATAACCCGTCTCTTAGACCGTCTTTCAGCATTCCATAAATGTCCTTTCTAGTATAAACTAGTTCCTGGCAGGAGGAGGAGCCTGAAACAAAGAAACATATCTGGTTTAATTTTCTATACAAGCTATCACTATTGCATGTATTATATCATATTTTGTTAAATCTGTATTTGATTTTAGGACGAGAAAATCATTAAAGTATAATCTAATTCTCGCTTTATTCTTTTACATACAGGGTGTTTAACAATATTTTAATTGTTTTTAGTTTTAAAATTGAACCTGTGTACAAGGTTGTGATTTAGTTACTAATTTTCTCAAAATAAAAATGTCGGTCGATACCAACAATTTTCTGTTAGCTGTGGCTGGAGTGGCAGCTAGTGGCCGCAGAACTACACCAAATTTAAAAGATAATAAGTCGTTCTGTTAGTTTGGACCTAATGAATACGTATTAAGTTACCCATTTTAAATAACTAAAAATAAAATTTACATACCGGATGGAGTTGGTTCCATAATGCCAAAGTACTATGAAATACTTGAGTTCAAATTTATTTATTTTATAAAAAAAAGCCACAATCTAATAGCCTCTGAACACTACCACTCTCGAAAAACAGTAAATTACAACTGAAATTAAGATGGTAAAAGGCAAATATTTAAGGACTGGACCCTCTACTACCTGACCCTTCCATTGGAATTCCCAGAATAGGAATTTGGTTTTTACCTATTGTGACCAGTTTTCAGGCGACTTGGACCATGGGTGGCGCGGGGGGGGGGGGGGGGGGCTATCCTGACTACTGTTTTATTTTTGCAGAAAAAGTACCACGACTGCAAACGGGACCTCGGCTTTTGCATTCCCGGTTTTCAGGTGTACAAGCTGCGCAACAGTCAACTCGTCAAGCACGGCAAAGAGTTTGGCAAAACTTTGAACAAGGACACTGCCGAAGATGGTACGTAATGCTGGAGTAATAGAATTCAATTTGAAAAAAGTCATGTCGAGCCAGTTAACAAAAAGGTGTAGATACCTATACAAATATTTTTTCTACATGGATTCAAGTAATTTCTTCTTTTTCTATCTTTTGGTCTTATCCCATGAGCGCTTTCTACTCCATAGGATTCAGATCCTGTGAACAAGAAGGCCAGTCTGAAACTGCGACGTCTTCCATTTCTCAGGCAGATTTTTACAACTCGGATAAATAAAAAAAAAACGCCAGAACTCGACTGGACTACAGGTTTCAAAACCAAGCTAACATACTTTTTTGACATGTTGTCAAATAGCAATTAAAGGAGTTTTTTCACCTACTCTATAACTCCATCCCCAAACATTACTTCATTATTACCACCATCACCAATTTAAACAGTAATTGTTTTTTTGGTAAATAATTTCTGAGCGTTCTCTAATAAGTTTCGACAGAAACGCTCAGACATATAGCAAAAGTTGCCTTTGAATCCCATGATTAGATACTATTCCTGCGTCGGTTGTTGTTGAATCGAACTTGCTGACGTTTCGCCCATCATCCTGTCGGCTTCTTCAGGGATTAACTGAAATTGGTTCGCATTCTACTCTATACCTGCTTATATACTGTTTAAGCGCAGCAGAGCTAAAGGAGGGCCATGCGAAGATTGCATGGTTGCAGATTCTCACAAATTTTATGTTTCGTCCGGTGTCTCCAATGTATCCCTTGCCGCATCTATACGCATGGGATAACCGGAATTTTGTCTTTGTTGGATCTAAGATGTTGAGAACTTTTGATACGATGTTTTGAATGTAAGGAAGAACGACAGTGAGAAGTGGGGGGTTGCTGTTAGTCTTTGGAAGGTTGGAAATTACTAGGGAGGAGAGCAGATATAAGGTATTTTAGTTCTGGGCTCAGTGACTCGGGCTGAGACAGTTTTACGGCTCTGTAATCAAGAGAATCACCCAATGTCAAGCCTGATTTCCTGGAAATCCAGAATTAAAACATCTGCTCTTCTCTGTAATTTCTATATTAGCGATATTAAGCGTTCCATTACAAAATACACTTCGCCACAACCTTTCAAAGGCAATTTCTCTGTCTGAAAATCTCTCAAAATTGTCGATTCGTCAAAGAGAAAATTCCGTTTGAGATACCTGGAGTTTACAGCATGCATATGGGCAAAAAAATTTTACAGAAGAGCAGATGCAAGGTGCTTTAATTTTGGGTTTAGTGACTCGATTTACGACTCTGTAAGCAAGAGAGTTAATAATCAATGATTTTTGGGCGAGATGGTAATGTGACAATTCTATCAATTCTATCAACGAAAAATCCGAGAATTTATGGATGCCTAAAGCAGACAATCTTAACTGCATCCCAGGTCATTTCACCAATACGGGCATCAATCATCGGAGACAATGCGAGCCAGTTTTAGTTATGCTCTGAAATAGCCAACAGGCGAAATTAGGAATCCAGAAGATTTGTAAACAGTATTACAGTAGACTTGAAAATTTAACTCACTCGTCTCTTGGTGAGATGTGAGTTTCTTCTTGCTATTGGAGCCCTTCCGTAGTTAATATTCTACGACTTCTCCTCGATTTGTTCATTAGGGTTCCCAATTCCAGAAACTTTGACTGGGTTTCTGCAATATGCCTTTGTGACATGCCCCATAACTTCACGTACGGGTTTAGGAATAAAGTACAACTAAACTCAATGGGACTTAAATTGACATTTTCAAGACCTTCCATTTCCAAATTTCGGTCGCAGGCACCGATATATCCCACGGATTCCGCATTCTAAAATGTTCCCGGCAAATTGATTATTGTGTTAATTGGTCGTCTGTGGTCTTCTTTTGCAGCGATTAAAACGTTTCTGAACGCGGACGGCAACGGTTTCTGTCGCAAACTTTTGGTGCAATTTCTCGCCTGCCTGTGGCGTATCCAGCACTGGGCGCGAAAACAGAGACGCCTGCGGCTGTACGCGTCCTCCATTTTGTTTGTTTACGACGCGCGGCGTCTCAGGGAGTGCGTGGGCGACGACGTACCCGCCCAAAATCCGCCCCCGAAACTAGTCAGAAATCGGAGCTTGTACAGGCCGCTCAGTTTGGCGGTGCTGAACAAAGATTGCGAGCGGATACCGACCGGGTTTAGCGGACAGTTGACACCCGACGGGCCGAATCTGAGGCCGCGGTCTACGAAATTGGTCGGTTTGGACGTGGCCACGCCCTCTACGATAAACAACAACAACACGTGGCACAAATCCATTCACACGCTGAAACGCACCCACTCGTTCCAAAACAATTACGACAAAGACGTGCAGAACAAGAAGCAGACGTATTCGATGATGTTGGACGATTTGTGTTGCGAGCATAAATCGGAGGTGTGGGCGGTCGCTAAAATGATAGACTTCGCGCACGTCCACCCGGCGGACTGTTGCGACATCGATAAAAATTACCTGGACGGGGTCGAGAGCTTGGTGGGATTGTTCGAAGAGTTTCTCGCGGACAGCGATTAATTAGGTGTCGAATAAAAAATAACTTTGACCAGGGGGAGTTGTTTTTGGCCGTGCGCTCGATGCGTTCCCAAATATTTAGCTCTTGTCGCGACGATAAAGCGCAATTCGCATCGTAAAATGCAGACTCCAAATCGACAATGGATATTCAGTATTTGAATGTCGTTTAAGCATAAATTTAAAGGAACAATAAAGGTGGATAAACGTATTACCTGTCTTTTTTTTTTCGACGTTCTTGCAGTATTTATTTATTTACGACGTCGTTGAGGTTATGCTGGTGCTACCTATCTATCTTAACGATAGAATACGACCTTTCTGCTCAGCAAACGATTTAAAAATATAAAACCATCTAGAAAACTGAGCAATTCAATTCAATTATGCGTTCAACCCCGGACCATCCGGCCTCCATGCCGGCGTGAACAGGGAAAAACGACGGGACCGACGACGATTATCACTTTAAAACATACACTGAACACTCAAAACATTAAATCGACACCGTGGGAACCGATATCAAACTTTTTGGGACGAATACATGGGATTTTGTCGGGAGCGAACGGAGGTTAAACCGCCGCGTGCGATGCTCACCACAGAATCAAAAACTTTTATCCACTTGTAATACTTTTAGTACTTGTCTTTTTTTTGTGGTTTTTGCAGTATTTATTCGTTTATGACATCATTGAGGTTATGTTGCTAGCTATTTATCTTAGAAGAAACTATAAAACGGTAGAATACTGAAGTGAGCAGAATGACTTTTCTGCTCGGCGATCGATTTAAAATTATAAATCCATCACGAAAACGTTGCTGGTTTGTCGCTAACCTATATGCGTTTCACTAATACAGTTGGGCATAATTTATAGTAAATAATTTCTTCTTCGTCAATTTTGCAACTCTGGGCAAATCCTCAAAAGGCATACGCCCACTACCACTGTTAAGCTGTGTATCTCAATTAACTTAAAGTGTGCGCGAAAATCGAAACAAAACTATATGTTTTAAATGTGTATTGGCACCAGTTCAAAGAGGTAAGTGTGTCGAGATGTAACGACATGTTTTTGAGTTGATATTTCAAAAAAGAGCGCGGGATCGGACAACTTTGCGAGGTACACAAATGTAGAAACGGAAAACAAAAATATTATAAATTTCTTATATAATAATACTTACAGAACTTGTTTTTTTTTTCAAGTTTTTGCAGTATTTAATTTACGGCGTTGTTGAGAATGTTATGTGAATACCAGGCTTGTTTATTTTATATGAGGTTGTCAGTCGGAAGGTGAATATAATATTTTCTTGTTCAAAAAGAAAAATTCCAATCAGAATTAAATTACGTAAAAAATAAATGTTTAAAATTTGAATAAATTCACCTGCTCTGAAAACGTGCTGCCATTGGTTATGACCGTTGTATTTTGATAATCAGAAAATTTACCCGAAGTTGATATTTAGTAATTCGGAGCATTATTCTCAAGCTGAAGTTCGTGGTTTAAAAACTAGCAAGTAAGTATAAATAGTTCGATAAAATAAAGCAGATTAAAAAAGTTCGACAATTTAAATGTAAAAGTGGTGTATTTGCAAAAATGTAATTAATTAAGATTTAATTTTAAAGTGGACCGATTTTTAATTTTGACATTAAATTAAGTTTAACTTCACGTTACTAGCTTTTAATCAGCTGATTTTTTTAAATATTACTGTTACTTTATCATTATTTTACGCTAATTTTGTATACATTGATGTTCAAATGCTTAACTTTTGTGTAAGTATTTCTATATATTTTTGATGAGTAAAATTTAAAATTTTAGGTGAAATTAAATGTCTGTTGAAAAGCCCTTACGTTAAATGTTAAATTACATTCAGTCCTGTACAAACTCTGCTGATTTATGTCATTAGTAAACACATAGGTACACATAGGTAATTAAAAATAGATCAATAAGCAAGAAAGAGATTAAAAAACCTTCATCTTATAATTCATTTTATTATCCACTTATGATTTATTCATTTCGATTTAATAACGCCAGAGGATAATGTGAAAAAAGCAATATGGAGTAGTTTCCACAATAAATGCAAAAACTGAACATTAAACACTTAAAAACCGAGACTAACGATGCAAATTTGGTAAGAAATCAATTTATTGTGAAATAAGTATTGCGATTGAAGGGTTCATATTTAACGTACATGTTAGTAAATTAAAAAAAAAAACAAAACAAAATAAAACGGGGCAGGGTAATATTAACAGCAGAACGAACGAATCGTTAAACATTGGTAAGTTGCAAAGAGTTTCTTCATTAAATTTAGCAACTTAGGCCATTATTCAAAAGGCATTGGCCCATTGCCGTGATTGTTTCAACGCCAACTAGACTGTAGTTTTAACGTAAATTTTCTTGCGATTGGAAACGGTGTATCGAGATCAATTATTTGATGGCGATCAATTTAAACACGTTAAAACGTAGGGAGGCCGTTCGCTCTGCTCCGCTTCATTTTTAATTTCCACATCCTGTAATATTTCTTCCAATCCTTTTTGACTATCACGTCCTTCGACATGTTCGCGAGCCAGTATTTCAAACTGCAAAGCGTCGTGGTTAGGTGGGAGAGAGCGGGATCGGAACACCTCGGAAGGTACTCAAACAGAAAAAAAAACGTAAAAGTATATTAAATTTCTTATATAATAAAGGCACCGATGGATAAAAATATTCATTTACTTGTTATACTTATAATAACCTTCGCCGGTTTTCACGCCCAGCTTGCCTTCCCTTACTTTCTCCTTGAGCGACTCGCACGGCACAAATAACTGCTTATCGGGGAATTTTTTGTGCCAGCCTTCGATTATCGACAAAGTGGTATCGTGGCCGACGTAGTCGGCGAGCTCGATCGGCCCCATCGGATAACCGGCGCCCAGTTTCATCGCTATGTCGATGTCACGTGGCGACGCGTCACCTGAAATGCACCCCTTCTACAGCCTTGACCTTAGGTCATATTTGCGGTAAAGTCAAGAATAATAATGCGACCAAAAATATAGTGCGTTTATTGCTTTGGGGTTTTAAGTTTTCACAGTGGCTTAACCGTAGACCTTCGCAGGATCGTGCCTGAGATGAACCCTAACGAATATTTGTAAAAACTTAAAAAATTTATTTGAAACGTAAATGAACCGTTTTAAATTTGATTAAGTGATCAAGATATAATACAAAGCGTGCCTACATTAGATATCTTAATTAGGAGTCTTGAAAGACATGAAACCGCTGTTAAATGTGGTAGAACTACTTTACGGAAGTGTATTCAACACATGGGTTTTAGATTTAAAAAAATTGACAAAAGGCAAGTTTTAATGGAATCTTTTAGAATTCGGTAATGGCGAAATCTAGAAAAAAATAGGATTTGGGGCGGTCCTGGAATGGTTACGTGTAAGGGGCTGCGGTTTTGGCGTAATAAACACTATATTTCTGGTCGAAGTATATTAATCAATACACGAAGACTGACCCCTTTCCATCATCCTTATCGCCTCTGCCAAATAAGGCACCAGCAATCTGTTAACCACGAACCCGGGGGTATCCTTGCAAGTAATACATGTTTTGCCGATCGCTTTGCCCCAAGCCATAAACGCCTGGTACGTCTGTTCCGACTGTTCCGGTATTCGCACCACCTCCAGCAGTTTCATCACAGGTACAGGATTGAAAAAGTGCAGCCCACCGAACCTAAGTTGGGCCGTAACCCCATTTCACTATTTTAATATGCGCATGCGCTGTCCCTATCGGTGGCGCCATCTGTGGGCGCATTTCTTAAAAACAGATTTTTTTAGAGTGGTTCTGTAATTAGTGCTTGATAAGGAACGTCGAGTTGAATTAATTATATTACTATTAAAGTTCGCCCGACGATATACCGTTTTTACAACCTTTTATGGTTTTGACCTCGGAATGAGTTTAAGATCCGCTTGTTGAAAAACAGAAGCACGTGTACCACAACCCCGGGTCGTATTAGTAGACTAATTTTCTTCGATTAAACTGTTATATTAATTGATATTAAAATAGTCCCTACTTGAGGTAGCTAGATTTCAAGTTGAATTTGACCATTAAATAGGTTGATCCGATATATTAAAAACACATTAAAAGAAGAATTTAATGGCTTAACGTAATGACTATGAAATATTTCCCTAGGAAAGCAATACAATTGTTTTTTGAAGCTGAGTGTGCCATATTTATATACATTTTATTATAATTCACATTACATTGTTCAATTTTGTTGGTCACTTGCGATGTCCAACGAAGAAATTGAGATTGTGGTCGATGACGTAATAATCGTTGATGATGAATATCCGTCAAATTCAAATGGATCAAAGACTCGGACATATTTGCCGGTTGCCGCCAAAACTATCATATTAAGTGTTTCTGTTTCTGAAATCGATATCTGGAGATGCCACAGTACATAAAGAAATAAAAACAACAAACATGTTCTAACAATTAAAACTTTACATGAAGCGTTGCGTAGCGTTTCGTACATTGAATATTGCCAAGAGACTTCGCGTGCGTTGATACGAAGTATTGGTTTTTATTACAAAACCATCGACAGGAGACAAGTTTTGATGGAATCAAGAAATTCGTGCTAAAAGAAAGGATGGTCTGATGGTAGCAAACGTTGGCAAACGAATTATCATAGTACATGCGGGCTCTGAAGCTGGTTGGGTAGAGGCAAAGGTTGACTACCACGAAAACGAAAACATCTTTGAAAAATGTTTTCCTGAAAAATTGCTTCCCAATATTCCACCAAAGCGTGATGTAGCGAAGGCCACCATTGCGCACAAGCGGAAAAAATACCGAATTCATCATCGATTGAAGAGGTCATTCAAATTTTTTTGCTTCAAAATTTGAATATTTCTACACAAAGAAGCAGTTACTGGAAGTTTTTAAGACGGGCGTTTGAGACCTTCATAAAATTTACCAAAGTCAAATACCGGATTATGTCGCAAAAGGTATATCGTCGGGCGAACTTTATATACTTGCATTGGTTAAGAATGGCGGATAGAATCTATGCCGTATTTTCACAAGAACTATTCGCCATGGTGAACTATGAACTCAGGGTAAGTGTGTAGGTGTATAGTTTTGGATTTCTTATTTTGGCGTTAATTTACTTTATCTCCTATTTGAGGCGTGGGCGTTTGATGAGATGAGAAAATCCAACGCTTTTCGAAAATCGCAATTATTGTGGGTTATGAATTATTTTTATTTGACTAGTTTTTTCTTGTTTATTTTAAAAAACATTTACATCTAATTTCATCATACCAATGAAGTGATTTAAATGGCGTCACATTTTTGAATGAGTTGAACGGGATTTTTTATCTTCTAAAATGGATATAATTGGAAAGCGAATGCTGTGGGAGGCATACATCGGTTTTTAATATAGCTGGACATAGTTCAGGAATATGTTAGATCATAATTCTGCAAAATGACATTTTTTATGATTCTTCATATTAATACTTAACAAATTTCTCATTTAAGTAACGGACCCAAACCTAATCTAACCTTTTAATGCAACGTCAACCAAAGAGAAGGTGCAAAAATCAAAAATGTAGAATTCAACACAACGTCAGCAAAATGAAGTTGCTTTGCAACTTTGCAAATTTAATTTTTAAGTAACAGTAGAAACCCGAACCTAACCTTTTAAATGTAACGTCAAACAAAGAGAACGTGCAAAAACTAAAAATGTAGAATTCAAAAGGTCAAACAAATGAAGTTGCTTTGCAACTTTTCAAATTTCCCTGTCAAGTAACGGAAGAAACCCAAACCTAATCTAAGGTTTTAATGTAAGGTCAACCAAGGAGAACGTACAAAAACCAAACATGTAGAATTCAAAGCGAAGTCAGCAAAATGAAGTTGCTTTGCAACTTTGCAAATTTCTCTTTTAAGTAAAGGAAGAAAGTCAAACCTAACCTAACCTTTTAATGTGACGCCAATCAAAGAGAACGTGCAAAAACGAAAAATGTACCATTCAAAACGTCAAAAATATTAAGTTGCTTTGCAAGTTCACAAATTTCCCTTTCGAGTAACGGAAGAAACCCAAACCTAATCTAACGTTTTAATGTAGAGGTCAACCAAGAAGAACGTGCAAATAAAACACGTGCAATTGAAAACAACGTCAGAAAAATGAAGTTAAACCCGTTAATAACCAACAAAGAGATATAATGGCGAAATTTCATAAGAAGTGTTAGTTATTTCCTTTGTCCAAAGGTTAGCTTCGGCAACAAGCGTACAAATAGGATTCAATAGGTACTCTAATCTCTAAAAACTAGATTGTCGCCGCTCAAAAAGAAGCAAAAGTAAGTCCGCTAGTAAGTAAAAGAGAGTGCTTTTATTTAACAACTTCTGAGTTATCGTATTGTTTGCAAAATTGAACACAAGAGAGATCAATGAGTTACAGTTACAGTTACAGTTTACATAACTGTGACGTTATCAGTTATGTGTTGTCGGCATAATACTTATTGATAAGCAACTCGGATCTTTTATTCATGGCATTGCACTCGTAGGTTTTATTACATATGCAATTATTACGTCAATTGTTTTGCATACTTGCGTGTACGCCCTTATTTTTCAATTTATCAAATCTTAAGCATCAAATTATTTTTCTGGTAATGTCACAACAATAATTTGCTGAGGGATGTCAGTATTGTGGATAAAAAATAAACAAAAACATTGTGTGAAACTTAATGTTCAAACAAAACCAGGAAATAATTTTCAACTGTTCTTTCTAGAGCCCCGCTGAATTTCTCAATTTTCTATAATTTCTATCTTTAGTTTCGCAATTGGTCGAACTGTGACTTTAAAAACGTTGCATTAGTGAGTTAAATATGGATCGTCATTGTTTTACCATATACAATTCGCCAAAAATATTATTCGGTCATAGGGTTTTCGTAAGCGTGACAGAGATACACCGAGACTCTAAAATATGTAAGAAAGTGACAAGAAATGCTGGCTGTTGCTGCGAGATTAAATAAAAACCTGTTGGCGTTCAGGGCTATAATGCTAACAAAGGCTTGAAGGTGGGGGGGGGGGGGGGGGGGGTTTAAAGTGTCAAAAATTGCTCGTATTTTTTTAAAAATAGTAGTATATGTGACTAAAGAAAAGGTAAGGTTCAAATTATTAATTGGTGTCTCTCGGGTAGTTCGCCCCAAGAAATTATCGGCAGATTTGCATTATTGTTTGAAAATAGGTCAATTCCTGCACATTGCACAAATTTACGAATGAGTAATAAATTTGAAAAGCATGGAATTTGAGAAAGAACCACGAACAGTGCAGAAACACGCAGGAAAATTTACCTGCAGATCATGAGAAACGCATGAACGAAAACCAAAAAGAAGATATTCACAAGAAAACCATCCATTCCTTCAAAGACTCAGTATTCGGAAAAGGTCATCGTATTGGCTGGTATTTTAAGAAACCATTTCCAACTATTTAGGCTCCCAATATCCATGTTCATGAAATTTGGTATCAACAAGGAGAGTTCAGGATTTTCTGAATGCATCGTTTCCTAAGGGGAAGCATCGAATGGCCACCTGGGTCCCCAGATCTAGCACCAAATGATTTTTTTCTTCGTAGCAAAATTACAAATGCTTTTAGCAATGTTACTGCAGAAACACTTTTTAAACCTTCTATAAAATAATTATGAAGGTTTTAGTTTTATTTTTGAATTCCTTTTTTATTTTTCACGACGGGCATTTTAAACGTTTTTATTTTAGTGCAAATGGCACAAACAAAGAACAATAAATATTTTTCGAAGCGTTTTAAAGAAATGCGTCAAAAATTTTAAAATGTTATTTCAAATACGCGAAAGAAATCGGCACCGAGAACTGCCTATACCACTTCTTTCTACAAAAATCGCTCGAATGTATCATTTGCACTTAAACCGGCAATTATTCACTCAGTTAAAGCCATTATTTCAAACTGAAGTTCTGAATTTCTTCCTCTGTCATCAGGTGTACCGCAAGGTTCTGTCCTTGGACCTATATTATTCTTAATTTATGTTTCTGATAATTATACATCCATCGAATATTTAAATTTGCATTCATTTGCTAAATTATTTGATATTGCTTCAATTTATATCAATTTGGATTTGCATAACTTATTTATATATTCTTCTAGGCATAATCTTCAACTTAATGCTAAAAAATGCACTGTAATGTATTTATTTATTAACGATGAACGTTTGAAAATTATGAATTGTAATAAAAACCGTGGCGTTATATTTGATTGTAGACTTAGATTCCTGGATTATGTATCTTTGTTGGTGAAATAGTCTAATTCGCTTTTGCGCCTTTTATACTTACACTTACGAGCTAAATTACAGTTTAGTAATTTGCAATCAGTGGCTTTAAGGTACCCCTACATACTCTCACCGCCAAGATATCGTTTATCTTTGTTCCGCAGATCATTTGCTTACAACGCTGTTGTAATTTTTAATGGTATGCACGATTCAGTAAAAAATCACATTACTATTACATTTTTCTATTATACTATATATACTATATTTAATTTATCAATGTATTTACAACTTCTTGCTTAGTTTTCAATTTAAACATGTTAGCCATATCTTTTATATGGCTGTCAAAAGTCACGTATAAAAGTGAGGTTAATAATGGCAATCCCATTATTAAGTAGAAGAATAATGGCAATCCCATTATTGAAAAAAAAAAGAATTGAGGTTAATAATGGCAGTCCATTATTAAGTAGAAGAACAATGGCAATCCCATTATTGAAAAAAAAAGTTAATAATGGCAATCCCATTATCGAATAAAAAAAAATCATGTTACAATAGCAACCCCGTTGTCTGTTTGTAAACTTCAAATAGTAGCATTTACAAAAATTTTGATGTTGGTTTCTAAAATTTTAGAAATAGCGCGAGGACGCTTTCAGAGCAGGATGGCCGTGTTAGCGATATCTTTTATATGACCGCCAAAAGTCACGTAAGCTGAGTCAGGACGGACGAGTCCAATAGAACAGTGCTTTGGTTTTTGGGGAGAGTTAATTCGGGGTTGAAACCCTTACGCCACCCCTTAAGTTAACAAACATTTAAGAGGTTAAGTGGAGTAGCTTTTACTAAACTTTGCCTCTTCTCTACTGTATATTTGTATATAACAATATACAACAATAAAGGTAATTTATTATTATTATTATTGTTATATTGGCAATATAGCAAAATATTTGCGTGTCACCTCGATGCTTTTAAACTCTCAGTCTAACTTTGTCACACTAACGATCCTCCTATAACCGAATAATATGTTTCGTGACCTGTATAACTCAATTTCCAAAAATTTTGCACTTACGCCGCTGTCTTACCGGAACAGCGGTACATATATTTAAAAAAAAAATGAATCGACCATTGCGCAAGCACCAATTAAATAGAACGGGTTCCAAGGTAACTTTTTTTTTACAAGAAAACGTTGAACTCCAACTACCTGTCTTTTCTGTCGGTAACGGATGCGATGTCCCCGATGGACAGGGAACTGGTGTTGGAAGCGAACAATGTTTTGGGCGGCGCCGCCTTGTCCAGCGCCCCGAAAAGTTTATGTTTGACGTCTAAATTTTCCACGATGGCTTCCACCACCAAATCGCTATCGCGCACCGCCTCGGACAGATCCGTCGACCCGACGATTCTCGCCTTGGTCTCGTCGACGAACTTTTCGATGGCCCTCGCGTCCTCTTTGTACAGTTTTTTCGCTACCCGACCCAGGTTCGTCTTGATAACCGCGTCGGCTTTTTTTAAAATATCGGGATTGACCTCGACCAGGGTTACGTTGTTACCACTTTGCGCCGCGACCTGATGGGGCGTTTTGAAACGAGACGAAATTCGCCGGGTGGAACCTTACGTACCTGCGCTATACCGGAACCCATCAAACCGCCTCCGATAACCGTAACGTTTTGTATCACTTTCCTACTAGTCGAGGTGGAAAAGCACCGTTTCAACACCGTAAAAGTCGCCATGATGTTCAACGAGCGAATGAAACAAAGCCGAGTGAACCGATATATATATATATATATATATATATATATATATATATATATATATATATATATATATATATATATATATATATATATATATATATATAAATGTACTGGGATGAGATTCAAAGTTGACACTTTCACTCGTTAATCGCGGCTCAAAGTCGACGGGAAATAAATCAACATAAACAATCGATCGGTTATAAAATTTTGACGTTTATCAGACGGATTACGTCCGCAGCGCACAGCGGACAATAGCACCGTGGCCGTTCGGCCAAACCGTATTGAAAGTCACTGACTGTATTCACTTTTTATTCAACAGGAACTTACGTACGAATTCAATCGAAACGATAAATATATATACTATGTATCTCTAACGAAAATTGCACGATCCGACCGACAAAGTGGTAACTAATATTATATTTTGGCGCTTCGTGCACCAAGCCGAGCGAACCACCGTGTGCCCTAAAAAAAACTAAAAATCATGGACGAAAGCGCCGTAGTTTCGCAAAAATCTACTATTTGAATGTAGCGGTGATTATTCCCCTTCCCCCCAAAACCGTAAGTGCAGACTATTTATCTTATCTCGGAAACTATAGAGGATGGAGCCAAAAGTTAATTGGGGTGTTACAAACCTTTAATTTATTTTTATTTTCTATATATTTTAATTTTTCGTGGGCGAATATCAACTTTCTTATTTGAAACTACTTTTTACACCAACTGAACAAATGTTTAAAAGGAAATATTTCAAAAAGTAAAAATATTGGGCATACACAACCTTATATAATACTGCCTTAATTTGTAATGCTAAATATGAGGAGATTATAAAAAATTGGTAGTTTCCATAAAAGAAAAAGTTTTTTTGGCAGTTTTTTTAATTTCGTTTCTAACCTTATTTTTCGCGTACCCTGTATTAATATGTATCGAAATTTCTTATGAAATCCGTTATTTGAGTGCTTTGTCTACCAACCGTCAAGTAAAACAATAAATGCTTCCGAATGAAGATATTGACAGATATATTACGTCTTGCAAACGTCATTCTTCGCGTAAAAAATTAAAAACGTCAAAAACGGTTACACTTACTCTAGAATTTTGTATAGAATTCAAAAATTAAGTAATATACCGGGTATTCCATTTAAAATAAGAAGTTAACTTCTGAATGTAACTATTGGATCCATCCTCTATAGTTTCTGAGATAAACGGTCCACGTTATACACTTAACCTAAAATACGAAAAAACCGGTATTCCCTTCGAAAGCGAAGGTCGTTTAAAGGTCACTCTTGTGTTCATAGACTATTTAAAGGACGTCGTTGTAGCTAATCGGCCACGATAAGAGGATTTTTCCGCGCCAAGTATAAAATCACAGCGTTCACCTTGATAACGAAAAATAATTCCCTAAATAGAAGCCGAAACGGAAATTTACGCGAGGATTTTTTCAAAAACGCCCCCGCAAAATCGAACAGAAACTTCTAAATCGACCGTTTTTTTTTACGACAACGCGCGATCTATGTTCGCGATCTCGTTCGGCGAGAAGCCGAGGATGCTCTCGATCGCTCTCAGGTGGCCCCGGCTGTTCTCCTTGTCGGTCAGGAAATAGTAGACGGCGGACCGGAGGAATTGCAGCGTGATCTCCGGGTCGATTTTGTTTTTGCTCTTCGCCTCCGTCAGCTGCCGGTACATTGCCTGCAAGAGCGCAGAGAAATAATGGCCCCGAGGCGACGACCGCGACATCTACAACGCGTGCGATACTACTGCCATCACCGGCAAAGCCATACGCGACCGTTTCCATGCGCCTACTGCGAGTGCCTCGAGTCAGGGAGTCGAACAAGGCATGATACAACAAAGATATGACATTGCGCATGTAGCAGCGGGTCACGTGACTGACGTCACGCGGAGCGTGACAAAGGTCACTTTCTTAAGAAATTCCTATTCGAATTTTGCATAGTGTAGGCAGAAGTTGAGGTTATGTGTGTGTGTTTTTTTTTCATATTTTCATTGCCCCATATAAAATTGTGTTATGACGCTACTGATCTAGGTATTGCAACGAAAATTTAGCGAGATGATGCACTATGCACTACTCAATCAGTTTGACAGATCCTCAGCTTATATAGGTGGTGCCGTTTTGGCGAATTTAATTAACAAAATGTCAAGATTTTCGAATAGAACACCCTATATTTTAATGCAGATATCAATTCTAGGACAAAAAACAAGGTGAGTGTGTAATTTATCTTATATTTAAATTTTACTTACTTTTTGAGATATCCCGTTTCCGTTAACGCCCGTATAAATTCTTGTTGAATTTAAAGATGCCCACATTAGGTCACTCGTTGGCAATATTAGGTATTTTTTAAATAGCAAAGACATGAATACCACTTCTTTTGAAGATATAATATTCCAGATATAGGAATAAAAGCTATTGCTACCAATACAGATTTAATAAAACTTCAGAATTCATATTGAAAGAAATATTTAATAGTTAATTATCTAGCTTGATTGAAAATACCAAATAAAAAAAATAAATAATTAAGCTTTATAGCCTAACTAACCAAATTTGAATAAATAAATAAATCTGTTTTTCATATTTCTATATAAAAAGTTCATAGTTGTCAAATTTTTTGTTAGTAAATATTTTATATGTATTTGAAATAAATTATAGTTTTTTGGTTAACCTATCAGCTTTAAGTATTTATCTTTCTGAAGTTTTATTCAATCTGTTATAGTGTATAGTATAGAGACGATTTTTCTCAAATCTCCAGATATTAGTGGACACTCTGTATTGTTAGCAATAGGTTTTATTCGTATACCTTCGTAATCTTTAAAGGAAATAGTATCATGTCTTTGCTATTGTCTTAACAATTGACCTAATGTGGGCAGCTTTAAATTCAAGAAAAATTTATACGGGTGTTATCTTAAACCTCGAATATCTCAAAAAGTAAAAAAAAATTAAATATAAGATAAATTACAAACTTACCTTTTTTTTCCTAGAATTGATATCTGAATAAAAATATAAGGTGTTCTATTTGAAAATCTTGAAATTTTGTAAATTGAATTCGCCAAAACGGCCACCCATACAAGCTGAGGCGCATCTGTCAAAGTGATTGAGTAGTGCATCTCCTTAGTCTGTGGTTAAATTTCCGTTGTTGTTTCGGGCAGTGTATAATATGATTTTTTAACAAGGAACTGCTTGAGTTTTGATTTAGTTTTATTGTTCCATGGCGATTCTGCAAAACTAAGGTCGACTCGATACAATTTGTTTAAACATCTAACACCAACGTAATCAGGGTTTTGTTGACAAATTGATAGCCTATAAAATGGTGCCCCAATTTCATGCCCCTGTAATAACAATTGGGGTTCTTTTTTTTTAGTGTGTGTATAATAAGGCAGTTCACGTAAAGAGACGTCGGCGTCAAAATTTGTACGGAACCAAAAAGTTCTCTGCGTGAGGTTGATTGTGCCATGAAAATTTGATGTGCGTCATATACGTGTCCCCAAAAAATTAAACCGTAGGAGATTTCTGATTTTGAACAAGTCCGTGGTATACCAACTTTAACACTTCAACAGAAACACTGTCTCTTATAATTTTTATTAAGTAACAATAGATAGAATATTATCAATATGGTCGGTTCATAAAAGTGTTTGATCAACATTCATTACTAAAAATGTTGTCCTGTGTTTTTATTAAGATACAGTAATCCATAGGCCGGATTCCTAACCAAATCTCATTGTTTGTATTTTTTCAAAATGCAACACTCGTCATGAGTTCGGTAATAGCTGCCAGAATCTTACGTACGTAATTTGCGTTTTGAACTTTTGGGCTATACCGCCCGAAATCGTCGATTACTTAGAAGAAATAGAACACAATTAGTTGACACTCTTTTGGAAAGCAGGTAAGTTTCTTTTTTTTTTAATGTACCCTTTAGAGGACCTAACATAATCTTGATATTGAACATTTGTTTGATCATGATGATGATAGAGTTATTGTTTTCGTTTTAAATAAAAGAATTTGATTTTCAGCATTACTTAACACCTCCTCATTTTTAAGTTTTGTAGAAAAAGGTATTTCAAAAATAATATAAGTTAAATACATCTAAACTCAAAACCTAATTCTGAGTTATGAGAAATTAATTTCCCTTATTAATATTTTGTAAAATGTTTTGTCATTGGTTTGTTATGAGATTACTGGTCCTCCTCTAGCGAGGTTTGGACAATGAAATGTGAGAAAAACATTATCGTTAATCCAAATGCCACAAAAGCAAAAAACTTAACTTATTAATATAATAATAATTAATAAACTGAAATATACAAGTTTGCAACAACGATCAAACCGACTTAAATAATTATCCCCTCTTAAACCCTTAGATAAAGATTCTACCTACTGTATGGATAGTCTATAATCAACCCTGTGATAGTTAGTTTAGAGATTCTTTCCGAAGAAGGTACAGTGTACCGAAACAATTGTCAAAGCAATAAACATGTGTGTGGTAATCTTAAAGCAAGTGTTTGTTTTTATTAAATTACGTATGTAATGGATTATCATCAAGTAACAGTCAACTCAATCAAATCAAAAGGAAATTTGTTTTTCAATTTTAGTATAAATCACTGTATTATTTTTCTGTAATATTCTGTAGATGAATTATAAGTGTGTGGTGATCTTAAAGCAAGTGTTTGTTTTTATTAAATTACGTATGTAATGGATTATCATCAAGTAACAGTCAACTCAATCAAATCAAAAGGAAATTTGTTTTTCAATTTTAGTATAAATCACTGTATTATTTTTCTGTAATATTCTGTAGATGAATTATAAGTGTGTGGTGATCTTAAAGCAAGTGTTTGTTTTTATTAAATTAAGTATGTAATGGATTATCATCAAGTAACAGTCAACTCAAAAGGAAATTTGTTTTTCAATTTTAGTATAAATCACTGTATTATTTTTCTGTAATATTCTGTATATGAATTTTAAGTGTATGGTGATCTTAAGGCAAGTGTTTGTTTTTATTAAATTACGTATGTAATGGATTATCATCAAGTAACAGTCAACTCAATCAAATCAAAAGGAAATTTGTTTTTCAATTTTAGTATAAATCACTGTATTATTTTTCTGTAATATTCTGTAGATGAATTATAAGTGTGTGGTGATCTTAAGGCAAGTGTTTGTTTTTATTAAATTACGTATGTAATGGATTATCATCAAGTAACAGTCAACTCAAAAGGAAATTTGTTTTTCAATTTTAGTATAAATCACTGTATTATTTTTCTGTAATATTCTGTATATGAATTTTAAGTGTATGGTGATCTTAAGGCAAGTGTTTGTTTTTATTAAATTACGTATGTAATGGATTATCATCAAGTAACAGTCAACTCAATCAAATCAAAAGGAAATTTGTTTTTCAATTTTAGTATAAATCACTGTATTATTTTTCTGTAATATTCTGTAGATGAATTATAAGTGTGTGGTGATCTTAAGGCAAGTGTTTGTTTTTATTAAATTACGTATGTAATGGATTATCATCAAGTAACAGTCAACTCAAAAGGAAATTTGTTTTTCAATTTTAGTATAAATCACTGTATTATTTTTCTGTAATATTCTGTAGATGAATTATAAGTGTGTGGTGATCTTAAGGCAAGTGTTTGTTTTTATTAAATTACGTATGTAATGGATTATCATCAAGTAACAGTCAACTCAATCAAATCAAAAGGAAATTTGTTTTTTAATTTTAGTATAAATCACTGTATTTTTCTGTAATATTCTGTAGATGAATTATAAGTGTGTGGTGATCTTAAAACAAGTGTTTGTTTTTATTAAATTACGTACAAATTTCCTTAACATTCGCAGATCATCTAACCTAAAATGTTGTATTAATCGTTAATAAAATGACACTCCGTTCACTATTATAATATGAAAACTTCATTTTAAATATCTATTCCGAAAATCTGAGCAAATACCAACGCAAAACGTAACGATTTTTTTATATGTTTCTGCGTATTTGGTAGCTGCAAATATAATGCCAACTTGCATTTTACCCTAAAAAATTATAATTAACAAACTTTATCGATTGCATTGTAAATAACTACCGCATCCCACAAGTACTGAGCGTCAAATTCAAGTTTTTAGCTTTTAGCGATCTGTCATGTCGTTATTTGTTGTATCATGCGTCGCAGACGAGTCTCAACCACGCCCAGTTTTTAATTCGCCTCCTAGGGCGTGTTATTTTTTTAAAGACACGCCCTAAGATGTGAGATTCGGTGTGGTTTCGGTTTTGGCTCCGCCCCGCCCAAAAATGTAAGACTCTCTAGTTGTTCTTCGCCCCTTAAGGAGTGTGATTTTGTTCTTAGCCACGCCCAGCAGACAAATGACGCACCTTTTAGTGCTAAAAGACTGGGCCCATTGGGCGTTTAGTTTTAGCCACGTCCTAAGGTCTTGCGGTTTAGTTGTTTTTGAACACGTGATTTTGATTTTAGTTTTTTATTACTTCAAACGTGTCGGCCTTTCGTCGTCACCCCTATTAGTGTAAGATCCAAGCCAAGAAATAAGTTTCTGAACGTAATAACTAAAATGTTCAAGATTATATATTTTTTTAATTTCACCGGTGCTTCTACCAAACCAAAATAAACAGTACTTTACCTTTTTTTGGTCCCTATTACCTGATAGATGCGATAAACCAGGTTAGTTGATGTTAATAATTGCACTCTTTTGTCAACCATATCCGACTAGTCTTAAAATAAAAGGGTGCTTCATTTTTAGGCGGCATTTTTTTTCTCTGTGCTACCTGAAAATCTGATACTTTATAGAAAATAAAAAATTATGGGTAATAAAGGCTTTAAGTGCAATAGCGGCTTAGCTCATTTAAAAATTCATTTTCCTATTTAAATAACACAGAAAAAAAAATTTTTTTCGGTTTTCACTTGATTTTTCGACGTGAAGAAATTTTTTTTTTTGGAAAAACGTATGTATAGCATAAAATTTGCTACAAAAAGTTCCTACGCGTACATCCTCCCCGACCAACAGCTTTTAAGTTTTAAGCTGTGAAAATAAATTTTCATTATAATTGATATCAAATCATTTCTAAATTAGGATTTATTATTTTTACATTAAATTTATTTATTTATTTGAGTTATTATATGATTCAAGTTTCTAATTTCCAACATTATTTTGGAATCAATTAGAGAAGATTAAAATTGAATTATTAAAAAAATATTAATTATAATTAATTATAGACATTTAGAAAATATTCATGTTTGTACTCCAGTGACCACTCTAAAATTTAGTGAACGAATATAAATTTTAATTAATAAATAATGATATGAGTCAACTCACAGACTTGATATCAATTATAATGAACATTTATTTTCGCAGCTTAAAACTTAAAAGCTGGTGGTCGGGGGAATGTACGAATAGGAATTTTTTGTAGCAGATGCTCTACAAAAGCTATACACGCGTTTTTCCCAAAAAAAAAATTCTTCACGTAGCATAGAGAAAAAAAAATATCGCCCAAAAATGAAGCACTCTAGTGCACATGTCCTCACGCTTATTAAAAGCAAGGATAAATTAATTTATCACACAACAATGTTTTGTATACATTCTGTTTGTAAATACGTTGTTTGAAGTTTTCGAAACTGAAAATGACGAAGAAACGGTGTTTTTCGTGTAAAAAAAGGGTTTTGGTAATTGATTGTTCTTTAAAGTTATCATTTCAACGATTAAGAGCTTGAGTTCACCCAAAATTCAACTCAGTTTGAAGAATATCACTGCCCTTGTTACAAAAAAAAGTGACTGTTTTAAAAAAAAAATACAATAAGGAGTTTGACGCATTTGTTAAAATTTTTTTTTAATTTACATCAGAAAATTTTTTTTCCACCATTTTTGCTTTCAGGAAGTATGTTTCAACTGAATCGTAAATTGATGAAAGTAAATTGAAAGCAGACGCCATAAAAAATAGATGATATTTTAGAGATGCCAGAAAAAGAAAATGAATGACGATTCTTCCGATAATTTGTTACTGTTTGTGCTAATATTATTATTACTGTTGTATTATATTACAGATTTTGTTTAATAATAGAATATTATGCAACAAGTGCGATAAACGGCATTTGACTCACGAGTTTATTTGACACGAGCGGAGCGAGTCAAAATTCAAAGTGTGGGAAATATCTCCGGAATCATCCGATTGCTCCCAAACCCGTGCGGTAAAATCCCGGAAATGTCCGAAGTGGCTGGGATTCGTGGGAAACTGACGTGGTAAAGCGACGCTTCCCGCACGCTGGATCAGTGTGTAATTAGGCATTTTACAGATGGGAGTAGAAAAAGTCAATTAATTATATGCTAACATTGTAAGTACATGCAGTCTCTATTTGTTTTGGACTACGCTTGCTTCGAATTTTTTAATTTAAATGTTTTTCCACTAGCCCCTAAGCCCAAATTTTCTGAGGCAACCTTATACTACATTATTTCTAATTAAATTACTTGGTAGGCACACCATATAATTATTACTTTTAATTTTATTAAAAATAATCTTGACCATTTCCGTTAAGGTTGCTATATCGAGTCACGTCCAGAAACTAATTCTATTTGATAAAATGCCGTTTATATCTGGTCGGCACTACTAATGTTATTTTGGCTCCGCCCCTTTGACCGCATCCCTTCGAGTAGGGCTTTAGTTGAGCCCCTAAGAGGCGAGATTTTATTTTGCGCACCTTTTCGACGTGGCTAAAATAAAACCGCGCCCGTTATATACCAGTCACCGTTCATTGGGCGTGGTTTCGCTCTTAGCTCCACCCCTTCTGTCGCTTTTCTTTTGGTGCCGTTATTTCGTGTTGCCGTGCATCCTAAGGGTAAGCGAACGCGCGGGGTGCCATCTACCGGACGTCAGCGAATTTTGGTTTTACCTTACGTGCACCGAGAACCCAAAGCGACAGCGCCTCTTTGGCGCTCAGTAACGGATGCGCGGAGCTCGACGCGTACTCTACGTCCTAGAAGAGATAAAACAAAACACACGCGCGCGCGCGCACACACATCGATGGGGGAACGGGGTTAATAATGGGGAAAGCGACGACGGATTAGTCTAGCTTAGGGCGGGGGGCACCGACCCTTACCTTCACGTTGTCCAGTTCGTTTTTCGTCACCTGGAGCTCGTTGAGCAGCTCGGGAACCGAGATGCGGTTCGGATGGGCCCTCGCCACCTCCATGACTGCCGCGTCGTCGCGCTCCGATCGGGCCGTCTCCTGACCCTGCGCGTACATCTTCAGGTACGTGCGCTTCGCCCGTTGCTCCTGCTCCTCCAGCTTCTTCACCGCGTCCTCGAGCTGCGCCTCCAGCTCGCGGATCTTCTCCTTGGCCGCCTCCAGTTCGGGCACCAGTTCCCAGTAGCGCGCGTTGATCTCCGTGATCCGTTGGAGCAGTTCCTCGACCTTGTCGTTGTGACGCTGCCTCAGGTGGTACGTGTCTTCCTCGTGGGTGCGCACCAACTCCTGAATCCGTCGCTCGTACTCGACGATCAGTCTGCTGTGCTCGAGCGTCCCCACGTGCGCGGACACCGCCTTATCGGCGGTGTCGACGTGGTTGTTGTGGGCGGACCGCGCGGTGAGGTCCTCCTGCGAGTGGATCGACGAGTTGGTGCCGTCGCCGTCGAAGTGGCCCGAGTCCGATATCGAGCAGCTCAGCTCGTTGCTGGTGGGCGGGGCCTCGGGCGTCGCCTGCTCGCTAGTGTTTTCCTGGTGGGTTTGTATGGGACAATTTTAAACCATTATGCGGTTAAATGGGATATACTTCGACCAGAAACAAACGACCCCCTGATAAACTTTGCCTACTTTTTTTCGCCGAGCAATTCTTGAAACATGCACATAGAAAAATTATTACAAGGAAACACTACGTTTCTACATAGTATCATTGTTAATAGACAAAATATTAAATATAATAATAATAAAGTATCGGTCACTTAAAAAATCGTCACTATCGCTACTGTCGTCACCTAGTTCAATGATCAACTCCGCCGCTAATCGTTCTAGATAAATATTTTCTTCGTTTGCTTGAAGGTGGTAGACGCTGATTCAGTAGATATACTAAAAGGATGTCGATCTTTATTTTTAACTTACACAACGTTTCGGACAGTTGTATCACTACCCGTCATCAAGTGTATAGTTTACACTGTTCTTCTTTCTTTTCTTCTTCTTTTATCGCTCGTTTTTCGTAGTTAGACCAGCTTTGTACTGATATTTTACGGTACTGTCATTAAATTAAATTTTGGTGCAGTGTTATTTCTTCCTATATGCCCTTTCAACTAACACCAAATCATCTCAATCGGGTTAAGTGTACAATGATACGGGGGTAATCTCAAGATTTCATGTCCATTTCGTTGTGCTACCGAATCGATTTTGTAGTCTTTATTAAAATGTTTTAATTTTAATAATTCCAGAAGTTGTTTATTCGTGTAGCTCCCACCAAAATATAAAATACAGAAATTCTTCAATTTCTTCTTTATTTCAAGAAGTATTTGGAATTTTTCTAATTTGGGCTGAATGATATAGTCTGTTCATAGATATAAGAAAGTGACTATGATATATATATATATATATATATATATATATATATATATATATATATATATATATATATATATATATATATATATATATATATATATATATATATATATATATATATATATATATATATATATATATATATATATATATATATATATATATATATATATATATATATATATATATATATATATATATATATATATATATATATATATATATATATATATATATATATATATATATATATATATATATATATATATATATATATATATATATATATATATATATATATATATATATATATATATATATATATATATATATATATATATATATAATTAAAGTATGCGTAAGAGTCGTAGTCTTACCCGGACAGTCACCGCGTCGCTGCTGTTCGACTGCGACTTGTCCTCGGGAGAGTGGAGGGCAGCCTTGTAGAGCCTGAGCTCGACCACCTCTTTGGTCAGCTTCACTATGTCGCTGTCTTTCTGGTCCAGGTCGCGTCTGGCCTGGTGCAGCAGGCACTTGAGTTTCTTCACCTGTCTGGAGGCGCGGCCAATGAAAAAGTGCACCGGGCGGTACATGGGCGTGGGTCTTACCTGTGCGCGCGCTGGGTGGGGGTGAGGTATTCGTCGCCCGCTGCCCCGGAATGCTGGTTGCAATGGAACACGTACCTATATGGGCGTGACCGTTGCAGTGGGAGAGGGGAGACGGATCGACGTCGTTATAGGTGGGAGACCGGAAGAGCCAATATTTAAAGCGTGCGGAATGCGTCACTTTACCACGTTATGTCAGTGGAAAACTCATTTATTAAACACCCGCTCCGTTCAGAGCGACCTTAATAATGTTAGTTCGTGGTGCAGAGAAAATGGTCTGGATCTAAATGTTGGAAAGTGTTTTAGTATTACTTTTTCTCGCTTAACTAACACCCTTCAAAATAGATATATACCTTGGACTCATCTTTGATAGTAAACTGACCTTTTTGGATCAGCTGGAGGATATTGTTAACAAGGGCACGAGAGGTCTCGGTTTTATTACCCGTAATAGTACACTGCTCTGATCCGACTGTTTTAGAACTCTTTATTGCTCCTTAGTTAGATCTACACTGGAGTATGCATCAATAGTGTGGTCTCCACATTACAGATGTCACATTGGATACTGTTCAAAGGGCATTTCTAAGGACCCTAGCATATAGAGCGGGTATAAATATCTACAATAACTTTCACATTAATTCTTTTCTGGTATGTGAGCCTTTTGGGATAGATAGTCTGGAAATTAGAAGAACCCACTCCGATATCTTGACGTTTTATAAAATATTGAACGGCTCTCCTCCAGTCCATTGATTTTAACATCTATCAAAGACGTCAGAGCTCTCCAACGTTTTGTATTCCATGGCCGTCTTCGACTATGTAAGACAAAATTACAACAGGTAGTTGATTGTAGTTGTAACTAGTGTGATACTATTTGATAAATTGGTTAAGGCTTTCGCGGCCCATTGATAAGCTATTATCTTCATTCGGGTTTAAAGGCCGTCGTCGGTTGGAATTACTTCCTAACGTTTCGCTAGCACGAGTGGCGAGCTTCTTCAGAGGTCCTTCCATCTCCGATGTTGGAATAGACAATATCAAAATCGCAAGCCCCTTAAAGTTAGAGGTATCTCGAAATGAGATATGAGTAGGACGAAATGTCTAGAGTCCATTAATTAAACTAACAAATACTTTTTGATAAAACCTAAAAGTCACCTTACTTTTTGAACACACCGCGCATGGTTAATAGTGAAATATCTGCAAGCCGATGTTCTTTTACCTGAGCTTTATCAGCCTAAGGGATGAGTGACACAAGCACAACATCAACCAGAACCGCTTTTATCCCCTCCCCGTGATGATTAATTAGGTTTTACCAACTGGATGTCACGGGCTCATACAAAAATTAAGTCCAATAATATGGCTCAGTTGAAAGTTTATGGCTCGTCCGGCCTCCTTTGTCGGTATAATATATGACGTCACTCACTTCATGCTCCGCCCCGAGAAAGTGGTACCGTTCCTAGCGACGGGGGCGTGGTCGCACGAGGCCAGGCTACTCGCTGAAAATACACTGTCGCTTAGCGACACGTCCGCGCGACGTTGCCAAATTTGACACAGCAACTGGATAGATAGTTTCGCCCATCGATCCTGCCAAATACTCACCGACGCTACTGACACTCTCCCCGTCCCAGCAATCGAGACGGAGGGCCGCGTTTGAGGAGGAGGAGGAGGTGCGGGCCCCCCTCGCAGGCGACACCGGATGATGGTTGGGCGTCGGCGCCCCCAGAGATGGCGACTTCGAGCTGCTCCCCCTGGTGCCGGACAGCGACAACGACTATGGGAAACATTAAGTCCTAAATGTTTGCCATATTCAAAGATTTTTCCCTCCCATTATCTCCAAAAAGGGAATTTTTTTTTCCCAGAAAACATATTTGCCAAATTTTTGAATAAGAACCAGCAAAAACGAAAAATATATAGAGGCTGTCCCATAAGTAATGGTACATGGCAAAATGGGAGTTTCCTTAGGTAAAAATATTACCATTTAACGAAACATACCTTAGTCCGCAGGTTGATATGAACCGAGATACAGGGTGTCGCAGTTGCAATTTCATTTGTAGAGGGCGCTACGCATTTGTTACTTATAAACTTTTCTGCGCCTTAGTGTATTATTAGTGTAGTATTGTATTAGTGTAGATATTTAATAAAAAAAAAATACACAAAAAAGGCCTACCTTTTAAATCCCCCCCCCCCTCGAGTCTTCCTTTTCGAAAAAATCTCATAGTAGGCTTTAACTATCATGAACACAATAAAATAAGGCGAAGTAGTCTCTGACGAAACTAGACACGATAAAATACCTAAGTAGGCTTCTGACTAAAAACAAATACGATAAAGGCATAGGAATTTCTTCGCTGCTTGTCAGTATATTCAATAATTAATTAATAAATACAGTCGAAACTCTATATAGCGAAATTGAAGGGAGTGCTTTTTTCTTCGATATAAAGAGTTCTGTAATATTTAATTATTTTATATACATATTTTAACATCCACTTAACTGAATATAGGGCTTGTTGAATGGTTGGTGGTGGTCCCAGATCAACTTCTTCATCTTCTTCTTCCTCTTGTTGCTGTTCCTCGCCCTTTCTTGCTTGTTGTAATATGTCAAGTCTGCTGTTGTAGGCGTCATTTTATAAAAAATGCCAGTTTCGTCAGCATTGCAAATGTCGTTTCTGCTAGTTTTGGCTACGTCTTCCCCAATCAATCGTTAGTGACGTTTCTGTCGATATCACAGTGTTCGCCACTTATCTGACCATAATTTGTACCATGTCTCTCTTTGAACTTCCCCAACCATCCTTCCGAAGCCTTGAAATCGATAATGCCAAGCTGTTCAGCAAACTTTTCTGCTTTTAGTTTTACGGTAGGTCCAGAGAGCGGTACATTTTTAAGACGTTGCTGTTGGAACCACTGCAACACTGCCCAATCCAAATATTCAAATTTTGGCTTTCTTAGTTTTCTACTAGAACTGCCTGCCGCTTCAGCCTGAATGATTTGTTCTTTGCAGTTCCAAATAGTGGATACAGTCGACGGTGTAACTCCGTATCGACGTGCCACATCACTTATCTTTTCTCCCCGTTCTATCTCCCGAATTAAAGCAACTTTATCATTTAGAGATAACATTTGTCACACACTCGCTATACCGGGCGTCCCACAATTATCGCCGACGTTTTTATTTACGAAAATAAATGGCGTGAAAACATTTTCAAGTTATCCGTTAAAATCGTTTTCCCGGACGATCCGGAACTAATTGCGATGCGGCAACGGCGCATCCCGTCGGCCGTTTGGCGCCAAACGCGAAAATCGAAGGTCATCCCCGCGCGAGGCACGTCTACCCCAATTATTATCCTTTTTAAATGCTTATGTTTGCCAAAGCAAGGCTTAAAAAGGGATAGGCAGACGATTTTTCGTAGCAGCTACCTCGCTATATGGATATCGATCGATCTTCCAATGTTGTTCGATATTCAAGAACGCCGGGAAAATTTCTCGGTCCGATGGAAAAAACCGTTCGTTACAATTTATTTTCAAATGAGAAAAAAAAATCCGCGCGCCTATGGCGGCGCATCTGATATAAAATTCGTTGGTTTTCACACAATTTTAGCACTTTCTGTCGACTAATTCAGATCGTCACGGTTCTAGAGGGAACCAATCGGGAGAAACGACCCAGTGATCTGTTCCTATCACGTAGGTGACACGTAACCGACCCCCAATCGAGCACTCACCAGGCTCCTGATCCTCGCCGACGCCGTCCGCGGCGACGCGTTGAAACCGCCACATCCGGGTGCCTCCGGGGGGCTCACGCCGTCGACGACTCGTCTTTCGCCCCTTTCCATAAACGAGCCGGTCCGTTTCAGCGCGGCGGGCGACTTCGACTGCTTACGGTCGATGACTGCGGCGCCGCGGTTCTGATCTCCGCTAGAAATCCGCCATCGATTTTTGCTGGTTCGCCGATTTCGAATTTACTCACCCGAGTCGCCGCGCGGATTCGTAAGCCGGGTTTCCTCTCGCCCGTAGACTATTATGTCTTCGTAAAGGTGCGGGCGACGATGGCACAGGGATTTTCGAATCGCCCTGTCCGTGGCCGCTGTCCGGCGTAAACATTGTGTCGCTCATATTTTATAACACTCGTTTAAATTAACAACCTGTAAGGATCAGCTATCACTAACAACATATGTGTTAACTATTGTCAATCCGTATGTGGTAGTGTCATGACTTTTTTTATACTCCGCGCATTGTCGGCTGGTCTTACGACACTCGGCCACTTTAAGTTTTAAAAAGAAGAAGATACCACAGACATACGAAACATAACCTATATTTTCGGAACACGGATTGGTCGCCGCTGCTTTTAAAGAACGGGAACGAAGCGTCCGGGTGTCGTTTTGGAATATTTGAAATTCGTTCGTCGCTTTTACTATACACGTACGCGACCCCGTTTATATTGCCCGTCGTAAACACCGCGCAAACGGTAATTGTTTATATTATTATAATTAGGTGAAATTATCGTGATTAGTGAGCCACTTTCGACGCTGCGCTCGGAGAAACCCGGAAGAGTTGCGTTTCGCAGCGGAACGAAACCGTTCGAGTCTCGCAGCACGATTATTAGGAAGCACGGAGTTCTCATCCGCGACCAAAATATTTTTTTTTTGTTTTTTGCTTAAGCAGTGACCTTGACGGCGTCGAGTGTACTTTCTTTCTTATGCAACGTTTGCAAAAACAATTACGTTCCGTAAATGGGCCATATTTTTTCCTTTTACTCACGTATTCGTCGACGTTCATGATTCGGGCGCACTCGTTGAATAACAACAACATTGTACAAACTTGTCGCACCAAAACCACTTTTCGATGGCAAAAATAATCGTGGAACGTCGATTCGCCTGTATTTTACGCTCGTTATCGCCTCTGCCACTGTTAATTTCGCTTTTATCTTATCGCGACATAACGAGCGCACATTAATCGGCTTGGTAAAAATATAAACTTATTTTGACAGACGGGAAACTTACCTGTCTACGATCTGGCAGGATTTTCTACCGTTTCATATCCGGCCAACTGGGAAACTCGCGTGCGGCGTCGAATCGCGTTTCGTTACGGTTTTCGCTCCGCGATTGCAAATCAAGAATTATTTCGGTCGGTTCCCCTCCGACTGTTTGAAAAAAATAACGCGGCGGGGAGAGATTCAAACGCGGCGCTCCACGTCGAAATATGGTGTAACGGCCGCACGTTGTTGCCAGGTCACTGATACCCGATCGAATATAAACTTTGCTTGATTATTAATTTCAATCTAACGGTGCCGTGCGATTAAATTGATGTAGTTTTAGTTCGTGGCGACTAAATTCCCGCCGATTGGTTTTACGCGCGGCAAAATGACTGTAAATTTGACAGGGCGAAGAATTATGAAAGTGGCAACGTCGAAATTCTGGTCTGTGCCCTGGTTGTTTAAATACCAATTGTCGAAGCCCGACTTATATTTGATAATAGCGATTAGAGTGATAGAAACCGTGCATAAGCTGTTAATACAGCAATTTTTCAAGCGACGATGAAAAAGAAATGAGACGGGCCAGTTAATACGCGCATACACGCGTCTGAAATCTCGTTCTTAACCAACGTACATATTTAGAAAGCAGTTCAAGACAGGTACTGTAATATATTTTTTGTACTCCCGTCTGTAAAATTTCTAATTACGCGCCGATCCAGCGTGCGGGAAGCGTCGCTTTACCACGTCAGTTTCCCACGAATCCCAGCCACTTCGGACATTTCTGGGATTTTACCGCACGAGTTTGGGAGCAATCGGATGTTTTCGGAGATATTTCCCACGCTTTGAATTTTGACGTTTGTCAATTCTGACAGTCATGTCAGTGAATGTATTCGTGTTTTGCGAAAATGTACCCAAAAAGCAACGGTCGTAGAAAAAGTATAGTATGCAACACCTTCGATAAACTTTTTAACTCACTCGTTTATTAAACACTCGCTCCGCTCGTGTCAAACTCATGAGTCAAATGCCGTTTACCGCACTTGTTGCATAATATACTATTATCTTCTGTCGCAAATTGTTGTGGATCAGCGCCATCTATTTTTTTACTGTGAGCCGCCATCAATCAGTAGAAAATGGATTAATCAGTTAAGTATTTCCATTGATAGTTTATTGAGCTTAATGCGACGATATTGACTTGACTAAAGTAAGAAATATTTTAAGAACGGGATAAGTTTAATAAGGGTTTTGCTACTTTGCTTTTAAAAGAAAAGAAACAGAATTACAGTATTTGTGACAAATGGATTTTACACCCATCGTCTTGGTTCTTAAAAATACATTGGAATAGATGAACATTCCCAAAAAGGCGGGCGGTTTTCAATGCCCTTAAAAGACTTTTTCAACTGAATCTGTTATCGCATTTTTTTTTTAAATATGATTTTGTGGTTATATAATAAATGGAAGGAGTCTTCATAATTCTCCAGATTGCAGAAGCACCCGTACCTAAACTTTTTTAGGTCTGGTCAATTTTTACTACAAAAAAAGAATTTACTTCACCTAAGTTTTTATGCCACAATAATTCAGACTCACTTATCACTTTGGCTTGATGCCAATACTTAGGCGACTTGGTCTTAAATTGCCAAATGACATTTATACTGTGACCTGTTATCCCTCTACGCTCTGGTAAGTTCGAGAATTACACGAAATCTATGGTATTGATAATTGATAATGACACTGAAAATTTTAAAAAGTGATTTATATTTCTTTCTTATGGAAAAACTTGACTTTTTCTAACCTATGAACAGAGATAAATACCAATATGCTTTGAGAAAAAACTAACTTATGTAATGTTTTTTACTTTTTCAACAGTCAAGATTAATGAAAGACCAGTTATGGATGTTAGTGAAGCAAGTGAAAAACTGCATAGGTGTTCGATATGAAATTATTTCAAAATATATTTTAAGAGTGGGCAGGTTAGCATTGCAAAATGGCCATCGCGTATTGTGGCTTCCGCCTTATCATTGCTAATTTAATGCGATAGATTGTAAACGGTATTATGATTCCAAAAGCGGTTCCATCGATCCCGTAATATCTGAAGCACATGCTCAAGTAAAATAATAATACTTCTGATGAGGTATTCGAATGGAACAACTATTGCTTGGAAGCACACAGGTTTGCGAAAGGGAAAAGTTGATGATTGATTCTCCCAGTTGTTATCGATATGCTTAAATCAGACTCGGCGGAGGATATTTTTTTCGACAATGACTAGTTTTTGTTCCCCTTCTTTGCTCTTTACATTATGGGTTTTCGTGGTTTTTGTTTTTGAAGTTTTATTTTTTCCGTTCCTATAAATACGCCACTGACTCAAGTTGCCATAACCTCATATTTTTCAAAGAAACTTCGGCAGGCTACTGTAATACTTTTTACAAAACTTCTGGATTCCTCATGCGTCGGTTTTTGCTGAGTCGAACTTCATCAGTCATCCTGTTGTACCTGCTTATATATCATTTGAGGGGAGCGGAGCTAAATAAGGGGCATAAACACCGTCTCGTATGACTGTTTCCCATATTGGTGAAGAGTTGATTCTCGGATGACAGTTGCGGTTGCATTACGTCACGCGGACTCATCTCGTTCAAAGAAAATGCGATATTATACAGGGAACATGGACATTACGTTTGGGAGGGATGACAAATTCATCATCCAACAAAAACGGTTTCACTTGTTCACTTTATTTACAAAGCGGAACAATATAAGCAATACATACAGTACTAAAGAGTACTCTAGGGTGGCCATTTACATAAACAAACGAACGCCTCGCGGCGATTCCCTCGGATCAACTACAAAAGGAAAGGTGTTGTATTTACATAGTCAACATGTTTTTTTTACACAAAAGAAAAACGATCGAGCACGAGATTACAGTGTTGTCGAGTGTTTCATTGAACGATTAAAACGGTACAACGTTTGAATGATCGCGTTATCATAACCGCCACTCTAACTAAACGTTTTGGTGTATTGCGTTGCCTATTGTCTACTTAAAACCCCCGCGTTCCGGACATCCTCCTCAAACCTTTCAGTACTTACCGCAGGGCCTCCAACAAAAACTCACGATTACGCCTAAAATTCACTACCTAAATTCTTTAACTTTTTACAGTTTTGCATTTCGGTTTATTTCATTATCATTATAATTATTATTATTATATTAATTTTTTTTTTGGATCGGATGAACGGTTTGCCAGCTCGTCTCGAGCCGTAACAATCGCGGACGTGGCAACCCCGCAAACCGGTAACGCCGAAAATAGGATTGATTTTTCACAGCGCCCACTGCAGTTGCGGGGTTAGAGAAAAAAATACAAGGTGTCCGGGAAAAAAACGGTTAGTATTGTATTTTTTGGGTCGAAATAATTTGGCTACGTGTAATCGAAAAGTGTCGAAAAGGTGACGATTAAAATTTGATATTTGCCGATAGAGGAGACCGGGGCTAGTTCACTAATGGGGTTGGTTGACTAAATGTTAACAACTCTTGTAATAATCATTAGGTCAAGCCAAGCGTATGAACATTGTTCTGTCATTCATGATATTAGTAAATTATTTAATAAGTTGGAAGTTTAGGATGGTTGAAGGGGGACCATTTTACTGCTTGACAATCATGATTCCCACTTATCCGTGCTGGCCTTGGATGTTTCTAAAGAGAATGGGGTTACAGTTTCATCATTTCCTCCCCATTAGTCGCATAAGCTGCAGCCCTGAGATAGGAGCGTTTATGGACCACTTAACAAGTATTGGAACTTTGCTATGGACACCTGGATGGTCAATAATCTAGGCAAAACATTGTCAGTATACGATATCCCTGGAGTTGTGAAACAATCTTCGGCTACTACACCAACAAATACAATGGCTTGTTTTCAAAAAACATTTTCTCTGATGCTGACCTTCTACCTTCCTCTGTAACAGATAGACCTGATCCTACAAGTGTAAATGAGGATTTAGCGAACGAAAAGACATGTACCTCAAATGGCAGTGGATTAAATGACACTGAATTAAATGATCAAAGTACTGTATAACTGAACAGTCCACTGCAAATGACAATGGGTGAGCAGATTACAAAATGTCGACCTGCCAGCATATTGAGTGCCGAGGAGGTGCGACCACTTCCAAAAGCAGATGCTCGGAAAAATACTAAGTACCAAGTGATTTATTCTTCTACTTGCTATAATAAAATCTTTTTTTAGTCGTTATAGAGTTTTAGTCACTAGAGTTTTACTCTGAAGTTATGCGCCGTTTGCGAAGAAAAAATCCGGAATTATCGGGAAAACAATTCTTGGATTTTGCATGACGATAATGGACCTGCTGACTCATCGTTGCTTGTGCCTAACTTTTTGGCCAACAACAAAACCAGAATCGTGCCCCAGCCACCATATTCGCCGGATACGGCGCCCTGTGACTTTTCCTGTTCCCAAAACTCAACAAACCCATGAAAGGAGGTTTAGAACGAATCGCTGGAAGAACTCAAGGCTATACCAGAAGTGCTCCGAGGATTGGAAAAAACGTCGGAACAAGTACTTTGAAGGAGTCAACATTTTATATTCACGAATAAATAAATATTTTTTGATAAAATTTAAGTCACTTTACTTTTTGAACACGCCTCGTATGCCAAGTAACCCCGTAGCCTGTAATTGTTGACTTAATGTGATACGTGGATGCCCAAGTAGACCCGGAACGTTTTGGTAGATCAAACGTTAAAAAAAATTGAAGAATAATCTAGCAAACAAATATAATGTCCGACTGGCCCCGGTCTTGCATACAATAAAATTCGTTTCGCCTAGAATATTACCCGACACCCCATATACACTATTACGGCCCAAAACTCGTTTCAAATTGTGCCTCTTCTTTGTTTTTGTTTTTTTTTTATGTTTTTTTTTTTAATGTTCTCTACTACGTATTTTAACTTTTAACTTGAAAATTTTCAAATATTATACGCGCTACCACTAAAATGTAATTACTTTTAGAGCTACAAAAATAAAAACAACCGCGTCAAATCATAATAATAATATCTCGTTAAAAACTCGACTATACTTACGTCATAAATACATTTAAACTAAGAGAGTCGATACGATCGACGCGACTGGCGCTGAGAGGGGTGGGGGGTGGGGGTTAGTTAATGATAATATTGCTAAAAAAAATAACAAAAATACAATGATTGAGGGCGGTAGGAAAAAAAAGTCGACCCTTCGTCGTTCCACCCCCTCCAGCTGCCCCGCTGACTACCGAGAAACGCAAAAAATAAATAAAGGTCGCCGTGCCAAAAATCCACTCTCGCATATTGCACAAATCGTGGCGGCCCGCCCCCTCCCGCGCCTCGGCCGCCCCCACCACTTATTGCCAAAATTTTTGACACGGAACCTAGAAAAAATATAATGTGTATATATATTTATATATATATATATGTGTAAAAAAAAGAGACGATTTTATCACACGTAATGATTAGGGGATTATGGTGGTTTTTTTTTTGCAGTGAATACAAGATTGGTACCCGTTACTTTCACTCTTAGGTCTGTGATTTTTTTTTTCAAAGTACTCGTAACTTCACTTCGACACCGCCAATACTTTTTTCCTATCCACTCTCTCCAATATTGTCCTCGTTTTACTTTTTTGTTACAGTTTCCAATCCCGGCACCTGCACCACCAATCGGAACTCTATTGTGGGTTTCTGCTACGGTTACGGCTTGATTATTCGGTATGTTGCTCTTAGACTAGTACAATGTTGTGCTTCTTCTTATTTAATAGCCTGGAAAACACAAAAAAAACGAGCCTCACACATCTCCGGTTCAAACTTAACGCGGCGAAACATTAACGCATGCGAAACACAACAAACTAATTAACCAACTCTTGAAATAGACACTTGCAATATTTAATTTGAAAAAAAAACCTTAAATTAAATTACGTGGGATACCGATGATAAAATGAGAAATCATGAAAGAAATGAAACGATATAAATTAGTTTATTTGAAAGAAAAAAAATCCACTAGATATTCAACAGATTTTAAGTACATTTAATTTGAACAAATTAATTTACAACGGCCTTAAATCCGCAAAATACTTGATTTAACGAGAAAACGTGAATCACTTTTAGACAAATTCAACTTAAACCAGTTTGCGTTAAAACTAATAAATCCTAGGAAAATATGTATCAAGTTTTGGGTAATTTTAAATTGTTTAAATTCATTTTTACCCACTCAAAACCCGCTAAATACTTTAACGGATTCACAGAAAATAGTGAAAAATAATTATACAAAAGAGCGCCCTTAAATATTAAAAAAGCGACAGTTAAATTAAATCGCGTAAATTCATTAAAGCGCGTTGAAGACTTGGAATGACGAAGTAATTGCATATGAGAATTATGCAATTACTTCAATATTCAAATAACCTGCTTTATTAGTCAAATGAAACGATTAACGTCCAGACGTAAGACAGCAAGTACCAAATATTCGCAAATATTAAATTTTTAGTTAAATTAAACGTCGTAAATACATTAAAGTTCACTAAATATTTGAAATCATTGGAACGAGGGGTAATAGCAAATAAGCAAATTTTTTCTCCTTCAAACTGCTTTAACACCAATAAATACTTTTAAAAATATTTAGCCAACCGAATATTTAAGATGCAAAAAGTTTTAGGCAAATTGTTTCCAGTTAAAATTGCTGTAACTTCAATAAACATATTTAAGGCAAACGAAACGAGTCAACTTCAAAAAAAAAAAGAAAGACGGGAAAGAAAAACTGCCAAGCACATACAAAATTTCCGCAAATGTGAAATTTTAAATCAATTAAATGGCGTAAATCCATTAAAGGACACCGAATATTTCAGATGCAAATCAATTTTATGCAAACTGTTTCCACTTAACATCAATTAAAATAATTAAAGCAAAGGAAACGAGTGGAGTTCAAAAGATAGAAAGATGAAACTGTTTTGATATAAAAAAAAAAATAATGCTAGCAAAACGACGATTGGTCGCAAATATTAAATTTTAGTTAAATTAAATCGCGTAAATCCATTAAATCCCACCGAATATTTGGGATGCAAATAAGTTTTATGCAAACTGTTTCCACTTGAAACTGTTTTAACACCAATGAAAATAATTAAAGCAAAGGAAACGACTGAAGTTCAAATCAAAGAACGATGAGAAAAAATGCAAGTTCCAGGCACATACAAAATTGCGGCAAATATTAAATTTTAGTTAAATTAAATCGCGTAAATCCATTAAATCCCACCGAATATTTGGGATGCAAATAAGTTTTATGCAGACTGTTGGCACTTGAAACAGTTTTAACATCAATTAAAATAATTAAAGCAAAGGAAGTGAGTGAAGTTCAAAAGAAAGAAAGATGAGAAAAACTGCAAGTTCCAAGCGCATAAAAAATTGCCGCAAATATTAAATTGTAGTTAAATTAAATCGCGTAAATCCATTAAATCCCACCGAATATTTGGGATGCAAATAAGTTTTATGCAAATGTGAAATTTTAAATCAATTAAATGGCGTAAATCCATTAAAGGACACCGAATATTTCAGATGCAAATCAATTTTATGCAAACTGTTTCCACTTAACATCAATTAAAATAATTAAAGCAAAGGAAACGAGTGGAGTTCAAAAGATAGAAAGATGAAACTGTTTTGATATAAAAAAAAAAAAATGCTAGCAAAACGACGATTGGTCGCAAATATTAAATTTTAGTTAAATTAAATCGCGTAAATCCATTAAATCCCACCGAATATTTGGGATGCAAATAAGTTTTATGCAAACTGTTTCCACTTGAAACTGTTTTAACACCAATGAAAATAATTAAAGCAAAGGAAACGACTGAAGTTCAAATCAAAGAACGATGAGAAAAAATGCAAGTTCCAGGCACATACAAAATTGCGGCAAATATTAAATTTTAGTTAAATTAAATCGCGTAAATCCATTAAATCCCACCGAATATTTGGGATGCAAATAAGTTTTATGCAGACTGTTGGCACTTGAAACAGTTTTAACATCAATTAAAATAATTAAAGCAAAGGAAGTGAGTGAAGTTCAAAAGAAAGAAAGATGAGAAAAACTGCAAGTTCCAAGCGCATAAAAAATTGCCGCAAATATTAAATTGTAGTTAAATTAAATCGCGTAAATCCATTAAATCCCACCGAATATTTGGGATGCAAATAAGTTTTATGCAAACTGTTTCCACTTGAAACTGTTTTAACACCAATGAAAATAATTAAAGCAATGGAAACGACTGAAGTTCAAATCAAAGAACGATGAGAAAAAATGCAAGTTCCAGGCACATACAAAATTGCGACAAATATTAAATTTTAGTTAAATTAAATCGCGTAAATCCATTAAATCCCACCGAATATTTGGGATGCAAATAAGTTTTATGCAAACTGTTTCCACTTGAAACTGTTTTAACACCAATGAAAATAATTAAAGCAAAGGAAACGAGTGAAGTTCAAAACAAAGAACGATGAGAAAAACTGCAAGTTCCAAGCACATACAGAATTGCCGCAAATATTAAATTTTAGTTATATTAAATCGCGTAAATCCATTAAATCCCACCGAATATTTGGGATGCAAATAAGTTTTATGCAAACTGTTTCCACTTGAAACTGTTTTAACACCAATGAAAATAATTAAAGCAAAGGAAACGAGTGAAGTTCAAAACAAAGAACGATGAGAAAAACTGCAAGTTCCAAGCACATACAAAATTGCCGCAAATATTAAATTTTAGTTAAATTAAATCGCGTAAATCCATTAAATCCCACCGAATATTTGGGATGCAAATAAGTTTTATGCAAACTGTTTCCACTTGAAACTGTTTTAACACCAATGAAAATAATTAAAGCAAAGGAAACGAGTGAAGTTCAAAACAAAGAAGGATGAGAAAAACTGCAAGTTCCAAGCACATACAAAATTGCCGCAAATATTAAATTTTGGTTAAATTAAATCGCGTAAATCCTTTAAATCCCACCGAATATTTGAGATGCAAATAAGTTTTATGCAAACTGGTTCCACTTGAAACTGTTTTAACACCAATGAAAATAATTAAAGCAAAGGAAACGAGTGAAGTTCAAAACAAAGAAGGATGAGAAAAACTGCAAGTTCCAAGCACATACAAAATTGCCGCAAATATTAAATTTTAGTTAAATTAAATCGCGTAAATCCATTAAATCCCACCGAATATTTGGGATGCAAATAAGTTTTATGCAAACTGTTTATACTTGAAACTGTTTTAACACCAATGAAAATAATTGAAGCAAAGGAAACGAGTGAAGTTCAAAACAAAGAAGGATGAGAAAAACTGCAAGTTCCAAGCACATAGAAAATTGCTGAAGATATTAAATTGTAGTTAAATTAAATCGCGTAAAACCATTGAAGCCCGCCGAATATTATATTATATTAAAAGTAAATGAAACGACTAGTCGCAAATATTAAATTTTAGTTAAATTAAATCGCGTAAAATCCATTAAATATTGCTTATTCTAAGCACGTCCACTTACAAACCTGTTCTACCGTATGGGATCCGTACCATTTGGCTCGTTGGAGTTTGGCGCGGCCGGACTGGGCTGCGGCGAGCTGCCCGACGCCCCCCGACCGTGCGAGCTCTCGTACTCCATCACCTCCTGGTAGATCAGTTCTTTCCACTGCTCTACCGTGTGCTCGCGTTCGTCCACGCTGTGGTCGTACGGACCCGGTGCGGGCTGTAACAATCAAATTTACGCAACTATTGCAAACCGTTATCGAGGTATGCGCACTCTATCGGCCGTTTCATCATTAGAAGAGCCAAATAAAGGGAGAGAGAGAGTCTTGCGAATCTTGTATATGAATACAGATTTGTTTAAAAATTCAAAACACCTTGCGTAGTGAGCCACTAAAAAATATATGTATGTAATTTTTATAAAACTGCTTTAAAGTGGGAAAATATTAAATTGCTTAAGATTCAACAAGTGTTATATTATTGGGGCTGTTTAAAATCAATAAATAATTTTAAAAAATTATTGTAGTTTTAAATTGGAATAAAACTGCTTTAAAAAATAAATTAATTAAGAAAACTTAAAAATATTAAATACATTTTAAAAACATTTAATTGGCATTAATCCATTTACCAAGATTAAAATCCGTAACAGGCTTAGAATACCGAGAAATAGCAAAGAATTTTTAAGCAGTTATACAGATTGGGAGCTGTTCCACAGTTTTAAATTTGTATAAAATTGCTTTTAAAAAAATAAATTTCGCAAATATTCATTAAATTTGGCTACATTTATATCCGCTTGTTCAATAAATTTTAAGGCACATCTAATTCGCATTAACCCATTGGCCAAGCTTTAAACCCGTAAAATACCTGTCTATTCTTTGAAATCAACAACAGTTATTAAAAAATATTTTCGGAGTTTTAAATTGGTATAAAAGTGCTTTTAAAACATTAAAATTCGCAAATGTTCATCAAGTTTTGGCTATAATTATACTTACACCTAAAATGTACACCCTCTTGTTCAATAAATTTTAAGACACTTTTAATTTCCAGTAACCCATTTACCAAGTTTTAATCTGTAAAATACCTGAGATAACTAGAAATAGTAAATAATTCTCGAGCTTGCTTTTCAAACATTAATAGTCGAAAATACCCATTAATTTTTGGTTATATTTATCCACCTAAAATTTATATCCCCTTGATCAATACATTTTAAGACATATTTAATTGCCATTAATCCATTTGCCAAGCTGTAAATCCGTAAGATACTTTGGATAACGAGAAATGATAAATAATTTTTAAGCAGTTAAGCAGAACTGTTTAAAATCAATAAATACTTTTAAAAAATTATTTAATTAAAATTGACAAATATCCATTAAGTTTCGTCTACATTCAAGATTATATCTTTATTATATTACTATTTATATTCGCCTGAATCCATTTACTAAGCGTTAAATACCTGGAATAACGAGAAATAGTAAATAATTTTCAAGCAGTTATACCGACTGAGAACTGTTTAAAATCAATAAATACTTTAAAGAATTAAAATTCGGAAATATTCGAAATAGTACATAACTTTTAACCAAGTGTTATACCATTGTAGTTGTTAAAAATCATTAAATACTTTTAAAAAATATTTGTTTATATCAGCTTGAAATGCGGAACCGGAATATACTGAGGGTATCTGGAGGTGAAATTTAAAAAAATTTGAAGAGAAGGGAAGTTGATTAGGGGTCACTTACCGCGTTCACCTCTTGTTCGTCGTACCAAACGTTGATGTACGGGTGAAGGAGGGCGTCGTCCACCGATATCCTGCTCTGGGGGTCGATCACCAGCATCCTGGAAAGAAGATCTCGCGCTTGCGAGGCCTGCGGGATTTAACGAAAAACATTTCAAGGGGGGCAAAACTTTCAAAATATGGGGATCATTTTTTAAATATTAATGCGGATGTTTTTTAAAGCAAATATTCGGATGGGACGTGATCGTTACCTTGAGCCGGTTGTGTTCATTGCTGTCGGACGGGAAGAGGACGTCGGGGAACAGCTTTTCGAAGGAAAATCCGGGATACCTGGGCCGATTTTCCACGTAGTTCCTGACGGTCGGCTGCAGCCTCACCATGAACTGTTGCGACGGGGTACCCAGTTGTTCTGAGAAACACGCAATTTTGAAAAAGCCTTAGCGACGACAATAGACAATGATAATTTATCGCTGAAAAAAAAAACTAAAACCGCATTTACACAGTCACGCGAGCAAAATCCAATTAAATAAAATATCTACTCTGAAATAAGTTAAAAAAAAAACAACAGACGCCGTTTGTTCCACAGGCTACTGTAATACTTTTTACAAAACTCCTGAGTCGAACTTGCTGACGTTTCGCCAATCATCCTGTTGGTTGCTTCAGAGCTTGACTGAAACTGGCTCGTATTTTACTCTGTGCCTGCTTATATATTGTTTGAGGGGGGCGGAGCTAAATGAAGGACATAAACACAACGCCCGAGAGTCTATAACAACCTAACAATCTTAACCGTGACGGTGTTTATGCCTCTCATTCAGCTCCCCCCCCCCCCCTAAAACAATTTATAAGCAGGTACAGAGTAAAATACGAGCCAGTTTCAGTCAAGCTCTGAAGAAGCCAACAGCAAAAACAGACGCAGGAGGAATCCAGAAGTTTTGTAAAAGTATAGACGCTTAAAAATTAAAAATTCTTTAAAGAAACGCATTACAAAAAAAAGATACCGAAAAGTGTTAAATAAACCAAGAACAGTAAAAATAAGAACAAACTCAAAAAAAAGTGTTGCCGTTTGAAAAGAATTTATTGAAATTCAGCGTCTTAGCGCCATCTCTATATGAGAAGCGTAAGTAAATAGTTTAAATTTGTTGCTGTTGTATGTATCAGCAGTAACTTTGAAAAGTTAAGGTGTGCTCAAAAGTTTTATTGTGCGATGTACTATTTTCTACAAATTGCATTGTGACAATAAAACTACACCTTAGAGGCAAGAAATCTCTTGGAAATAAATTTTTCTAAATAAACGAAAAGGCAAAGGACCCTTTTAGAAAATTACCCTGAAATGAGTAGAAAAAATGCTGCCAAGAAGTTAAAAAGGGTAGCAAAGAAAAAGCCCGGATTAACGAATCGCAAAAGACGCGCCTTTCGAAAACCGAAGTTAAAGGTAGTAAACGAAAAAAAAATTAAGATTGTTTTAGGGGAAAAATGAACCCGTATTAATGCGAAAAGTCTCACCGATTATTTTGTTCCACTGGTCTATGTGATCGGTGCCGGGGAATAACACGCCGCCCCTGATCATTTCGCCCATTATACACCCCACCGACCAAATGTCGACGTTCTCGGTGTATCCCATACCGAGGATGACCTGCAACGAGACAAAACCGCCGATTAAAATTCCCCCCCACCACCGCCACGGCGTCACACGTCCGTTACCTCCGGCGCCCTGTAGTAACGCGTCACGACGTACGGCGTCATCATGAACGTTGTACCGGCCGTCCTCGCCAATCCGAAATCCAGTATTTTCAACGTACAGTCGGATTTCACAACGATATTGCTAGGTTTGAGGTCCTGCGACGGGAAACAACAAATGGGTTGCACTGTGAGGTCCCACAAATGGACAAAATTCATCAAAAACATATCAATACTTTTTCCTTTAACAACAATATTGCAAATTTATAACAATGAAATATTGATGACTTTAAAACCATGTATTCATTAAAAAAGGATACCGTACCATTTGTTACGTTCCAGTTTTGGACTTAGGTCATATTTGCGGTAAAGTAAAGAATTATAATGCGACCAAAAATATAGTGCATTTGTTGCTCTGACCTTTTAAGTATTTTGCAGAACCTTAACCGCAGTCCTTCGTAAAACCCATCCCATCTGCATTAAGTAGGTCTTGCCTTAGATGGACCGTAACGAATATTTGTAGTAGAAACTTGAAATTTCTATTTGAAGCCTAAATGGACCGTTTTAAATTTGATTATAATAAAAGCATTTAGAGTTTATTCTAAATACGTTACAGGGGGAATTCTCGTACATTCCGTCGCAGACCAGTGGCGTTCAATAACCCGCCCCTACTCTTCGGCATAAATTTGCACAGACCTAGACATACTGATTCATCCTCATAAAACTTTTTTTAAAAATATTTATTGTTTAGTCTATTTTATTTTTATTTCTTCAAACTTGTACACATCCGTTTTCAATTTCTGTTAACAGCTATCAAACGTTTTGTGGACAGTTTATTCTAAAAGTGACTTTGGTTAGTTTTTGCCATGAATATTCAAAAACAAGGTAAGTTTATTATAAATCTTTACACTATTAATAGTAAATTATTATTATTATTAAATATGTTTTCCCTCCTTGACTTATTGTAGGACAATGCAGATTTCCTACTTCTTTTTTCATCATCACTCGGACATTGCCAAATCAAGCTTGAAAATCCCATTCTTTTCAGGTGCATCATATCGATGTTCATTCCATGGAATGGCTATTTTAGAACATTTCAATTGTGCCGATTTGGAAGACAATTTTTTTTTATTTGCGTAAAAAAATAACGGAGAAATGGACAAAAGCAAAGCGCAACAAAGGTAGTAAAGACGGCTGAAATGTTGGTTCTAAATCAACTCAAGTCAACAAACCATCTGCACGCGGATGGACACAACAAAGAAAAATGTCACAAAACTAAATGGTTAATCCAAATGAAACCGTATCTCTTATTGTTGAAGCCAGTCTGAATAAACATCGGTATACATTATTAAGAAGTCTAATTAATTCCATAGTAAACAATGTTTCCTTCATATCAAAAATTCGAAGTAAAGATTACATTGAAGTTACATAATCATCTGCTGAGGCAGAACTGCAAAACTATATAGACTCTACTTTAAACAATCAAGACCAAAAGTTGATTTTGTTAGGAAAGTGGGGAGTTGACGGTAGTAGTGGTCATTCGGAATGCAAGCCATCTCTTCAAGATCCACCCATGTAAGATGCACGTTTGTATGTACCTTCATAGATCGTCTTGTTTTCGAAGATAACCTTAAAATAATATGGAAGAATCGCCGTACCTAGTATACGCGGCATGCTAGACTGATTAAATTACAATTTAAAACATAAACCAAGAAGAAAGAAAAAAATTATTCTTTAATTTAAGTGAATTGTCTTCAGCCAGGGGTCAAGAAATGAATAATATTGATTGGTGTCTTCACAAGCAAGTTCGTCCAGAAACATTTGAGATTGGCTTCTCTTCCTTACAAAAAATGGCAAATACAGTCTAAATAAGAAAAGCAACTTTTGTCTGAGAAAAAAAGTCAGATTCTTCTTCTTCGTCTTTTTCTATATTAGTCACTTCTGCCTGTCTTCTTCACTGTCGTTCAAACATTCTATCTGTATGTACATTCCATTCTTGCGTTCTCTTTTTTGTTCGGGTCTTAATGTTTTCATTTGTTGCTCTATCCCAGAGTATTCTTCCTGTTATTTTCCTTAACATTTTCATTTCATTTGTTTCCGTGCATTTCTGAGTCTTGGATGTTTCCTGTCTTGTTTCAGCGGTACATGTCATGACTGGTCGGACTACAGATTTATATATGCGGGATTTTATTTGGGTTTTAAAGTATTTATTCTTCCATGTAAATATCTGATGTTCATTGCCTACTTTATAATTTGGTTATCAAGTTCCAGCTTAAATGTAATTGGTTCTTTAGAGATTAATAGTGATTTAGTTTTTTTGGTCGATATTTTCATGTTGAATTTCTTTGCAATTATATTAAAATGATATACTAGTCTCTGCAAATCAACTTCATTTTCAGCTACACATACAGTATGGTCTTCGTAACACAACACTTGTATTTCTTTAAGGTCAGATTCGATGCGACTAGATTAGGTTTAATAGTGGACAAACCAAAATATACAGGAAGCTGTACTTCCAAAGATTGAAATACAGCAAGAAAATTCTTCAAACTTCTACATGAATCTTCTGAAATTACAGGTCTGAAAAAAAGTCTTCTAGAAAGATGTTCATTAATTTTAAGGTCCATTTCAAGAAGATACAAAATTAAGATTACGAAATTTGAAGAATTTTCTCTAACTGCGAGGTTACTCTTCAGTTCACATCCCGCTGAGATAATAGAAACTATCAGAAAATGTCGTTGAAGATAAAAATAAAGAATATAAATTATTTCGACTAAATCAAACTCAAAAAATCGCACAAAGTGTAATATTGATCTTTTAAATGGACTATTACTTAGTTCAGATTCCTTAATAAAAGAATTAAGGACAAACGACTATAATTTGTCTTTCTACAGGGCCATCCCTACCCCCATATGAACCCCTAAATGACGCCTCTGGGAGTTTTTTTTTTGTTTTTTAAATTTAAAAACCCATCTAAGCTCGTATTCAATCGAATCTAATTTAATTCCCGATACAAATTCGAAAAAAATGCTTATTTCTTTTTAAAATATTTAAAGATGAAACAATTTTTTTCTTCAAAAATCGATATTATTAGCTTTTTTTCGAAATAAGGCTCAAGGCTCAATCTCCCATAATCCCCCAATAGGGAAGCAAACCTGCAGAGATTTTCTACATTTTAGAGACAACCTGTCATCAACAAATCGGGTTTTCACCAATTGTGAATGTACTAGTCAAAATATTGAATTAAAATTAAAATCTGACCGAAGAGGTAATAAATTCGGGCCATTTAATGAATAAATTGTTATACAGCTAGGACGGCATAATTGGGACCAAACTATACTCCCTTCGAATCGAACGCTCACCCTATGTATGATGCCGGCTGAGTGCAAATGCTTGATCCCGCACAGCATTTGATAGAGCAGGTAGCTCATCCTCTCGTGGTCCAGGTCCATCTGGATGACTTGGCAGAGGTTCGCGTCCATCAGCTCCATGACGAGATACACGTCCTGGAAGTCTTCTAACGAGCGTTGGGGAGTGAACGCATTCAGAAGACCGATGATCTGATCGAGCAAAATTAAAAAAATAATAAAAATTCGCATCGCTAAACTGTCAAATATCATAGCTATATCGTACTGATTTCCGCCATTTTCTTTCCGAACAGTGACATCTAGATACTAAAAATTGTAGAATCGACTAACCGTCAGCTACCGTAGGTTATTAAGCTAAGTGTCTAGTTTAGATAGATAAACAGATCATTTTATTCACAAAACCCATTACAATGGATGTTTCGTCACAAAAAATAACATTAAAATTTTTTCAAATAGACGAAGTAGAAAATGTGTGTCTTAGGACAATCACATAAGGTGTGTATATAACAAAAACAATGCAAAAACATCAATATAACATTACAAACATTTATTTAGAACGTGTGCTTCAAATTCACTTCAACTATAAAAAGCATTGGTTGTAAGATGCATTTTGACATGTTTCTTATATTTAAATAGGTGTATACAAGGAACCATCATTATTTTGTGCTGCTGAATTATTTCTTTGCAAGACTGCCTCGGAGAAAGTTTCAAAATTAGCCTAAGTATTCTTTTCTGCTGCCCTTTCAGCATCACTATCTTGCCCCTTGCTTGCCTTGTAAGAAATTGTATGGAAAATTGTGAATAATCCCATTTCAGCGAAGAACAAAAGAAGCGATGCTGACATTTTCTCGAGCGTAGATGAAAGTGATCAAGATATAATACGGCGTTAAATTTAGCAGCTATACGACGAACAAAGCGTGCCTGTATTAGATATCTTAATTAGGAGGCTTGAAAAAGATGAAACCGGTGTTAAATGTGGCAGAACCAACATACGGAAGTGTATTCAACACATGGGTTTTAGGTTTTAAGAAAATGATAAAAGGCAAGTTTTAATGGAATCTTTTGGAATTCGGAAATGGCGACTGGAATCTAAAAAAAATTATGATTTACAGAGAAGAAAGGGAAAATTATTTACTTGGATGAAACCTGGTTCGACACTTATGATACTACGGAAAAGGGTTGGGTTGACTCAACTGATAAGTGAAAAACAAACGCGCCATCAAAAAGAGGTAAAAGATTAACTATTTTGCATGCTTGGCTGTAAAGATGGTTGGATTCCAAATGGACTTTCTCTGTCTGCGAAAAATATTAAAAATTCTTCTCTGGATTAACATGAAGACACCACCGCTGATTTATTTGAAAGTTGGTTTAAAAACAAACTAGTTCTAAACATTCCTCCTAATAATGACATTTATTTTCACGAAGATTTTACCAAAAAGCAATTAATTGAGATTTTAGAAAGCTTGAACCTACAAAAGGAATACGTCGGTGATAATTATGCAAAAAATCTAGGCGAAAGTGTTACTGATATATTATGTGAATAATTTTAAACATTTTAAGTAGGTAATAAAATTTTATTTTAAATTTAAACATAACTACATACATAAATATATAAATATCGTTTAGTATCAGTTCGGGAAAACCGAACAAATAAATAAATTCAAATAAATGTTAGACGCCAGGCACGCTGGCAACCCGTGTTACACGGTTGAGGTTATGAGCAAAAAAGAAAAGAAAAGGAAGCGTCTCCCGCTTGCTGGCAATTGATCGTTTTCGTTGATTTTTCCTTCGATGTTGTTGCGAAAGGATTTATTAATTTTTCTATTCGTAGAGTGAAATCTCGTTCCTATAATTTTGGTTATAAACGCAAGGCATACCATGTTGGCGATAATTAGGTCACGTCATTAAAGTGCTTGCGAAAACCTTTTGGACTTTGAATTACCCGGATGTTGCAACCTCAACAGTCTTTCCTAACAAAAAAACAAATAATTAAATTCTAAGCAAAGTACGGACCTGTTCGACCATATTTCATTCTTACCGCTTGCCCGGGTCTTTCCTGAACATGAACAAACTTTACCAACGCGGACGTTTCGTCCGCATTCATGAAAACTCGACAGTTACTGTTACAAGATTTCAGGTAAATCATTCACATATAGGAGAAAAAGTGATGGGCCCAAAATGCCCCCTTGGGGCCAGCTCATCCGAACGCTAATGTTATGATGTTATATTAGAAGTTGGGGATAAACCCCATCAAGCATCTTCTGAAGTACCTGCAAACAACTTAACCAAGAAGGAAAGTATCGTTCGTACGAGAGAGATAACTGTAGTTTTGTGAAGCTATGATAGAAATGGGCAACTTTTTTTTAATGACAGTAGGAGAATATCATACGCAACGTCCACAAACACTAAATATTTTGGCAGGGATTTTGATAAACAAAATAACTAAATTTACTGGACTACCATATTTACAATTTCTTCGAAATAACTTAATTCCTACTCTCGCAGTTTCTTTTCCAAATTCAAAAAAGCCTGGTATGCCAGATAGACAGTTTTTATTTCCACAGAGCTCCGCCCCAATTTGCTCGACAAGTGTGTGAACATTTAAATACTGTAATTCTCGGATTAGTGAAAGGGAATCCAAGTTCAAGTTTAGTTTCCTATAAACAATAAATAATTGAAATTGATATATTTATGAATCCTTCCTCGTCTAAATCTCGTTTGTCTACAGCCTTTTACACGCTCATTTTGACAAATACGAAAAATTAATGCAGATGAATGCAGAAAACTAATAAATGAATTCTATGGAATGTCGAGATTTCACCACCACTTTTCAAACAGGTTTCTCTCCCGTATGTTCTCAGACCGATTAGTGATTTTTTTGTTTTTGTATTACCGACATGGACAAGATATCTAGTAGCCATATGCGCTACAATAAAAAAAAAATGCCAATCGCACACCATAAATAAACGAGGAAAGAACGGCAGAAAAAAACAAGGACAGAGTATACTTACGTTCTTGTGGTTCACCAGCTTCATCAGCTTGAACTCCCTGTACGCCCGCTTGGCGTGCGTCACATTCTGGAACGGCCTGCTCAGCTTTTTTATTGCCACGTTCTGTCCCGTCACCGTGTCCACAGCGGCGCTAAAAGTCGAACACGGCAGTTTGATGAACGGCCACGATATACGTTAACAATCGAGGCGGCGCTTTTAAAACTTTTTACGACCCTACGTCATGCGGCATTCCGAAACAATAGCGAGATTACTGGTTAAGTCGGGGGAACGTCTACGTTTATGGTCCGCGGCGAAAAATCGGACGTCAGAGAAATATGACAGCGCGCGCTCGCTTGATTTTTTCGAGCACGGCCAACTTCGTGAAAGTTCACCACCGCGCGAAGCCATTCAAAACTGGGCATCGGGAAAAAAAGCTGGAAATTATTTTCAAGTTCATAAAATTACCGCTAGGGGGCGTAATCTCTACTGAAAAATTTCGTTTGAACTATTTTTTTCCCATCTCGTCAAATTTAAGGTGGGGGAAGTGTCAAATATTGGTTAACAAAAATCGAATAACTTTTTTTAGGCCAATCCGATGTCGACGAACTTAGTTTAGTTTAAAAGAGAATTTTACGGACCATCGACTGGCATGGCAATAGCACGATATTAATTCTTTTACGAGTCGGCAGGAGGCGCTTCATGTTAAAAACAGCTATTATATGATATTCTCGAAAATTTCAAATATAATATTTATTTTTTGCCAAGATGAGAGAGCGTAAAAAATACAAAAAGTAGTGGAAGATATAAAGAAAAATTAATTTAAAAATACTTTTTTACGTAGGTATGATGAGAGCAGTATTAGAGATGATCAAGAGATGACATATTATGACTGTTTGTTACTAAATATTCAGTTAATTTCGAAAATTTTTGAGAAAACAAGGCCACTTTATGAACTTGAAAATAATTTGCAGAATTTTCTCTTGGCCGATTTACCTATAAATACTTTTTTTTTTTTAATTTCAAACTAACGGTTCCCGAGACATGCCCGGCGTCCTTTATAAATGGGCCACCCGGTATAGTCTGCCCGATTTCAGTCGATGGTACAGGGTGCCCGTTCGTTTTTTTTTTCCATATTTTTATATAAACTACACTATTTTTTATATAAGCTATATATATATATATATATATATATATATATATATATATATATATATATATATATATATATATATATATATATATATATATATATATATATATATATATATATAACTATATACAGGGTGCGTGCACAAAAGAATAAAAAGCAGCGACACGGTGTTAGTTTGCGAAAATGGTCTAGCACGATTTTGAAATAAGCAAAAAAAAGTCATTTTGTTTATTTTTTCGGGTCGCTCTTTCCCGCGTAGGTGACTTACCACACAAGACCTTGGGCGCCGCCCCCTTTGGGTTCCAACTCGGCGTACTGGGCGGGTACCCAAAATTCGGTATCGCCGAACGTGTGCTGCGCGAACCCCTCGCGGATGTTCATTGTGGGGGGGGGGGGGGGGTAAAAAAAACGAAAATACGGGTGAGGATGGCGGGAGAGTGCTTGGGCGGTGGGTGGAGGGCTCTCAGTCCATTGAGGGAGGGCCAAACAAACCGAAAACCACACTACGCCAACAAAATCGAGACACTCAAGCGCATTCCCAAATCAACTATAACAGAACAAAAAGAAAAAAAAAAGAAAAAATTGGAAACACGTCGCACGCATATGTACGGGGTTCCGCGCCTCAGGGGTAAACCATAAAACGTCGTAACGATAGCTAGGAAAATCATTGTTTCAAGGAACTTTCGCCAGATCTGGCAACGCTGTCGTCGGTATAAGTTCTACGGGGTATCCGGGAAAATCAAAACGGCAACTTCATATGCCACAATTTTTTTCTATCAAAAAATTGCCACTACTTTTACTGAACGAATCCTGTTATTAGAAACCTTTCCGACAGAAGCCATTAATTGCAATTTTGTCTACCTCTTTACTAGAGAGATTTCCATTACGCCACTTTAGCTTTCGATTTCATTATGGTTTAACACTAATCGTTAACAAACTTGGCGAAGGTTCCGGACTTTCAAATCAATTTTTATCGCAGTTATAGTACGTCCAAAAATATAGTGCATTTATTGCTTTGACATTTTCAGAATTTTACAGTACCTTAACCTTCACACATTTTAACATCAGTTTATATGTATTGTTCTCAAGAGTTTAATCTAAACTGCAATATGTTAGTATATATTACGGAGGTATTTGAGTGTGATCCTTCCATGTTCCTGACTCACGAGCTTTGGCCCTGCGAATAGAACAAAGGGTAAGGGGTAAGGTAAGGGTAAGTCCCTGCATTCTATTTTTCTTACAGGTAAGTTTGAAAACAATCATTTTCTTCTTGTGTGCCAGTCGATTAACAACATTTTTCTTCTTGTATTTTTGTATCATCTACATTCGATTTGTAAACAACAACAGTCTTTTTTAAGACTATGGATTATATTCGCGTTTGAAAAAGGTACGTCATAAGAATATAGAAATATTTATTACAATCTTACAATTAAACATTTTTTAAAGGTTCCTGTTTTTCTAAAATGTGGAGACCGTGGAATGAAGCAGATGTTCCCCTGTTGGAAGAAGACATGGAAAACAACGCTGAATTTGAAGGAGAAGTGGAGATGGTAGTCGAACTTAATGACAATTTAAAAGACTTAGTACCTCAGCAAATTAAAAAACGGATCCATTTGTCTTCTTGTCTTGTCTTTTATAAGAAATCCAGAAGCGGAAGCAGGAGCAGCAATAAAAACAAGTAACATGACCAAAGTTCCGAATTCAACTATAAGAAAAATGTTGCAAATGGGATAGTCATGAGGAAAGTGAAAAAAGATGCTGATACTTCGCGAGTTTTTAAAGGGCAACACGCAGATCTAATTAGGCGTATAATCTACGACGCTTATAAAGTGAATGGTGTTTTAACCCTAGAAGAACTGCATAAAAAGGTACTGACAGACTAAAACATTAGTTAATCACGGCGTCGGTTGTAAAATCACTATATTTCTGGTCGAAGTATAACACGTTATTACCTCCACATAGTAGAATGCATTCTCTACGAGAGCGAATCGAGAAGTGGTCCGTTTATGAATATTTTCAACTTCGTCTCTCTTTTTTTTTTAAAGGAGATGGTTTGCCCCCGGCATACGCGGAACAAAATAAAAACGAACGGAACCGTATACACGGGGTAATTTAAAATTCCTTATATTCAATACCATGCATCAAAAACGCGAAGATGAAAAAAAGACGCGTGCAAGATGCAGCTAGTCCGGCGCATCCGCCACTCACCACACGATCCCCTGCGCCCCCGATCCGATCGGTTTCAGATTCTGGTACCTCTTCAGTATGGTGAATTTGGTGTCGCCCACCTCGACGGTGTAAAACTGAGAGAGACGAGACATCTTATTCCGCCAGTCCCAGTACTTCTGGCCCGATGTCTGCAAAGAAAACCTGCTCACAACATGCCCGATTAAAATCTTCGTACGACAAAAATTAAAATGCCTGCTGGTTAGTAGGTGCCGGAGTTAGTCGAACTACAGTACAGGGGACACTCTGTTTAGTCGACGAAATGACACGCCAAGTCGATCATGAGAAGCAAACATGCGCACTACATGAGCATCTACGGATTTCGATTTTATTAAAGGTTTTAAGGATGTTGAACATCGAAAACTGTATCCTAGTACAAACCGACACACCCAAAATTTCGCAAAAAATATTATTAGCGCCTTTATTTTGGAAAAGCAATTGTTTAAAAAAAAATTGTTTTGAAAATTCATACCTTTGACACAAAAAGTGTGCATTCCGTAAAAAAATTACTTTGTAAATTATTACTGATTTTTACAAAATATTATTTAAAAAATGTGTGAATTGAGAAAGTTGTTACAAAATTCTGCAAAAATGTGTTGGTTTTGATTGAAAAAAAAAACATTTTTTTTTACACTTTACACAATTTTCACGAAATTTGTGAATAAAAGCATATAAAATATTTCATACAATTTTGTAAAAAAAACAATAGTTACTTTTCTAAAAAAGTGCAAATTCAAATTTCTTTACATTTTTCCAGAATAACTGTAAAAACTGAGTTTCTTTCTTTTGGAAAAAAAAAGTGTTTCTTTACATTTTGAATGAATTTCGTAAAAAAGTATGTAAATTCACACTTTTTATACAAAATTTCTTAAAATAATTTAATGTTTCTCATGAAAATTTTGTTAAAAAATGCTCATTTTAAATCCAGGCTTGTTAAAAAATTTCACAAAATAAAATCTCTCAAGACATTTTCCAAAAAAAAATTGTTCCCGTTTTTGATCTTTTGAAAAAAAAGTACAAAATAATTTTCTTTTTGTACACTTTTCACAAGAAATTTCATCAAATAAATTTTTTCATGAAAATGTTAGTTCGTTTTATTTGTTGTTGGTAATAAAAGCTCCAAAAATTATACGAAATTTTACCAGAATATGAACAGTGTAAAGTGACACAAATTTTGCTTAAAAAATGCTAGTTTGTGTTATTTTTATTTTTAAACACAGTGTAATAAAAATCTATTTTATTCAGAAAGTTTTTTTTTGTAAAAAAGCAGAAAATCAATTTTTTTTGCATTTAGCAAGGTGTAAAGTTAGTAATAAAAATTGAAGGCATTATACGAAATTTTGTAAAAAAAGTAAAATCATATATTTTGCCGAAAAAGTGTGCATTTTGTAAAGAAGTTAATAAAATTGCGTTTCTCAAGCAAGTTTATTCAAAAATGCTCGTTTTTGTTATTCCTCTTTAAAAAAAGTGTAAAACCCTATTTTTTTACATTTGGTCAGAAGAGAGTAAGTTTCTCGTGAAATTTTGAGAAAAAAATACTTTCTGCTTTATTTTTTTGTAAAAAAAATATAAAACCTTTTTTTTTTTAATTTAGCAAGAAAAGCGGAAACTTCGCAAAAAGTTTGTAATAAAAATTCAAAACATTTTACGAAATTTTGTTAAAAAATGTTCGTTTGTTTCACTTGGTTTTGTGTAAAAAAAAAATTATAAAAGTATAATCATGAATTTCTCACGAAACTTATATATATATATATATATATATATATATATATATATATATATATATATATATATATATATATATATATATATATATATATATATATGTGTGTGTGTATGTGCGAGCGTATCGGTACGGGGGTCGGATTTTCAATGGCGACCACGAAAATTAACACCAATATTCTCTCTCTCCGGTAAACAAAGTATTCGAGCAAAGGTCGAAAGGAACGCGGTCGAGTGCGGCGATAAAACTTGATAAAAATTCAACTGAAGCCGAAACCGGTCGTCGCCGTTTCAGTCTAACCGGTGACTGTGATCGAAGATGGCCGCGGCGAACGCGACCGGTGCCATTTTCAAGCGACATTTTTCGGTGACGTCGCTCAACAACATCATCCAAAATGTGACGGTGATCGGAGGCGGACTCATGGGATCCGGTATCGCACAGGTCGGGGGTGAAAACTTATATCTATACAGGGCGTCTCGTATTAACCGCCATAGGGCAACAGGTGGGGAAAAAAACTGAAAGTTGCGACGGCTCCGGCTTAGAGTCTGTCTCAATATTCATCGCGCTGGCTTTTGCATTTGGAACTTACCCGCCGACGGCAATAACACTCGGGCCTCAAAGGTTTCGGTAAAATATTTTTTTTTGTTTATTTAGGTGTCTAATTTAATAAGAAATTAGACCAAGAAAAAATAATGACATTAAATATATAAAATACATTTATAGCTAGGAATATACAGGGTTTTTCACTTAAAACTCCGCACGCCAATAACTCCAAAACGAAAAGAAATATTTAATTTATGTAAAAAGTAGTCAAAGTGCGGGGTCAAGTAGATATTTCCTAAAAATTCGACGCCTGCAAAGAGCTGGGCGTCGCGACGCGTCGGAAAATTATTCGATTGCAGAGACTTTGGAAATACGCGCATACAAAAGTACATATTATTTAAAAACTTTTTTGTTATTTACTCAAACTTATTTACTTTACCCGTTTCTAAGTTATACCGATTTAAAGTAAACATTTCTTGATTAATAAAAAATGTGATTAACGCTTATTTTCACAAGTATGCCATGAATGTTAGTTACTATGGCAACCATTGTTATCGCAGTTGTTTTAAGTGCAATTACAAACAATAGATTTCAACTATTTTAGTATGATTTTATTTATTATTTTTTATCGATTTAGTTCTGATAACATGATAAATAAATGAAAAAACAGTAAAATACCTACAAGTTAATAACCAAAATTATTATTGCAATTAACTACATAATAAGACATTTCAAAAATTTTGTTCAAAATTATGTCCATCTGCTCGAACACAACTATCAAAAACTTTTAACAGATGAGGTTGGGTCACTTGTAGGAGAGTCCTTCTTGTGATAGCGGCACACGCTGCACTAATTTTGTTAATGAGATCAGCCATATCTTCGATAGGTTCTTCATAGATAACGTTTTTTAGGTAACCCCAAAGAAAATAATCTGGTGGTGTAATGTCCGGGGACCTCGCCGGCCACCTTACCGGTCCATTAGTACCAAACCATCTATTGGGATATTCTCGGTTCAAATACTTCGTTACTATTTAGGCATTCTGTGCAGGCGCTCCATCCTGCTGTAGCCACATATTCATTCTAGTGTCAAGAGGCACTTCTTCTAATAGTTCCGGAAGTGTAGTTTGAAGAAATCTTAAATAGCGATCTGCATTTAAAGTTCCTTCGTAAAAGTAAGGTCCAATAAGGAATCCATTTAATATGCCGCACCAAACATTGATACTAAAAATTCGTTGGTTACCTCTTTCTGTAATCCAACGAGGATGGTTTTCGGACCAAAAACGACAGTTGTGTCTATTAACGATTCCATTATTTTGAAATCGACTTTCGTCGCTCCATAAAATTTTCGAGAGAAAATTTGCATCTTGGCTATACAAATCGGACAATGTTCCAAGAAATACATTCTTCTAGCATAATCGCCTGGTTCTAGTTTATGAACTAGTTTACTTTTGTACGGGTGAAAAGAGTTTCTATGTAGAATTCTCCACGAAGAACTTATGGTAACACCGGTATTTTCTTTTATCTCTGATAGGGATATCTTGGGGTTATTATCAACCTGCTGAATTACAGCAGCAGTATTTTCATCATTTGTAGCCGTCCTGTTCCTATCTCTTTTAGGTTTTATGAAGCTGCCATATTCTCTTAAGTTTTTACATAAACTTGAAAAAGTTTTTGCATCGGGGACTCTTCTATGCGGATAACGCCGTGCGTAAACTCTTTTTGCTTCTCTACAATTGCATCTGCATTCTCCAAACACCAGTAACATGTCTACTTTTTCCTCATTGCTAAATTGCACCATTTTCACATAATAATTCTTAGTTTTTTTTAAACCGAACAAATTTGGATATTTCTTGTGACAAAATGTGACAATTTGTTGATACAGCAATAACAACTTACGTTTGTAATTGCACTTAAAACAACTGCGATAACAATGATTGCCATAGTAACTAACATTCATGGCATACTTGTAAAAATAAGCGTTAATCACATTTTTTATTAATCAAGAAATGTTTACTTTAAATCGGTATAACTTAGAAACGGGTAAAGTAAATAAGTTTGAGTAAATAACAAAATAGTTTTTAAATAATATGTACATTGGTATGCGCCTATTTCCAAAGTCTCTGCAATCGAATAATTTTTCGACGCGTCGCGACGCCCAGCTCTTTGCAGGCGTCGAATTTTTTAAACTTTAGGAAATATCTACTTGACCCCACACTTTGACTACTTTTTACATAAATTAAATATTTCTTTTCGTTTTGGACTTATTGGCGTGCGGAGTTTTAAGTGAAAAACCCTGTATATGCATAATTACCTTTTTATTCTAAATCTAATTGTATTTCAGTTATGTTGTTTTATATAGAAATGTAAGAGTTCTCAATTTTTATAATGTGCTGTACCGAATTTTTTCATCTCTCACATGGTATATTATTAATTGCATGTTTTATCAAATTTATAACACTGGGACTTAAAAGTAGCAGGAACATTTTCTGCTCTGACTTTTGATTTTACAAACAAATGCTCTATGCAATGATATGTTCACCCAAATTATCATACGTACCGTTTTTAAATTGCATATGAATTCAGGACTTCGAAAAGTTGCGCTTATTTGCAACCGAAATCAAAATAAATATCATTTTCTAACAAAAAATCCTCTATTCCGGTTTTTGAACTTGATGAGGTTGGTGCTATGGCGATAACACTGTTATTAGGAAAAAAAAAATCTACTCCCGTGTGTAAAATACCCAATTACCCACCGAACTAGCGTGCGGGAAGCGTCACTTTACCAAGTCAGTTTCCTTCCCCATGAATCCGAGCCACTTCGGATATTTCCGGGATTTTACCGCACGGATTTGGAGCAATCGGGTGTGTTCGGAGATATTTCCCACGCTTTGAATTTTGACGTTTGTCAATTTTGACGGTCATGTCAGTGAATGTATTCGTGTTGATTTGCGTAACTCTACCCAAAAACTAACGGTCGTAGAAAAAGTATAGTATGCAAAACGGTAAACTTTTTAACTCAATCGCTCCGCTCGTGTCAAGTAAACTCGTGAGTCAAATGCCGTTTACCGCACTTGTCGCATAATATACTATTTCCTTCTTATTAGGTCCTAATCACTATTGTCTATACGATGAGCTTGAAAATCACTACGTTTATTCTTTCAATTCTATTAATAACATTGTTAAAATAACTTTTTCGGAACACACAGTAAAAACGATTATTCAACACTGCCGCAAATGGTCCACACTCAAGGAATATACCAGAAAGAAAGAAATACACCCGGGCCATCCTCGCCTTGCCGCTCAAATGAGAATTGAAAATCAAGTGCACTATGGACTTTAAAAATACGTTTTTGCTCATTTGTTTACCTGAATTATTTGGTTATGATACTTCAAAGATATGACTTGGTCCAATATCTGAAATCGATTCTGAATTTTTATGTATAAACACGTTATTTATGTTCAATACGGTGTCCCTTTTATACCACGTCTTAATTAACTACTCAAATTGGAGTGTTATCTATCATAAATAAATGTATATTTCATTGTATTTTTAAAATTATTTCGGTCAATTGACACAAAAAAATGTCAACGGTAACACTCCACAATTCTTTTAAATACAAACAGAGTCTCGATTTAAGATGGAGGAGCAGCCTGCAAGTAGATACAATAATTATTATTATTATATACTGTATATATACTGACGAAACTACTCACCACGGCGGCATTTCAAAATAATAGGGTTGAATATTGTGTTTACTATTGTAAATTAAGAAAAGCATAAGCTTACTGCGCACAGTTATTACAGGATGCGGTTCCTATAAATGTCAAAATTTAGATTGTTGTTTCTTTTGCTACTAATTTTCGTACAAAAGGATTATTAACAATGTAGAAAAGGGGTATCTTGGAGTTTATGAATTAGTTTATCATAATTGGATGTAGCATAGGAAAGTAGGTTTGGACAGAGGAGATTGGTTTCATTCTTGTAAGTCAAACTGATCAAAGTTTGAAAAGTCAATTCGCGATAACTGTTTTTTTTTTTTAATGGCGGCAAATTTTGTTTTTGATAATACATTGAATTTTTGATATTTTGACAATTTGAATATTTTTTTTAAATTTAATTTGAATATTTTTGTGCCCACAATATTCAACCGTCTCAATCTACTAAATTCAATAATTTTTTCAGAAGCCATTTGAAATAGTGTGAAAATGCATTTTGTTTTTGTTCAATTCAGTCAATGTATATATATATATATATATATATATATATATATATATATATATATATATATATATATATATATATATATATATATATATATATATATATATATATATATATATATATATATATATAATTTAATAAAATATTTATTCATTATACGAAAACTGTCTTTCATGTTCATGTTGAATAAATATTTTACTAAATTATATATTGGCCATTCTGGTCCAACACCTTTTGCCATCTTTCTGGCAGCAACATAATTCCCCTCTCATAAAAGTTTTGGTCCTTGCTGGCAAAACACTGGTTCAGGTGGTTTTTGACATCTTCATTTGATGTAAGGGTTTTGCCATCCAAAAAATTTTGCAGGGACCGGAACAAATAGTAGTCGGAAGGCGCCAGATCTGGAGAATGTGGTGAATGTTGCAGTACGTCCCATTCAAGCTGTAAAAGTTTTTGGCGAGTGACCAAACTTGTGTGAGATCTCGCATTATCCTGGTGGAACACTACACCCTTCCTGTTGATTAATTCGGGCCTCTTCTCTTTAAGTGAATCATTCAATTTGTCCAGTTGATAACAATAGACTTCTGAATTAATCGTTGTATTGTCCGGCAAAAGCTCAAAAAAAAAAACGATTCCTTTGACATCCCACCAAACGGAGAGCATCACCTTTTTTGGGTGAATGTTGGCTTTTGACACGCTTTGAGCCGGTTCATCTTTTCTGCTCCATGACCTCTTGCGTTTAACATTGTTGTATACAACCCATTTTTCGTCCCCAGTAATAATCCGCTTCAAAAATGGATCATTTTCTTGACGTTTGAGGAGCGAAACACACACGTCAACGCGACGACACAAATTTCGCTCCGTAAGGACATGGGGCACCCACACATCGAGCTTCGAGGTTAAGCCCATGCCTTTCAAATGGCCATAAACAGTCGAATTCGACAAATTTAATCTCTCACCGATCTCTCGTGTGGTTATTCGCCGATTTGCATCAACTAATGTCTTTATCGCATCTTTGTCAGCTTCGACCGGCCTTCCAGACCGTGGTGCATCTTCGACATCAAAATTGCCGGATCGAAATTTTGCAAACCAGTTCTGGCACTGGCGTACTGTTAACACGCCTTCTCCATACACATCCGTCAATTTTTTTCTCGCTTGGACAGCATTTTTACCTTTTCTGAAGTAAAAAAGTAAAATATGACGAAAATGCTGCTTATTGCTCTCCATATTTAAAAGGGCACCAACCAAAAACTACTGCGTAGAATTAATAGAACTTTTTCACACACAAGCCTTGCAATATCAGCTCTCAAGACATATAATGGTTATGCGGCTTAAGTGTGAAGTTGGTTTCGAAAAAACGTAATTAAGTCCTCTGACGGGAAAAAACGAAATGACTTTCCGAACAACCTTATATATATATATATATATATATATATATATATATATATATATATATATATATATATATATATATATATATATATATATATATATATATATATATATATTTATGAATATTTATCATTAAAAATATTAAAGCAATTCATTAAAATATTAATATCAAATACCCTTAGCCGTTATTAAATTGTTCGACATTTGCAAAAGCATTTATCTAATTTTTTGGCAAATTTTGATTTATATGTCTGCTCTATGGCGGGCGTAAGGGCGTAAGAATTTTAATGATACTGATCAAATCCAGGAACATCATACAACAGACCCTTGCCTATTTTTATGTTTTATATGCACTTTTGAAGTCTTTGGGAGTCCGCGGCAAACACTTAAGATCTACAGGCTGACGCAATAGTAAGGTCTAGTGCTATATTTTCGAATTAATGAATTATTGAATAGTATTGAATTTTTTGGTTCCAGCTTGGGCAGTTTTGTAGTGTTGCGCAGCTCAGTAATAAATAGAAAAAAAAATGAAATTATGAGACTTTACTAAATTCGACATGCGCATTTCATTGCAACAAAAATAAATACGGCATTCCATTTAAAACAACAAATATATGACGTATAACGTAAAAGTGGTAAATCTGACAACGTTGCTGTTGGCATTTTTGAATTCTGCGTGTTCAAAAATCACCAGTTATTGAGATTTGTCCTTCCAGCTTTGGCAGTCTTTGGAGATATTGAAAACGTTCCGGTACTTTTTACTAACCTTGCATAATACGATTCATGCAAAAAAAAATTATATGACGCCGTGATTGTTTTCAAATTTTAACGCGACACTTCCCACTTATTGGTCAAAAACGCATTTTTTTTTACTACTGTATTGAAATAATGAAAATTTTTAAAATGTTTTTCTTTTGATTTTGTGCAACACTTACTAACTTACTATTGTGCCACCCTGTATATATCTAAGAATTCAATTTTTGTTTTTTTTTACTAAACGCACTGCATTCAGTCGAAGTGAGTACAAGGACATAATCAGTATCCTCGGCAATCAAAACACAACACTTACACTCCTATCTTATCATTTAAAACGAAATGTGTTTGGTCTTTATCTTGTTTTGAAACGGCGAGATGCTATTTTTGGAATATCATGCGCACAGGTAGCGGCCCAAAGCGGCAACACCGTCACCCTCGTGGAGGTCGACGCGGACCGGCTGAAAAAAACCGAATCGTCCATAACCAATAGTCTGACCCGCGTCGGCAAAAAGCTCTACAAAGACGACCCGGGCGCCATCAAACAGTTCCTAGAAGAGACGAGGAACCGCATCAGAGGCACCACCGACCTCAAAGAGGCGGTCAAGGACAGCGATCTGGTGGTGGAGGCCGTGGTGGAGAACCTCAAGGTCAAGCACGAACTGTTTAAAACGATCGACGAGGTGGCGCCGCAGAAAACCTTGTTCGCATCCAATACCAGTTCGCTTTCTATCGGTGAAATTGCGGCAGTCACCAATAGGAAAGACAGGTGACTTCTCTTTCGCAAATGTCCCCACCCCCTCACTTAAGCGTGGACGTTTTCGACAAAATTTAGCACCAAAATCGATTCCGGTCAACCCCATAACCTTTAATTTAAATCGAAATATTACTTTTTTACTTCTCGTGATTATTATCTATCCATCTTCTGCAAAAGATCTTTTTTTCGTATAATCACACTTTCTTTCTTACTAAATATTCTTTTTTTTTCAAGCATTATCATTTATAAAAAAAAACAATTTTAAAAGATTTTGAAATTCCACTAAATAAACAAAATCAACTCCTTCCTTGGTCTTTTCAAATTGCGGAGGTTATTTTGAAATTGCACTAATATATATATTTTTTTAATTTGGGATGGTTGCACATAAATAATTGTTGTTCAGACAAACTTAATTTTTATTTGCTGGCATTGTGGACGCTTAATGGCCTTTTATTTGCTGACCTCGTTCTAAAATATTTTCATTTAAAATGTAAAACTCTCCTCAATCACGTTCAAATTTGGGTGAAAACAGTGAATCATGGATTATCACCACGTTAAGTTGATAAGAGGCTTCCGTAAGGTGGTCCGGCCCCTACAAACCCCCCCAGCTTAAAGTGAAGAGAGGGGATAACAGTCCGGTAGCGGTGATGAAATCGATTCTGGTCAACCACATTACGCCAAATTTAAATTAAAATATTACTTTTTTACTTAAGAAGGTATTACTAAGATCCAGCTTCTTCATAATCATTAATTTCCTTTTAAAAACACATCTTATGTCTTTTCGTATTGTGGAAATTCAATGGCTTTTACTGTTGGCCTCGTTCCAATATATTTTTAAAACTATCTTCCCCTTAGAAATTTTTCCTATAAAATGTAAAAATCTCCTCCTCAATCATATTCAAATTTGGGTGAAAACAATGAATCATCAATCATCACCACATTAACTTGATAAGAGGCGTGCGCAAGGCGGTCTCTATAAACTCCGCCCTCTTAAAATAAGAGGGGGCACAAACCGAAATGGAACCATATCTACTGATATTTCCAGATTTAGCGGTCTGCACTTTTTCAACCCGATGGCGGCGATTAAATCGATTCTGGCCAACCTCATAACGCTTAATTTAAATTAAAATATTACTATTTTACTCCTCGTAACTGTTATCTGTCCACTTGCTTCAAAATATCACTTGTCCAATATCACTAATTTCTTTTAACAAACACATTATTGTTTTCCCAAAAAAAAAAATACTTTTTTCTTCTTCATGTGCCGTGTCAGCCATCGAACGTTGGCTATCAAAACTTTATAAATAAGGCTGTACTTGACGTATGGAACCATTCCCGTAAATTTCTTCCTCCTCCTATCTTGACCTGCATAATTATAATTATTCTAGCTTTCTGGTCTTAATCAATTTCGTTATTTCACATCTCAAAGGCTTGTAGCCTTTTCAGCAATACTTCCGTCAGCGTTGAGCTTTCCATCCCACAGAGCAAAGTCGAGAATATTTGCAAGCAACAACCTAAGTTGTTGAGGTTTCTGCTGCATAGCACTTTCTTCGTCCGGAAAAAAGCAGCTCTAGCTTTTTCTTAGCTCATATCCAAGTTGTTCATGTTAGAGCCCAGGTACGTAATATTGTCCCCGGCGAATTTCCGCTGTGTCAGAGATGTTTTGGTCAATCCTAATGTTTGCTCGTTGATGATAATAAAGGATTTGAATTATTCGCATGTCGCTGTCGTCAATACCTACTTGCTCGAGGCTATTTTGAAATTGCAATAATTTACTCTTTTAAAATTTGTCTGTTGGCCAAAAATATTCTCAAAAATTTTTCTTTTGAAACATCGATCGATCACTCAATTGAATTATCAATCATCACGCTAAGTTGATAAGAGGCAAGCGTAAGGCGGTGCCTACAAACCCCGCCCTCTTAAAGAGAAAAGGGGGGATATAACCCGCAACGCAACCACATCTACTGCTATTTCCAGATTTGGCGGGCTCCACTTTTTCAACCCTGTAGCTGTGATGAAACTGTTGGAGGTGATAAGAATCCCGGAGACATCTGACGAGACTTACGAGGCTCTGATGGCCTGGGGCAAGGCCATCGGCAAAGTGTGCGTCACGTGCAAAGACACGCCAGGGTTCGTGGTGAACCGCCTGCTGATACCCTACCTCGCGGAGGCCGCCCGATTGCTGGACAGAGGTACGTACACACAGGGTGTTTAAGGTGAATATATACCCAAATATTGACCCCCTGTACATTTTCTAGCAGAGTTTAAATTTCAATAAGCCAATCTTCAGTTATTGAATTAAATATGATGGCAAATTAACTAACCAAAACACCAGTAAAATATATTTTGACAATAAGAAAATTCGTGACGGTAACCATATTTTTATTTGTGATTATGAGCTTTAACTAAAGTTAAATACGCGTTATTCAATTGAAGAAAAAGTATACCATAATTAGGTGGTATTTTGCAGGAAACAGAAATATTTTCAGTTTTATTTTCCTGCCAAAACTATATCTTCGGTTTAAACAATTAAACGTATTCAATCCGAGTCCAAGTAATAAATAACTGCAAATGTTCAGCTGAAAATGTCGACAAGAGAGCAGAAGAAAGCGACAATGTGCAAATAAAAATTAAACCAGTGTTACACACATTAAAAAAACACAAATGTTTTTCCTATAAATACAAAAAAAAATATACAGTGCATACGAAAAAGGTCAACTGGTATAAAACTAAGATTTATTCTATTATATTTTTGCATATACAGGGCGCCCAGTGTTGCTTGGGTAAACACAACTTCATTTTCTTTATGGAACATTCTGTATCTTATTACATTTTTGGATTCCAATTTAGCTAATGGTTTTTGACATATTCAAGATTTTATCTCAAATATGTCATTTGCAGGCCCCAAGAAAAATACCATTTCTTCCTAAAAGGAACTTACTTCGATAGAATTTTTATAATATTTTGATAACTCACAATACAGGGTGTTCAGGCTCTCGGTAAAATTTAATTTCACCGCTTTTATTTTACTACCGTCAAAAGTTGTGTTTACCCAAGCAACACTGAGTGCCCTGTAGATGCAAAAATATATTTAAAAAAAAAAACGTACACCCTGTATATTCTTAGATAAGGTATAGAGTTATGTTATATTGGCCACCCTGTACAGGGGAGCCAATATTTGGCCACGTAAAAATTTGCACCCGGTATTAGGAGGGTGATTCGCAAAGCCATGTTACAAAAAGCCTCTTGGAACGCTTCCAAAGTTCAAATCAATTTCCCAAAAACTGCAGGAGTAGCAGAGACACCAGAAATATATAACTTGCTGCCGGATGCCACCGGGTGTCAACTTTTCTCGAATGTAGATTTAGATTTAATAAGATTTGACTCGCTTCCAAAAAAGTGTCTGTCCGAGGTATGAAAATTAAAAAAAAAAAAAGACTGCTGCTCAACGCTTTCAAACGGGGTCCGAGGATGGCTCGGTTGGTAAGGCGTTGACCTGCCAACTCGATCTTGCCGGACGTTGTGGGTTCGATTCCCATCAGGAGCTTTGGGTGTTATTCTGTTTGTTCGGACTTTTTCCATTAAATACTACTGTGCTGGCAAATTGCCTAAGAGCAGCTTCAAAAAAAAATCCAAAGACGTTACGACTATGCCACATTTCATTAATTAATGTAATGTAACAAATAACGGTAGTTTTCGTTCCAGTTTCCGCTGAAAGCGTTTCTGACACCGCATAGGCCGTAGATATTAAATTAAAATGCGAATTGTATTCTGAAGGTGACGCGTCCGCCAGGGATATCGACACCGCGATGAAGCTGGGCGCCGGACATCCCATGGGACCGTTCGAGCTGATGGATTACACCGGTCTGGACACGGCCGTTTTCATATTGGACGGTTGGTACCAGAAAACGCAAGATCCGCTCTTCAAAGTCAGCGAGGCCGTGAAGAAATTGGTAGCGGAGGGCAAATTGGGCGTGAAAACGGGAGAGGGTTTCTACCGGTACAATAAAAACAAGTTGTGACACGCGCGTCTCATTTAACGGAAAACCAAAATTTAATTGCCACCAGAATTTTTCCTAGTTGGCAATGATTTTGGTTAAATTTTCAAAAAAACATCCACGAACTTGCTGACGTTTCACCAATTATCCTGTTGGCTTCTTCAAGACAAAGACCTGAATCGCATTTAAGATTGGATGAAAGAATTGTGTGAAGGCTCTTTCATGTTCTTTGAGCCTAGTTGATATTTTTCGTCCGGTTTCTTCAATTTATTCTTTGCATGGAATACTGTAAGCTCCTGGCATCTCAAATGTTGTCTTTGACGGATCGAAGATGTTGAGAGGATTTTGGACAAGCGATAAATTTGGTTTTGACGTTATACTTTAAGCAAGTTTGGGGTTGCTTCCAGTCTCATTGTCTTTAGAAGGTTGTGGTTAAGTCTATTTTGTGATGGAACGCTTGATATAAGGTATCGGTCTGTGTGCGTAGGTTTTTTGTAAACAGAATGACCCAATGTTAGGTCTTATTTTATATTCATAAGAATATCTAAGAATGGAAAAACGTATATTGGGGTGTATATAGTTTAAATGGCTAAGAAAATCATGGAGGAATTCATCGTAGCGTTTCTATAATTTTGGTTTTAGATGTGAGAATCTGAAACAATGTCGAGAGTTTCTAGAATAGGAGAGTTTAGTCGAAACTAACCAGAATATCCTGTGGACCTAATGGCAATGGTTTTCAAACAAATGCAATGAATTAAGTGCGAAACTATCCGTTTTCCTCGTAACCAACCAAGTAATGGTTATCATAATAGGTCGAATGGGTGGGTAATCCTGGATTGAAACCAACAGAACGATTGGCGAAACGTCAGTAGATTCGATATATCAACAACGGACGGAAGATTTGTAAATAGTACCGACGTTGACATAATTAGAAATATTTTATTAAGGTCACAGGGACTCTGGAACTGGCCAGCCATATAACCCGCAGCAACAGAGAAAACGAAGTATACGAGATATGTTCAAAAAGTAAGGCGACTTTTATAATTGGACGGGCTACGACATTTGACCTCTTAATGTTTTTTTCGTTATGTTGGTACACATGTCCCTAACATGTCCACAGTGTCAGCCCGTTCGCACGTTTAGTTTTGTTTCGTGACGTGTTTAGACGTGTTTTGTGTGCTTGGCTGCTGCCAAAACAATTGAACAAAGAATTTGCATACAATTTTGTGTAACTATTAGAGAAGAGAACATAAAAGGTGTAGCAGCAAAATTTGTGCCGAAACTGATTAATTTTGAACAAAAAGGTCGTCGAAGGAGCATCACTGAAAAACTGTTAAACAACGACCTGCTCACTCATCGTTGCTTGTGTCTAACTTTTTGGCCCAAAAAAAATCAGAATCGCGCCTTAGACACCATATTCACCCTGCGACTTTTTCCTGTTCCCAAAAGTCAAGAAACCCATGAAAGGTTAGAAACTCATGGCCACCCAGAATGTGCTTACCAGAAGTGCGTATTAATAATAAACACATACTTTTTGATAAAACTAAAAAGTCACCTTATTTTTTCAACACACCTCGTAGACGGCGTGACGACAAATGCACTCACTCGCACACACATGCACGGTTAGTATGTTCTCGCAGCGCGAAAACGCGTAGCCCAGAAAACTAGAGGTACTTACCAAGAACAATCCATTTTAATATCGATGGTGGGCAAAATACGGAAAAATCTCTGAAACAAATACAAATAATATTACTAAAAAGTACCAACCCCACCAGCAATTGTTTGGCCTAAGTTTTCAGTTGTAGATTTTCGCCTATTTTTGAAAATTTTTCGAAAAAATATATTTTGTTTTTTCCGTTTCAATGCGCAACTAAAAATTTGCGATAAATTTTTCTTAATCAACCTCTTTCCCCCCTTGTATTACCTACTGATTACGAAACTTAACATTTTCGAAAACTAACCAAAACATGTTTATTTTTTTTTTTCACTGTATAAAGTGATAAATTTTGATAAATATGTTTTTCTACTCCCGTGTGTAAAATACCAAATTATCCACCGATCTAGCGTGCGGGAAGCGTCACTTTACCACGTCAGTTTCCTTCCCCACGGATCCGAGCCACTTCGGATATTTCCGGGATTTTACCGCACGGATTTGGGAGCGATCGGGGGTTTTCGGAGATAGTTCCCACGTTTGTCAATTCTGACGGTCATATCAGTGAATGTATTCGCGTTTTGCGAAAATGTACGCAGAAGGGGGGGGGGGGGGCGGTTCGACCCCTTCGCCACACAACAGGAACGAATACGCGGATCACGGGGAACAAAACAAACCAAAACAAAAAAAAAAAGTCGCAACTTTGGGGTTGCAAATTAAAATGGGCGTAGGTCGACGACAAAGGCAAAAAATAAATCATAAACTTTGCGAGACAACCCTGGCACAGGTTCAAAATCCGAACGGGATCTCTGATTTATCGGACGATATACAAAAAAAATAAGTCTCGCGTATCGCTTACTTGAAATACAAATGTAATAAGTCGCATATAGGTAAGTATGTTAATAATAAGCGTTCATGGAATGGCCGCTAGGGGGCGTAACCTCTACTGCAAAATAGAAAAAAACGGATTTTCCCAAACATATTCCAAATTGACCTAGATCAAAATTAGTTTTAACGTAATCTACTGTAAATAAGGAAACTTTTCGTTTAAACTATTTGTTCCATCTCGTCAAACTAAGGGTCGGGCAAGGGTAAAATATTGGTTTAGAAAAAGTTGAATAATTTTTTTTTTTGGCTAATCCGATTTCGACGAACTTGGTTTAGTATTAAGAGTTTTACGAGTCGGTAGGACATGCTTCATTTCAAAAGCAGCTATTTTTATGATCTTCTCGAAAATTCCAAATATAATGGTATAAATATTCTCAGCCAGGATGAAAGTGCGCAAAAATACACAGCAAGTAGCGGAAACGGCATGACAATATCGTTTTCCCTCTCTGAGATATAAATAAAAATTAATTTAAAAATACTCTTTTACGTAGGTATAATAGAAGTTGTATTAGAGATGAGCAAGAGATGACATATTATGCCGGGATGATAATTTATAGTAAAGGTTCGATACTACTTTTATTTTATTTTATATATAAAACATAATTGAGAAGAAATTAGGTTAGAAAGAATTATTCAAAAAATACCTCAATAAAATGATGTCTGGGCTGGGTTTCATGAAAATTGAAGTCCGCTCTGGTTTATGATTTCTAAAACTATGAACCGTATAAGTTTATTTAAATTCAAACAAAACCTAGCACTAAACAAAATCTAGCAATAAAGAAAACCTAACACTAAACATACCACGCCAACCGCTAAGCCTATTTAGTTATTTTACGTTACCAGTATATTATTTTTTTTTACATTGTTTTGAAAATTAAGGTCAAAATTCTTTTTTTTTTCATTGCTTTACTTTATAAATAAGTAAGTAAAGTAAAGTAAAGAAAATCAACTAAATCAACTAAGAATAAGGTTTTGAAATTAATTTCGAAAAAACATTATGAAAACATTTTTTTTTAAATAATAATGTCTAATTAATATGATGAATATTATCTTATTAGACAACTGATCTATTAAAAACAAAAAATAAAATGTGTCAAAAACTTCAGGAGACTATCAGTTTCTAATTATATCCATTTGTTCTTTGTGTGTTTATTTCATTTTAATTAATTTTCTCCAATAATGGCAATGTATGAAAACACTGAAAAATACGAAACGTTGGTATATTTTGTGCAATGCAATGAAAATACCCAGAGAGACAACTGTTTCCAGACATATTTGCTGGTCTGAAAGTGAATCTAGTTAGGCGCTGGTCCTTTATTCAACCATGTCCTAAAATTGTCCTTGATTTGAAAGAGAATACGGAGTCATCATCTTGGAAACACATAGAACAAGCAGTAGAGATAGGAACTGTCCAAAGAATTTTTAAAAAAACCACCAATTAATTTCTGAAAGGGCCCAACAAAGGCGCTTTGGGATTGGGGTTTCGTGCTTTATTTTGAGGCAACGAGTAACCTAACGACCTGGATATACTTGAGGAAATCATTACAGAATTACTCGCGAAGATTCTCTTAGTATATTATATACCTTCAGTAAGATGGTGTCCCAAGTCATAACTCTGGACTTTTAAGAACATTTTTAGATGACAACTTCCGTTAAAAATGGACAGGTACCAATGGAAAATTATTACAAATAGTAGTTTATAACGTATAAAAGACATTCAACGTATTGAGTTTCTTGTATGTTAATAATTGCTTACTTGGATTGATAGATTAATCATGGCCTACTGCGAAAAACAAAATAAAACATGAAAAAAAAAATTTGAGCATAATTCTCAAAACAACTTTATACTAATATACCGGGTGACACCGGAAAGTGGGAACTCTCTATAACTTTTCAACGGTTTGAGCTAGCGATTTTAAATTTACAAGGGTTAATATAGGCTGAATGTCCATTTTTTTTGACAATATGTAGTCAATGGTTGCACTTCCGGTTTGAACGGAAACGACAGTAACTTTCGAATTTTAAATGGCTCCCATATTTTTTTGCATTTTTGGATTTTGAAGATCATTCTACGTAGGATAGGACGGTTTATCTCTTTTTTTTTTTTTGATCATTGGAAAAATTATAAACGAAACTTTTCTTTATTTGTCTAATGGCAAATAGCATCTAATGTAATGAACTATTAATTCTTTAGGATAACCTAGTTTTTTCAAATAGCACCCCAGTGCGAACAAAAACTATTTAAAACCGGTACTTTTTTTTGCAACATTTTGACACGAAAATTTCCAAGATCCGTTAAAAAAATAAGCTCACAGGAAGGAAGAAACCGGAAAAGTAAATACATTTTTATAGAAACAAAATATTACTTAGGTGGCTTTGTTTCTATTCATTATTAATAGTCAAGTCTGTATGATTAAAAATGCGGAAGAAATTCTCGACAAGTACCGGCAAATAAATTAAAACAGTTTTCTATGTTTTTGAAATCGGTAAATCTCTTCTAAAATTGTTCCGACAGTAATTTGAATTCTTCGGCACATTGAAAATAAGTAACTGTTACCAGTGCCTCCCAAAAACGGATTTTGTTTTGAAACGCTTTAAAACTCTCCTTGCTTTTGAAGTTTCAAATCAAAATCGTTCAAATGGACCGTAAGGTCGACCAGAAATTCCAAGTCACCTATCTATTTTGGGTCACTCTTTAATTTGCACAAAATCCTCAATCTCATTTATAAGCTCTGACTACACAATAAAATGTTACGCCTCTAACTTTCGATGGTTTAGCCCTCGATATCGAATAAAATTGAAGAGAACATTCTGGAGTCGAAAGAACTCAGACCACAAATTCTGTTGGTGGATAATGCAATGAACGACAATCAAATCATCTTTTTGCACATTTCATTCAGTTGCTTTTTCATTCAAAATTCGGATGAAACCTTTACGAAAGGCCACCGTAGAAGGTGCATCATCTGTGCATATTCCAAATAATGTGATTCCTTTTAGCAGCTGCAAAGCAAGTAATTCCTCCGTAACCGTGAACTCTTTACCAACACCTCGAGTAAATATAGCCAATTGAGCTGTTTCGGATAATTCGATGCTCTCGTTGAACGCTATGAAAAATTATTTGAAACCAACCATACGGTCAGTCAATGTTGTTTTTATATCACTAGCAATGATTTTTATACGTCACACAACATCTTAATAAACAAATTTTTTCAAATTCATTTATCCTTTCAGAACACAAAACACTGCAAACTTCTAACGTAAATAATTGATAAATTGATGGATAAATTCTATTATTATAAATTATAATGTAATATAATAAGTAAGTATTTAAGATGCACAAAGTCCCAAAGCAATTTGACGTCTGTCGAAGTTATCGCTTCGGCCGCTCAAATAGAACTTGAACTTTGTACTCGAACGATACGGAACTACTGTTCGAAATTTTTCGAGATAAAGCAAAACACTGCTCGAAAATGTTGAACAAATGAACAAAAACCCAGTCCCGCAATCGACACAATAACTACTGGCGCACGCGCTTATTATCCCCATTCAATTAAAACATTTTTTAAAGCCATACACCTCTCTATGCAGTGTATCGGGATGCTGCGGCACTTGGGAACCCGCAAACGAGAGATATATAATAACGACGAATACTTGGCGTGCAGATTTTCCAATTTCCCCAGCGAAACGTTAAGGACACTCGAAGATTTTAGTATAGGAGCGCCATGCGGCAGCGCATAGAGGACTCGAACAAATGTTAATTAATGTTTTTACCCTATATAATTGAAAAGACTCGCCTGGCAACGTCGTATGTAAGAGTCACAAGTACACTCGCAACAAACGAATGTAAATTAGCCAAATTACGTTTTTTTTTAATAATAAACACGTTCAAAGGGACGAATTAATTTATAGTTAATAAATATTGCGAGTGATAGGTGTAATACCGTAAGTACACTCGCAACAAACGAATGTAAATAAACTACTATCTCAACTACTCTGTTTTGAAAAACTTGTTCATCGCCATTAATTATTTTTCTAAATATTAAACAACGAATGCAAATATTGCCGAGTGAGTGGTATAATACTGTAAGTACATTCGCAACAAAACGAACGTAAACTGCTAACAATGATAGACGAAATTCCTGTGAAAAATTACTAGTATAATACTGTAAGTACATTCGCAACAAAACGA